CCCTAGACGTAGAGCTGGGGCGCTCCGGCTTGAAAATGGAAACTGTACTTCAATAAAGACTTTTGTACATTACTGCCGGCTAGCGTTGGTCCTCTGTGAGCTGGGACCTGGAGCCAGCTCTGACACATATGTATAGGATACTTTAATAAATAGGCTTCTTTTCTCTCAAGAGAAAATAACTGTGCCTTTGATAGCTTAGCTGGTTAGAGTGTGGTACTGATAACACTACGGTTGCAGGCTCGATTCCTGTAAGGTAAAACTGCATATTCCTGCATTGCAAGCATTGCACTAGATCAGGGTAGGCAACCTAAGGCCCATGGGCCACAAGCGGCCCACAGGGGTCATTTAACTGGCCCACGAGCTGCCCCCGAATCAAGCTACCCACTCAGCAAGCCCCCCTGTGCTGTGCTAAAGCGGCGCGGGGACTCGCTTCTATGGTGCTGGAAATCGTGTCTGTGCATACTCAGATGCCGAAAATCTCATCTGTGCAGGCACCAGAAATCATGTTTGTGCAGACGCAGACACCAGAAATCATGGCTGCACATGCTTATGTGTGATCTGGCCCACGGAGGGATCTCCAGTGGCGTGTACCGGTCCAGGCGAGGTAAACCTTGCCGACCCCTGCACCAGATGATCCTCAGGGTCCCTTCCAGCTCTAGGATTCTAAGATACCTTAATGCCTTCAGAACACAGGAAGCTGCTTTATATCAAGTGATTCCATTAGTTCACCTAGCTCAGTACGGTCTATCCAGGGGTAGTTCATGTGACCTCCAGATGTTGCTGAACTCTAACTCCCAGCATCCCTGACCACTGGCCATGTTGGCTGGGGAGGATGAAAGCTGAAGTCCAGCAGCATCTGCAGGGCACCCAACTGGCTAGCCCTGGTCTACATTGACTGGCAGCGGTTCTCCAGGGTTTTCAGAGACGATTCTCTTCCAGGCCTACCTGGAGATGCCAGAGATTGAACCTGGGATCTTCTGCATGCAAAGAAGATGCTCTATCACCAGGCTACAGCCCTTCCTCAGATCCTTGGTACTGGTGTTATTCTCTGTAGCTGGTTTTACACTGATATTATTCTACTGTCTTTTTCAGTCTCGTTTAGATTTCACATTTAGGGCGGAGGGGACCAGAGTTAAAACATACTTCAGGTTTTTTGTTTTTTTTAAATTTGGCTTGTACACCCAAATAACTTCTGCTACCAGGTAGCATGTAATAAATACTGCAAATTAAACAAATAAATGTCTTTACACGCTGAACAGGCTCCAGAATAAACATACCACTATTGTAATGTTTTATGCCAAGACAAAGAAGGAAAGAAATAGATATGCAAAAGTGAGAAACTGCTAACAAGAATTAAAAGTGTAAAATGTTTTCCCAATCTTGCTAGCAATGATGTTTGTCGTTTTAAATTTAATTCCAACCCAAACAAAAACCAGACACTTCTGATTTTCCTTGATGATTTGGGCTGGCTTTACCTGGTGGCGAAAATGAGCTTGTATGGTCAGCTCCAGAGGGCCGAAAAGAGGTTTTCACAGCAGCATGAGAGAATGTCTTAAGGTAGAAGTTTTAAACATTAACTAGACATATTTTGTATGGTATTCTCAGAATGCTGTGAATGGAGGTGGAAGCAGCACTTAACAATCAGAGGTGGGGAACTTGTGACTCTCCAGGTGATGTTCAGCTGTAGCTGCGATCATTCCTGGCTGTTGGCTATGCTGGCTGGCACTGTTGGGAGTACAGGTCCTGGGACTCATGTGGTCTGCCCTCCTTCCCCAAACTAGCCTGTTCCCTACGGGCGCAGTGGAGGTATAGTGCCCCACTGCTGTCCAGCAGGCTTTGAATGAAAAAAGAAAAGAAAAACATATTTCCATTGCCTCAGGCAGCTAAATGTTTTGGGATGGCTCATCTTACTTTCCAGGTAGTGATGAAATTTAATTCAGTTCATGTTCACACACACATCAACCTTTGACATTTGAACTTCTCCAAATTTTGCAGTGCCGATAAATGTGTACAAAAAGGCAGGTACTCTGGTGGCGCTGTAGTCTAAAGCACTGAGCCTCTTGGGCTTGCTGATCAGAAGGTTGGTGGTTTGAATCTGCACAATGGAGTGAGCTCCCATTGCTCTGTCCCAGCTTCTGCCAACCTAGCAGTTTGAAAGCACACCAGTGCAAGTAGATGAATAGGTACTGCTGCAGTGGGAGGGCAAATGGCATTTCCATGCACTCTGGCTTCCATCACGGTGTTCCGTTGCACCAGAAGCGTTTTAGTCATGCTGGTCACGTGACCCAGAGAGATATCTGTGGACAAATGCTGGCTCCCTCGGCCTGAAGCGAGATGAGTGCAGTACCCCATAGTCACCTTTGACTAGACTTAACCATCCAGGGGTCATTTACCTTTTTAACTTTACAAAAATGCATATACAAGGGTAAAGAGTACATAAAAATGCATATACATTAGATTAAATTATATCCAAAAGTGAACTATATTAAGAGGAAATGTTTTGCAAATATGTGCATGTTAGGAGAAATTTGCACTAAAATGTTGATGAGATTTATTTTAGTAAACTTGAATGCTGATGTGGAACTGTGGAGAACTGAACCTAAAGTAGGAAAAATAAGAAACTGAGAGAAACCAAAACAGACAGATTTGCCCATGCGTACTCCCATCTCTTGACCAGCCCTTCTAGTCTTCCTCTTCCTCCCCCCCAAGCCACAAAAACATGCAGCCATCCCAATACTCTTGCAGAAATCTCTGGGAACTGTAGCTCTCCAAAGGAAATAGGAATCTCCACACAACTCTGGCACCTCTTAGGGAAGTCATGATGACTGTTAAAGAGGGTAAATTAACGCGGCAGATGCAGCCCAGAAAGCAGCTCTCTTTCTCAGGATTCAGCTAAAAAAACACTGTGATGTTCACAGCTGGAGTTAAAGTAATGACATGGTTGTTTCTTTGAAGTTAGTGCACTGATTTCAGTGGGTCTTACTTCCAGTTATCTGTGCACAGAAGGGCAGTGTGTGTTAGCTAAACGTCTCTTGTTTCAGTCAAGCCTAATTACACAAGCCGAGGTGAGAATACTCACTAGTGACAAAGTAAAGAAATGGCTGTTTTCTGGGTGTGGGTGAAGTATGAGCATAACATGAAGAGTAACCCAAAAAGAGACCAGGGATGCAATCCTATGCCTACTTACCTGGGAGTGAGTCCCACTGAAGTAAATGGGAATTGTGAGATCTGTAAAGTATTGTGTGGAAAGTGATTTCAGGTCTCACTTGTAAATATATGCTTATCTCTGCTATAGTCAACACTGCTTTAACATTAATTTCCTCTCCCCGAACAGCTGGAGCATTGAGATCAAAGGTTGCCATGTTAATTGTACATGATATTCAAATACCTCAAATGTTTTTCAGTAACGAAAATGACTGGGACTGAAATCTTTGGTTAAGAAAATACAGCCACCAAGATATGCATCCTTAAACACTAACACTACAATCCTGTAAACCAGAGGTGTCGGCCCTTTTTCAACCCAAGGGCCACATTCCCTTCTAATAAACCTTCTTAGAGCTCCACACCAGTGGTGGCTGGGATCAAATGCAAAAGTGGCTGGAGTAAACCATGTAAATTTTACCTTTGTACACACCTTCTCTCTAAGCTCCATCCAAAGTTGAAGGACACATTCCAGCCAGGCAAAAATCCTCAGAGTGCACAGCAGAGGTGTGGCCTGGGGAGAGTTTCAAGGTCCAGATAAAGAGGCCTAGAGGGCCACATTCGCCCCAGGCTTGAGATTTCACACCCCTGCTATACACACTTACCTGTAAGTCCCACTGTACTTTATACAACTTACTTCTGAGAAGATATGCAGAGAATCACTAAATTACAGGATTATTAAATCAGCATTGTGGGGTTTTTTTACTGCCAGCAGCTGCCTGTTCTCTTCATTTTCTTCTGCCACTGCCCTTAGTGCTTTTGTATTCCTAATTTCTATGGTTGCCATCTCTCTCTGTGTGTGTTTGTGCATATGCATGTCAGAACCCTTGTACTTTGATTTGCTGCCTAACAAGCAGAAGTTCAGCAGGAAAGCCTTTCCCTCATATTGCCCCAAGGGCCATGAAAAGCAGCACCTGTTCATACCTAAACAAAAAAGTGTTTAGGTGTTGAAAACAATATAATGAAAGTCCTTGCCTAGCACAGACTTCCAGAGAGTAGTTGATGCCACACTGAAATTTGTGGAGAGAATATTATGTGGCACCTGTAAAAGTTGGAAGGGACTCCAAGGGTAATCTAGTCCAACCCCCTGCAATGACCAGCCTCCTTCTGCCCCTGCTCCTCAGTCCAAACTCTACTGCATCCAGAAAACTGTGCAACCCCAGAGACAGTGCACAAGTGTGCACCCAGAATAAAAATAATTTGTGCATTTATTTTCTTACATTTATATCCTGCCGTTTGTCATGGAACCCAAGGCGGCATAAACATCTGGTTCCTGAGCAGGTAGTTAGTTACACATCCAGGGACTGATTAGAATCCAGGCCTGCTTAGCTTTAGCAAGGATATCATAGAATAATAGAATCGTAGGGCTAGAATGGATGACCTTGAGGGTCATCTTGTATACCTGCAGACCAGAACGCAAGTCAATAACAAACACTTCACTCTTAACTCTACCAGGGGTCAGCAAACTTTTTCAGCAGGGGGCCGGTCCACTGTCCCTCAGAACTTGTGGGGGGGGCCAGACTATATTGGGAGGGGGAATGAATGAATTCCTATGCCCCACAAATAACCCAGAGATGCATTTTAAATAAAAGCACACATTCTACTCATGTAAAAACATGCTGGTTCCCAGACCGTTCACCGGCCAGATTTAGAAGCCTATTGGGCCAGATCCGGCCCCCGGACCTTAGTTTGCTTACCCATGCTCTAGGCTCAAGTAGCCCCTAGAGTGGTGTATTCTGCAACATGTCATTGACACAACCACTGTGCATTTGTGGTGCATTTATACTGAACTGTCCATAAGTCATTCCTCTTTATTAGTTATTCTGTGATACTTTCTCAATGTTACCACATTATTGCAGTCTGCAGGGGCATATTTCTGCTATAGGGCAATGAAAGTGGCACAAAAAATAAGCCTGGAACGTTTGTGGTATAAAAAGTCACAGGATTACAGGAGGTTTCCAAGCACATGTTTTAATCGCAGGTGGTATCTGAACTGGATTTGAATTGATACGTGCTGCTGTTTGTTTTAACTGTTCTATTGCAAATGTTTTACGGTAAGTGTGTGTGTATGTATGAGAAAATGTTTCACCTGCATTTATACATGCAATTGTTCTGTACATGTTTATTGCATTGAAAATGGCTTTGGGATACCTAGTGAGAAGTGAATAATAAAGTAATATTTTTAATTTTTTTAAAATCCCCACCAAGGACAAGAACCTTTGGAAGGTAAGAGCTGTTTGACAGTAGAAGGGTCTCTCTTGAAAACTGGTGGACTCTCCTTCATGGGAGGGTTTTAAGCAGAGATTGGATGGCCATCTCTCAGGGATGTTTTAATAAGATTCCTGCATTGCAGGAAGCTCGAAGTCCCTTACTACGAATACAGAATAGTCACAGCAACACCACCTCTCCATCGCCCACCATACAAGTGGAAACGTCCAGGTTCAAGAGTCTACCTAAAGCCACACATAAAAGGAATTAAGTAGATAAAGCCACCTCTCTCTCTCTCTTACACACACACCCTTTTTACTTATATCAAATTCTGGCCGAATGCTGCCACCTTCCCAGCACCTGTCGAGGTGATCCGCTTCAGCTCGGATCCCCTCTGGGCAGCTCTCTTCCAGCCGGATCCTCCGCGGGTTTTGCGCGGGAGCCTGTTTCCCTCAGAGCTTTCTCTCCGTCCCCAAGGAAGCGCGAAACAAGTTCCCGCCGCGGGCCCGCAGGGGATGGGCGCCGTTGTCCGGAAAGACGACGGGCACCGGGGCGCAAACCTCTGCGCGCTTCCTCGGACTCCTCCTCTGTCTCCCTCCCGTGGCCCCGATTCTCCGCGCACCCACCTGCTCTTGGGGAGCCCGGCCTTTACCAGACGGCGCGGGAGGGTCTCCGGGCGAGCTCTGCCATCGGCTCCTCGGCCAAATACCCTCAGCTCCCTTGGCAGCGGCGGCAGGAGTAGCAGCGCCCGCTCCGGGCGTATTTGCGCAGCCGGCCCCACCCGCCGCCCTCCTCTCTCTCTCTCTCTCTCTCTCTCTCTCTTTTTCAGGTGATCCGGCTGGGGCAGGGCCAAGTGCCGAGCCCTCTTCCTCCTCCGCCCCAGCCGTGGGCACAGCAGAGAGAGGGAGAGGGAAAGAGAGGCGAGGGAGGGGAGAAGCCGCCTCTCCATTGCTCTGCCCCAGATCTTGCTTGCAGAAGCCTCTCCTGCGTATGGGGAGGAGGAGCGAACAAGAGTTCCCTTGAGCATGTGCAGAGTGCGTTGCCCTCTCGCCATCGCGGCGGGAATGCACGTGATCACCGACCCCACACCACAGGCGCTGTTGTTACGTGCATGTTCAGCCCCTCCTCACAACATCGGCTGCATTTCAATCCTTAAATGAGTGGTAGCGAACCTTCGTGGTATCTAAAGTAAAAGGTAAAGGGACCCCTGACCGTTAGGTCCAGTCGTGGCCGACTCTGGGGTTGCGCGCTCATCTCGCTCTATAGGCCGAGGTAGCCGGTGTTTGTCCGCAAACAGCTTCCAGGTCATGTGGCCAGCATGACTAAGCCGCTTCTGGCGAACCAGAGCCGTTTACCTTCCCGCCGGAGTGGTACCTATTTATCTACTTGCACTTTTTGGCGTGCTTTCGAACTGCTAGGTTGGCAGGAGCTGGGACCGAGCAACGGGAGCTCAACCCGTTGTGGGGATTCGAACCGCCGACCTTCTGATTAGCAAGTCCTAGGCTCTGTGGTTTAACCCACAGCGCCACCCACGTCCCTTAGGTATCTAAAGTAGACCAGCAGAAATCAATGGACTCAGCATTATGTTGGGGCCGCCAATGACCACTGACCCCGCATACACACATACCTCAGGCGTGATCGCACGCAGGCACAGAATCATAGAGTTGGAAAGGATCTAAAGGGTCATCTAGTCCAACCTCCTGCAATGCAGGAATATGGAAGTCCCCATATGATGTGTCTTGTGTGCAACACGTCATATGGGGACTTCCAGTGAGGAAAAATGGCGGGCGCCATGGTAGCGAGCAGCTCCTGAAGCCAGCCAGAGCCAACTGCGCTACCAGGCTGGCTCCGGGCTGCTAACTGCCACTGCCGCTGCCGAAGGGGAACCGGGGATCTCCTGCTCCCTTCTCCCTTTGTTTTGACTGATTGGGGGAGGCTTGGGAGTTGCAGGCGAGTGGGCATTGCCCAGTTTTTAAAAAAACTCTGCGTATTTATGTTTCACAGGGTGCGAAAGAAGGGCTTTGCACACAATATGCATGTGTGCTTGGGCCCAGGGTCTTTTGCCTCACTATCTCCACTACTGACTCCCTGTTGCTAGATTAATTGAAAAAAATCTGATAACCTTACCGTAAGTACGTGTGGTTAGTATAAGAGAGGAAGTTGCTCTGTGCCAGAGGGCAAATGGATGGGTCCCTCCCACACCTGGCTGGTAGTGAGAAGGTCAAAGACCAGGGCAAGTGGTGCGTGAGCTGGGCTAGGATCTCATACTGTGACTATGGGAGAAGCAATAACTCTTGGGGTGTTAATGTTGTAAAGGTAAAGGGACCCCTGACCGTTAAGTCCAGTCGTGGACGACTCTGGGGTTGCGGCGCTCATCTCTCTTTACTGGCTGAGGAAGCTGGCGCACAGCTTCTGGGTCATGTGGCCAGCATGACTAAGCCGCTTCTGGCGAACCAGAGTAGCGCACGGAAACACCGTTTACCTTCCCGCCGGAGTGGTACCTATTTATCTACTTGCACTTTTCGAACTGCTAGGTTGGCAGGAGTTAATGTTGTAGATATGTGTAAATGAGCAATATATAACAAAGACACCAGAATCTCTGCTGTCCCTCATTCCATAGAAACCAAACCCTGGGTAAGCGCCTGGAACCCCTGGAATCTTGCATCACTCAGAGTTTGGTCCTGGCATGCAATATTTTAATTTATTAAATGGGTGATAGCCAATATTGGTCATTATCAGAGTAGACCCACTGCAAGAAGTAGCTCTACAACTAATGTTGGATATTGACCCGGTGTTTTTATTTGTTCTATTTAGTTCTCTCATGCATTTATTTCTACCATAGGACTCAAATGTGTAATATAACAGTCTATAAAACTATTAAACAGCAAGTCATAATGCAGTAATAAAATCATAAAACACAAACACACCCTGGAAAAGTTCACAATCCCAGGTAAAACAGAACTTCCATCTCAGTTCAGGGATAGGCGAGAAGTGATTCAGCAGACATATCCATACCATACTTTTAAAGCACATTTATACCACTTTAACAGGCATGACTTCCCTCAAAGAATTCTGGGACTTGTAGTTTACCCCCACAGGATTACAATTCCCAGCACCCTTAACAAGCAACAGTTCCCATAACTCTTTGAGGGAAGCCACATGCTGTAAGTGTTCATTCAATGCATGTTATGGGCATGGTGACCTAAATAGCTAGATCTTCCCTGGCCAGTGAAAACAAAAGAGGGTGGAAGCGGAATAGCTCTGGGGTTTCACAATGCTGGCACAGCCATTCAAAAGGCCCTTGGCTGTAGCAAGGCCCTCCATCTTTAATCATTCTGTTTGTTTGTTTTTGTATGGCTCCTTGAGGATCAGTTTCATGGAAAGGCAGCACAGAGATTTATGTAGAGCAAGGTGGAAGCAGGCACATAGGGAGGAAATCCTGTTCCTCCTTTGCTGGTTTTGGGGTCACAAGTAGATGTATGATTTAAAAACCACTCTCCTATCTTGTCAAGCCCCTCTGAGTCTTCTGTGGGATGGGAGGTCACAGGTTTAAATTTCATCTTAGCCATTACAATGGTACCTCGGGTTACATTCTCTTCAGGTTACGTACACACTCCACTAAGCCAGAAATAGTGCTTCAGGTGAAGAACATTGCTTCAGGATAAGAACAAAAATCGCACAGCGGTGGAGCGGCGGCAGTGGGAGGCTCCATTAGCTAAAGTGGTGCTTCAGGTTAAGAACAGTTTCAGGTTAAGAACGGACCTCTGGAACGAATTAAGTACCTAACCCGAGGTACCACTGTACATTACATTACCTTGGGTTACAAACTTGAATACGTTCTGGAGGTATGTTCTTAACCTGAAACCGTTCTTAACTTGAGGTGCGCTTTCGCTAATGGGGCCTCCCGCAGCTCTGCTGGCGCGCGATTTCCACTGTCATCCTGGGACAAAGTTCTCAATCCGAGGTACTACTTTCGAGTTAGTGGAGTTAGTTACCCAAAGTGTTTGTAACCCAAAGTGTTTGTAACCCGAGGTAGGACTGTAATTTGTTGGGCAGCCTTAAGCAACACTCTTAGACCTTATAGGGCTGGTGTTGCCAGAAGGATTGGGATAACTATTGTTTCTTAATACTGTACTTTATTCATAAGTGTCACTGTTGTATTTGTGTTTTTCCAGCATTTTTATCCTGCTTTTTTTTTTTTTTTGGATATTCTCACTGTTAGCCATCCTGTAAGCCTTTTAGAAAAGGCAAAATACAGTATTTTAAAAATAAATAAAATAAATGTGAAGTGTTCTCAGACTTTGGGAAATGCATTGTCCTTTTGTATTGACTATAATAATACAATACATAACATGTTTCTTTTAAATGTTAATTAATTCACATTATTTAACATTAATAAAATAGAATTATTGTCAGGTTGGAAACCTTAGTATCACTTGAACACCCTTACTAAGACTCCTTCTTCTTCCCTTTACTTCTGATGTTCGGGTAGTGAGTGCCATTGTTAATATAGCCAAAACAGTACAATCCAGGCATACTACTGTATAGCTGTATCAGCAGGTTCAGGGAACTGCAGAAGTTTGAAGAAGTACAATTTTATTTTAAGGGTGGTGTGTGTAGGGGGGTGGAATCCTCCCTCAAGGGGGAGAAACAATCCCGAATAGGCCAGGTGTGCCCAGTGGCTGTGAAATGCTGATTGCCTGTTTGCGGGGTGTGTGTGTATGGAGGGGGGAGACCACTAAGGAAGAGAGAATGGAGTGGAGTGGCTGGAGCACTGCAACATTTTGTTGCAGCTTCCACTTTTCTTAAAAAATGTTTTTATTAATTTTTAGTAATCAAAAATACAAAACAAATGATAACAATGAATAGGAAACAATTCCATGGGTAAGGTTCAAAACCATGTAAAGTATTCATTATTGTTATTGTTTTTATTACAGGGGCCAACCCAAAGTACTCAGCCAGTTGGCCGTGGGTGGCTGGATGATTGCAGACTTTCTCTTTTTTTGCACCGTGTGTAATAAGACAATGTCATATGTCAGAAAAGTTATCTGCTCCAAATCATTTTCTTCAAGCCTTAAGTTTATGTGTTAATTTCCCCATCATTGCTAAGTTCCATACCTCATGATTCCAAGCAACAAGGGGGAATGTCACAAGGTCATTTTGGAACACTAATTTACGTTACCCATCAACTCTGTGTAAGAGAGCCGGTCCAGATAAAAATGACTGGGTGGTAATGCTGTTGATTTCTTAAAATCTATTCCTCCAGAACATAGCAACGTCTCGACCCAGCCACCACATGTGACCAAAAAATGTACTCACATGCCTACATCCCTCCGGCACATCCAAGAAAACCATTTCTTTGTTCTGTGGAGATTATGGTGGGGATGGTGAGGTATGAACAATATATTATTTTTGTAGCATTTCCTCTTACCCTGGCAGAGACAGATTAAAACAGGGTCTTGTTCCATATTCTATTCCAAGAGTCCTCACGTATTTTCAGTTGAAAATTGTGTTCCCAGGGAATGTTACTTACCACCGTGGCCACAGGGTCCACTTTTAAAAAATGTATTACACTGGTTGTTCTGTTTGGCCTCACAACATCTCATTTCCATTTTACAGCTGAGGAGCTGAGGCTTGATCCTACCCGATCCTCATTTCCCAGTCCTGAGCACAGCTCATTGGAATGTGTTATGCTGACATCAAAGCACCTGGCTGTGTCACCACCAAATCATTTATGAGGCAAGAGGTTTGAAGATAATAAACGTGATAAGGAATGTTCCTGAGAAAGTTCAATATCAGGCTGGTGCTCAAGACAAGGGAAACACCCCCAGCCACCACCTCCCAAGCTGTAGATGCTTCTCAGTGTGGGCTGAATGATTGCACCAGAAGAAACTACCTCGCCCCAGTAAAACATGTAAAGGAAAGGCAGTCCCTCTCCAACATCCTTATGGGTCACCCAAAACTACAGGTAGAATCTGGCACACCCAAATTCTCACTTCCATTGATAGGATGGGAAATCATCATATGGGAATATGGGAATGGATTGTCTCCTGATTCTGTGTAAGTACTTGGGAATCTCTGAAAGAAGGAGAGCACCAGGAGTGGGGCAGGTGAGTGCAAGGCCATCTCAGTGAGATTTGAACTTGCACTCTTATCTTATACCTAAAAAAATGGGGTTGGCTTTTAACAACCCTTCTTCTTTGACGATCACTCATAGCCGAGTGTGTGTCTTCCATGAACATGGTCTTAACAGTGAGTCCGTAAGTGACTGTGGAGGCCAGTTTTGGAACCACAAGTCCTTTCACAGTGGGGACATAGGTTTCCAGGTGGGAGTTGATCACAGTGATGGTTTGCCAAGCATGCCTTCCTCTTAACATGTTTCTCCCTTTTGTCCCAAGTTCAAGCGTCTTCAGAATCCATGACACCTTTGGTAAAGGCTGTTCTCCAATTGGACTGCTCGCAGGCCAGTGTTTCCCAATTGTCTGTGGGACAGCCCAGCTCCCCAAGGGACTCAGAGTCCCCTAAGTCTGTGATAGGTCACAGAAGAATGGATGGAGGTAGGAACCAGTAGAAGAAAAGCAAGGAAGATCTTTATTTTTCCGTTGTAACAGAGTCCCACCCCCACCCTGCCCTCCAAGGAGGTGAGGACCCAGAACAAGTGTAACAACTTTTAAAGTTTTTAAAATTGCCCAACTCCTTAGTCAAAGACCACCCAAAAGCATCATACAAGTGTCACAGAAAGATGCCTACCATAGAAAATTGAGAATATGGCTTATCTCCTGTCTGTTAAGATACCTGATAATGCTTGCTGATTGCATTATCCTGGCCAGTCTGGGCCATTCTTTTGAAATGCTAAATTTCTGAAAACATTGTCACAGACCTCCCCTATTCATACACAAGATTAGTCCTTTTGACAGGATTTGAATGATTTGTGAGTGGAAAGAACTATTGGGAAAGGTTTTTCCAAGACTCTTCCTTCTGTAGAGAAATATTTGGGGTCATTAAGAGAGCCAAGATGGCTTTGGGATTGTTCTGTGTACTAAAATAAAGTGTAAATTTTTTCAGGGAATGTTTCCTAATTTTTAAGGGCGAAGGACTGGTTTTCTGTGGAGTGTGTGCACCTTGAAATGATTACAACAGCTACCACACTGCACCAGCGCTCGAAAGATGCACTCCTGACTGCTAGGGTTTATTTATTTATTTATTTATTTATTTATTTATTTATTTATTTATACTGTCTTTTTACCGAAAGGAACATGTAGGTCTGATAACTGGGAATCTTTTGCAGTGCCTAAAAGACCAGAATTGCTCTTTCAAAATGGTAGCTAAAAAAACCAGAAACATCCACAACCTAATGAAAACTAATTTTTAACCCAGGCCATACTTCGAAAAGAGGAAGTGCTGAAGGGCAGGTAACCTTCACTTTATTTGCCTCCTGACTCCCTCCCACAAAGGGAGAGAGATGTCAAAAGGCTCTTTAACCCTCTCCTCCCCTTGTGAGGGGACACTTCCTACAGAATCACAATGGTCACACAAACACCATACATTTAAAGCACATTACTCCTCCCCCCCCCCAAAAAAAAATAAATCCTGGGAAATGTGCTTTAAATGTCTGGTGCATGTCTGGTGAGCCTCACTCACTCAAAGTTAGCAAGTCAGGAAAACAAATTAGCTTGACATACAGTGCTGATTCTACCCCAGGCCACCCCGCCCCCAATTCAGAGAACATTCATACATGTGTTTACCCCTTTCCCTACAGCCTGAAGTGGCACAGACCATAAAAACTGTATATTGATTTGGTTCTGCTGAATGCGTAGATTGGCCCAGAGTTCTCTTCTTGCCGTCACTCCCATCTGCTTGTGGACATGTGCCAGCAGCCGAAAATGTGCTATTCACAGGCGGAGAAGGTTAGCCCCAAGACCCTGGAGATTCATGATCAGATCTCACAATCCTCTTTTATGTTCCCAATTCAAAACAGGTGCAGACAGGCTCTGATTTTTGATGCCAGGGGAGATTTAAACTCCTCCTGCACCATGCTGTTGTCCCTAACCTATACAATATACAGTAGATCCCTTAAGCTGAGTGAAGTATTAGCAAAAAAGGGAGTTGCAAAGGTAACTGATTTGATATGGCACAGATTACCTAGACATCCTTCCAACCTGGTTTCTTCCAGATATTTCAGACTGCAGTTCCTATAACACTAGGGCAGTCACACATCTGGAAATTCCAGGGGGAAATTCTGAAAAGCGGTGCTTTGTCTTGGATCTTAGGCAAGTCAATAAAAAAAAAATCACAGTTGGTTTTTTTGGGGGGAGTTTTTGTAAAAAAAACACAACTCAATACATTTGGGGTTTTCCTAAAAAAAGCTCTGAGAATGCTGGGTGGGGATTATGGGAGCTTTGAACCAAAAATCTAGAGGGCACCAGTTTGGGGATTTGGGGAAGGCTGTCGATGAAGCCAGAGGAAGATCAGAGGGGGGTGATGATCTTTCATAGGGAAATGGATACTAATTTAGCACACTCACACCTAGGTCTTCAGGCCACAGATGCCCAGACCAGCTGACTTTTTATTTAAAAAAAAAAATAGTAGAATGATAACTAATTAAGATGGTTGCACATCATTATTGCCATACTAGAAGAGGGCAAATGATAATGTATAATGTTCCCCAGGCAACTGGGAACGAAGTTTAACAAACCAAGGAGAGGATTAGAAAAGAGTTTTTACAGAAGGATATGAAGAAGCAACATGTTGTGGGATTGGCAGCCAAGCTGATTATGTACACTAGCCCTGGTATAATATTTGCATCCTCCAACGACAACTCTGCGGTCTGAAATGCAAGTGTGTGATTTAGAAACGCAAACCACATACTTGGCTGCAGAGAGGCAGTTGTGTATACATTTCTATCAGCGGGTACTTAATCACATGGGAAGCAACCAACTGGGGAAGGAAAAATTATTTATTCTAATGATTTGTTAGGCTCTTTGAATGCTACACCACGTATTTTCAATTGTTCCTTTGCAGTGGGGCTTGCAGTGGGTGTTGCTTATACTCTGGAAGCCTGACGGGGATGAGAATTCCCAAGTGGATCCGATCCCTAGTGAAAGCAGCAGGGTTCTCATTCAGTGCTGAATTTAAACAGCACTGAATGGAAGCCCTGCAGAGGGCGCGCCATTTCCTGACCCAGCTTTTAGGACAAAAGTGGCTCCCCACCCCAATTTAAAGGATCAGGGTCCATGAGCGAGCAAAATTCTACTAGAAGTGAATTAGCTCGATTTGAGCTTGGCCCAGACATTCCTAGCCCTAGTAGAAGGTCCACTGTTCAAGTATGAATGACAAAGTAGCAGAATAACACCTTGAAGTTGCAATAAAAGCCCACACAGGAAACAGTAAATAGGGAAATAACTTTTTGCTATGTTGATTGCTCATATTAACGAGATTTGGAACCCGTTCTTTCCTTCCCTCACCCCACCTTGAAACTTTCGAAACACTTAGTTACCTAAACAAACACACCTCCCCTATCACTAGATAAACCTGTCTCCCGGTGAAGGAAAAAATTATGTCAGTGTATGAAATCTATATATATATATAGACAGACAGAGAGAGAGAGAGAGATATCACATCACCTGCTTTGAAATCAATTAAGTAGGAACAGCTTCAGGCCTTTGCTGGAGAAATGGTTCAGCACACAAGAGCACTAGCTCCAAGGAAGGGTAGAAGGGCACAAAACCTTTGTGGGGAAGGGATGGTGGGGTCCTTCGGGATGAAACACTCTTCCGTGATTCATTACTGCAAATTTTATACTGCTTATTGGTAAAACTTCTGTTTTAATGTTCTGGAAATAGGCTTGTACAGCCAGCGTTTTAACAGGTAGCACATTCCCAGTATTATTCCCAGTATGCAAACCGTGCTCCTCTTTTCTGGTGGTGGACAGGAAACATAGTATAATGCCTGGCCTACTGCTAACCCACCTACCTCTGTTCATCTCTGAAGCCCTTCTTATGTTCCCCAGGAAGGCCAGCTCAAGACATTTGAGGCTCAAGAGGGAATATCTCTGCCATGCTAATTAACACGGGGGCAAAATGTGCCAAGTTCTCCTGCACAAGCTAATGAAAATGAAAATTGCAGCAAGGCTCAGCCAGACGAAATTCACAATAGACTGTGGTTTCATAGGTCATCTCTGTCTCCTTCCCTCCTGTTTCACAGAGAAAAAACAAGGCACATAAATGGCAAAATGTTTTATTTGTCCTTTTTGAAAAACACTGTTGACCATCATCTATAGCAATACCAGGCTGTAAAACACGTCTCATGATTTGACACTTCATTATGAAAAGCACAGTATTCTCCAAGTTCTATAGCCCTGGTCCCCAACTATCAGGAAACCACTCCGAGAAAGTACAATTTATGGGCCAAGGCATTTTGCTGCCTGAGGCAAAGGACAGGGTGGAGTTTCCCCCTCCCATCCCATCTGCACAAGACAACTAGGCTGACAGCTGGATCTTATTTCAACACTAGCGACAGAATAATGCCCTCTGCACCTGCGGGCAGCAGGCTAGTTCAGGAGGTGCAGCACAGGACATGTGGCACACAGAAGGGAATGGCAAGGGAGGAGTCAAGAGAAACAGAGGGTGGCTGCCACCACTGCCTCCAATCATCTGCCAACTGAGGGTTCATTCTGCCTAATGACAGGGACAGCCCTGGAAAGCAGAAGGCGTGGCAGCCTAACACCCCAATCCTCACTCTCTAAAGCAGCCTGCCAGCATACCTCGCCGCTTCAAATATTGGTCTCTTTACACTTCTCTCACCTCTGCATTGGCAATGAGGGAACATTTTTCAGGAAAGCAGATTTGGCCCCAAGGGCAGATCCTCTTTCTACTGCCTTAGGAAACAGCTTGCCTAGAAAATTGACAGGTACCAGGCAATTTTGTTAAGTATATATTTATAGGTGATCTCGCTATTGTACATAAACCTATAAAAGAATACATCTTGCAGCTTCACTACTGAAGAGATTAGGACTCCTGAAGAGAAGGTGAATGTCAGCTACGGGGAATCTAGTTGAGGTATAGAGGGTTTCAAAGACCCACAAACAAAGCTATACCACCTGGATATCATCATGGTTCACATTCAGGAATTGATTTCCTCACCTCCTAAGTTTATCATGCAAAAACAGACTTAATACTCTGTTCTGAGCACACCGCAGTAAACATGGATCATTTATTAGAAAGAACCAAATTCTACTTTTCTTTAGAACAAATGTTATCAAGATGTTTTTTTTTAAAAAAATGCTAACAGAAGAGAGGAAAACGCCTTACAACATATTTTAGGGAACCAACAACTTCTGTGATAAGTACCTTTGCCTTGGTTCTTAATAAACAGGCAAGAATTAAGATTTATTCTGGTAAAAGAGCAACTGCCTTTATTCTCCACTATATTCAACTTTACATGTGCATCAAGAGTTTGGGGTAGCCCATGAAGAAAGTATAACTGGCCCAAGGCCAGCCAGTAAATTTTAGCGTTGTGCAAGCTTTAAATGGGACTTACTTGTCCACCTCCAACACTGTACCCCTAAAACCTGGTCCCGAGCAAAGACAGTCTTCACTCACTAGTAGGACAAAGTCCTGCTTAAGCTTGAAGTGGTACAGACTTCCTTGAATCACTATAAATAAGGGGTCATTTGGACTGATGTTAGCGGCTAGCCATTATTGGTGGCTTCTTTCTCTGTGGCTTCTGACAGATGTAGAGAACTGAAACCTGTATAATTTTTCTGCCGTGTATTTGGCTCCAAAGAGTCTCAAGCAAAAGCGATTCAAACTGCTTCTGAATGTTTCCATAGCCTGGTGCAGAGACTTGAACACACTCCCCCCACTACGTATGTCAGATAAAGTGGAGCAGGAAGAAAAGCGGTTTCCGACACTGGGCATAAAGAGAGAGGTCCTTCCTCACTGAGATCCAACACAATTCCCAGCAAATTTGCATGTAGTCCACAAAAGCTTGTGCTGTAATACTCTTGGTTTTAGCAAATTTGGTAGAGCTGATGGTTTTATAGATAAAATAGAATCCAACATATACTTCCCACCCACCCCCTCCATTCTTTCATTTAGTTCAACCATAAAAAGTACCAGCTATGTAGTGTTACGGAAAATATCTGGCATCTGAAGGTGCTACTTTGCTGAAAATTGCTAAGGTGGGAAACACAGTGTTAAGAAAAGGCATAACAAACAAGGCTAGCCTTATTTGTCAAGTCTAGGCAGCTGGGTGGTCAACACTTTTCCTGCAGCACATTCTTCTCCCTCCCTAAGAAGTAGTAGGGATAGAAGATTCAATGCAAAGGGAGAGAGGGAAGGAAGGAAGGAAAGCTCAGGCAATAAGCAAGCAATTCCAGCAGAAGCTCCCCCAAACCTGCTAAATCAATGTTCTCTGCAAAGAGAACCAAAAGGGGTCTGAAGAGGGCTTGGGTGTCAAGAAGTAGGACAGTTGAAGGGTGGGAGGGCTGTAATAGCTCAGCAAAGAAGACTATGTAGCAGAGTGGATAAAAATAAAAAAATCGGATTTTTTCATTTAAATTGGATTTTTTTTTAGTTAAATCGGATTTTTAAAATAAAATTGCTTTTGGAGGAAAAATATTTCTAAAGATAGTTTTCTATTTAAGTTACATTATAGTCTAAAGGCTATTCATCAGGAAAGAAGGATTTGTTTTAAGTTTTTAATGTGTGCTAAAACTCAGTCTGTTGTTGTTTTTTTAAATTGTTTAACCACATCAGTTAACAAACATGGATACATATGCTATAATGTTATTGTTTTAGTAAATAAATTGTTTAAATTATTATTGAGGAAATGATTATTTTTCTCCTTCCAATAAAGTACAGCAGAAAAGTTGCCCAAATATAAACAATAATTTCATAATTATTTGTCTATGTATTTCTAACAGTATAACCAAATCAGTAATTTTTGATATAACTGTATAAAGTACTCTGAAAATTTATTATTCCAAAAATGAAACCTACATCTGGTTGTAAATATGAAGATTATACCAGCAAGAATGAGTCTTTCTGTAAAAAAGTGATTTAAATCAAGTCTTACTGACTAGTGATTTAAATAGTGATTTAACTTGATTTGATTTAAATCAAATCAAATCCACCCTGCTATGTAGGGGCACAAACCAGTCTGAGCCTTTAGGAGGAAATGGGGAAAAGAAAAAATGGGATATATACTTCCAGACCTGCACAGGGGCACATCTACACTGTCACTGCTGTAGGGGGTGGCTGTGCACTTTTGCATACCACATCCTGGAGAATCCAGTTGAGGAATTTAGTTGGCTGGACAAGACGTGCAACACTCTGGCGCTAAGCTTTTGAAGAGCCATGTGGATGTAGGACCCTTCCTGGCTGTATGAATCCTGCTGCTAGAGATACAAGATAAACACAGAAAATAAATCCTGCACTTGGGACAGTCACAGCTGGAGACAGACACAGGCTAAGAAAAATTAGGAGACACAGGCCAAAGAGGGAGTCAGTCCATAATCTGCAGCTTCCTAGTTTGCATTTCATAGGTGCAACGAGCAGAAAGACAACCTATCACAGTTCCAATGTTGTCTTTTGCCTCACGTCAATTCACAAGAGTACCTTGAAATTCAACACACACAACTATGGCATTTCTAAGGAAAAACAAAAATCACAAAAGCAAACCTGTTTGGAAATTTGGTTCTATCACCCCAAACCAGTTTGAGATTTTTCTACTGATAACAATGTACATTGTACATTACATTTATATTTCATCAATATATTACTTAGAACATCATGTTACTCAGATCATGTTATACATCAGCACACAAAAATATACATGAGACTCACATACAAAACCATGTGGTAACCCATATAGAGATGGCAGCAGCCAAGTTCCTTTCTGCCTTCTGAACACCAAGAAAATGGTAACACACATTCCAAAAATGGCACCTTCCTAGTATTCTAGGACTTGAAACCCAGTGGATTTGCTACATCTTGGGAGTTAACCTTAAAATTAAAGTGCTCTTCAAAACGTTGGCATCTATAGTCTTTCTGATGCGAGACGACTACAAGAGAAGTCTTTTGCCGCTATGCGTCACACAGCAATGCAAACATTTACCACTCACTGCTGTTGTCAGAGAGCCTCAAATTCAGTAGTGCATCCCACCCCCTACCTCTAGCGTACATTCAAGAGTTTTGGTTTCATTTATTAATGTGGGTGGTGGATCCGGGCGCTTCGTCTGCACTATCTTCTGTTTGGGATTTTTAATTTCATCTTCCTCTTCTGTTTCACTTTCGCACACATGGACGACGACACTGGGAGTGGATTCTGTTCCTGCATGAAGCTCATACTTCTCCCCTAGAGGGTAGGACAAATTACAGCATTATTGTATTAGCATGGTGGACAGCACACTATAAAAGGTGCATGTGTGTGTGTATCTATATCTATATACATCTATACAGTGGTACTTTGGGTTAAGTACTTAATTCGTTCTGGAGGTGCGTTCTTAACCTGAAACACCACTTTAGCTAATGGGGCCTCCTGCCGCCGCCGGAGCACAATTTCTGTTCTCATCCTGAAGCAAAGTTCTTAACCTGAAGCACTATTTCTGGGTTAGCGGAGTCTGTAACCTGAAGCGTATGTAACCTGAGGTACCACTGTATATCTATATATCTGTATCTCCCCTCTTAAATTCTAAACAGTGTATCAAAACTACAGGACAATTTGAGTAGAAATGACCTACTCAACATCACTTGCTCCCAGTCCCTTTTTTGCCTCACAAACAAAGCAACTTCCAACTTGTGGTGCCAACAACCAGCACCACTGGGGAGCAGGAAATCAATCTGCTCGAACTGTGCAGAATCAAATTTTAAACAATCCATTCCAACTTCACATCGTTAAGTTTTGTGGTTATGGAATTCTGTTTACATTTTGTACCAAAATTATTCTTTTTACCTATAGTCCTTTATTGCAGTCTATTGCAGACAGAAAAGTTCACAAAAGTTATTAGACGACAGACGTTTATGGTAGCCCCCTCACCCCTCACGCATATTAGTCATTTGTGGTCCCAAAACAAAGCAAAGCTTTTTTTTAAAAAAAGTTTCCTTTCATAGTCATCTCGGGACCATTTTTATGTGTCACAGGCTACCAGGCAAGTGGAAATTTACAAGCCTGCTGCTATCATTTTTTTCTAATATAGAAATGGAGAAAGCAAGGCAGAAAAAAAGCATTCCTACCAGGGCCCAATTTTGAAACAGCACAGAGCAAGTCATAGTTTATCATGGGAGTGGCATCTTCACTTGGCTTCCATCCTACTGGTGGAGATGCAGGTGGCGATATCAGGAACTGTTTGACAGGCTGTGGTGGCAAGAGGTAAGATTTGTCTCCCACTTCATTGGGCACCTGAACCTGAGAAAACAAATGCAGTCAAAACAGTAAGAGGAGGCCATTATTCTCTTGAAAGATAGTTCTTAACTATTTTTCTAGCCTAGCCACACAATTCACCTCTTTCACTGACTGGAGAAGGAATCCAGATACTAAACGCACAGTTTCCTTCCCTGTAGCTATTTTAGTTAAACATTGACCATGCCGTCAGTATAGAATACATTGACTAAGCTCTTATGAAATGCCTACACTACAAATGTACTACAGAATGGTTTTCAGGTCTTAGCTCATCCATTCTTCCAGCTGGGGAGGCCACTACCATGCAATTTTACAGCCATGGATCTGCTCAAAGCTATCCACTGAATCACTGGCTAAGCAAGGAATAGATCCCCAGCCTCATGACTAATTAAATGGTCGTACATGTGCTGTGATTAAGCGCAGGGACATATATGGTATGTGACTGCAGTATTTTCTTCTTTACAATAGTGTTTCTAGTGCTTATGGCTGTGAAGTGTATGATTGATTTCTGATGAAATAAAAAAGCCAGTGATGGCCAAACAAGAAGTCCAGTGGTGGTGGGAGGGAAGGGGAATAGTCATGCCCTGTTTGGATTCTTACTCCTCTTCTTCACTACTGAAGCTAGAATAAAATGAACACAAATAGTAGACAAAAAATGAATAATTGTATGAGGTAAGAGAAATGCAGGTCACAGGAACAATACTTTCTAAGAGTAGAGTTTTACATTTTTTTAAAAAAGCATTGAGTGCATAGAGCCCTAACCCTCTATAGTGAAGTACAGCAGCTCATAAAACATCTGCAAGGAACATACTGGCTTGTGTACATTCCTTTCTGAAAGGAAAACATAGCCTTATGGCCACCAACTGTTGTGGTTGGGGTTGCACTAAATAATATATAATGTTTGAGAATTCTTGGAGACTGGGTGAGGTCCCTGCAGACTGGAGGCAGGCAAATGTCTCCTTAGAAGATGATGTGATTATTAAGACCCAGCATAGGTTTTTCAAAAACAAGTCATGCCAGATGAATATCATTTCCTTTTTTTATAGTTACAAGCTTGGTGGGTCAGGGGAATGCTGTGGGTGTAGAGTATCTTGATTTCACTAAGGCTTTTGACAAAGTCCCCCATTATATTCTTGCGAGGAAGCTGGTAAAATATGGGCTGGATGAGGTAACTAATGGTTCCTCTTCATCCAGAAAAAGGTGACAAGTAGGGTGCCACAGGGTTCGGGCCTGGGTCCATTGTTGTTCAATAACTTTATGAATAACTTGGATGTATGGATAGGGGGGATGCTCATCAAATTTGAAGATGACACCAAACTTGGAGGGGTAGCTAACGCCACAGAAGACAGCCTCGGGATTCAAGATGGCCTTAACAGATTGGAGAACTGGGCCCAAACTAACAAAATGAATTTCAATAGGGACAACTGTAAGGTTCCACACTTAGGCAGGAAGAACCAGCTGCACAAATATTAAATGGGGGGGGGGAACCCCTGGTTTGCCAGTAGTTCATGTGAAAAGGATCCAAGCTTAACATGAGTCAACAGTGTGGTGCAGCAGCAAAAAAGCTAAAGAGGAGATATTATAGCCCTTTTCAAATTTCTAAAGGGCTGGTCACGTGAAAGATGGAGAAAGCTTGTTTTCTCCTGCTCGGGAGCGTAGGACCTAAACCAAAGGATTCAAGTTACAAAAAAGGAGATTCTGACTAAACACCTGACTAAACTTTCTGATGGTAAGAGTTGTTTGACAATGGAATGGACTCCTTTGGAATGTGGTGGACTCTGCTTCACTGGAGATTTCTAAGCAGAGGTTGGATGGTCATCTTGATGGTCATCTATAATGTCTCTTGCTTGTCTGGATGTAGAAATGAGGCTATTCTACAAAAGGTAAAAATTACATTTGTTGCCTGCTCACTTTTGTCTCTGGTCTAGAACAGAACAGGTCAAAAAGACAGGCAGTGTTTGCCATCAGGTGTTTAAATTGCTACTGGAAAAATACATAGAAGGCTTAATAAAGGGGTAAGACAGATAAGGTGCTTCACACCTGGATAATATGGAAGAGAGATATCACCTTGGATAGGAAGACAGGATACAAATCTTGACAAACATGCATGCATACCTGGGCAAAATACAGCTTGAGTTTTTTCCCATTGAAGTCTGTCTCATGAAGTTCTATTCGTGCTCTTGCTGCTGCTTCTGGATTGCTAAAATTTATCCTTACTCTTCTAAAGCTTTTAAATAGCTGGAATGTAACATGATCATCGTAGATTGAGAAGAGAGCTTCAAACCGTTCCTAGGGATTGAAACAGAGCATTTTTGCTGTTAAGGTTCCTCAAAGTTTACTACTGCAGGTTAGCACTACAAAATCAAGTTGGTGATGTTCTTTAGTAAAGTTCTACCTACACCTGTATTGAGCATCAGTAGAAAAACAAAACCGACTGCCTCATATTTATGTAAATAGGAGTTATATTCAACAAAAGATTGTATATAATGTAATGCTTGCAGGGCCATCTAGTGGCCAATCTCAATGTCTTTCACATACGAGGATATGAAAAGGTGCAAAGTGTTTTACAGTTAACTAGCTTTTTCATACTTCAAAACAAAGTGGGTGGGGGGATTCCACCTTCAGGGTTTTCCTTTTATGGATTTTACATTCACAATGAACTTTTCATCTGTGACTATTTGATAATCTCATTTGTATGCACGGGGATCCTATGAAATAAAGCACTGAAGCCAAGAGATAGTGATTTATGGTAATCAAATCTTTTCTCAGCCAGGGATTTGAATTCTGGTTTGACAGAACCTTAATTCTGTGAAGTGCCCCTGAGGAAGGCTGTCATCAACAGAAATATATTGATCATCTTATTGTTTCACAGCGCCTATTACTACTGATAAAGTTTTATCTTTCAGGGATATTTTGAGGCTTTGCCTCTTCTTTTGCTTCCTGTTGTTGTTTTTGTCTTGTCTATCTCCCCCCCTCCTTTAACAGGGATTAGACTAGTGGATCCCAAACTTTCTTCTCCATGCCACACGTTCGGAATGAAAATTTGTTCATGCCACACCATTCCTTTTATTGGTAAGAAATATATTGAAAACAAAAAGAAACAACTCCTAGCAGTGCTTGATTTATAACATAGAACACAACTACTTTATAATATGATCATGGGACATCCAGAAAGTATAAAACAATGCAGATACATAAGATGAATCATTCCCAAGTATAATTATAAACAAGCCTCTTAAATATGTACCTTAAGGATGTATACAAACTCAATGAGGTGTGTGATCTTACTTTTGCTGGGTAATCATATTTATATTAGGTCTAATTTGCGACAAAATATCATCTCCTCATCAACACAAACAAGCCTTTCTCTCTTCTGATCTTTCGTATTTGTCAGAGTTGAAAATCCCTGTTCACAACAATATGTCATGCGGAATTGTAGAAGAATAGCCAATGCTCTTGAAGAAAGACATGGATACTGTTTCTGGTTGTACATTCCCCAAAAATAATCTTATGATACGATACCATACTGGAATGTTTAAATCCTACTTGGATTGTCCCTGAATCTTCCCACCACACTTGCCATCCTCTCCTGCCACACCAGTGTGGCGCGTCACACCATTTGAGAACCCCTGCCACAGCGATCAGGAGGAACCCCCGCTACCAAAAGTCTGGCCACCGTCCCATCACCTGGAGCACCCATGGCAGGGAAACTGAGGAGGCGGGACTTTCCAAGGATGCCGGAGTGCAGCAATTCGTTGCTGCTGCTGGTCAATGGAGTGGGGGGACAATCCTGGATGTTGGGACTCCCATTGCCACTAGCGTCGCTCCTCTGGTACTTAGAAATGGCCGTTAAAAAAGGCCTTGAGGATCGCATGTGGCCTGCATGTTGGACCACTCCTGCTGTAGATCAAAAGGCTAAAATGAGTTTTTTTCAAATGGGTGGAGAATTTAAGTAGAAGAAGAAGAGTTTGGATTTGATATCCCGCCTTTCACTCCCTTTAAGGAGTCTCAAAGCGGCTAACATTCTCCTTTCCCTTCCTCCCCCACAACAAACACTCTGTGAGGTGAGTGGGGCTGAGAGATTTCAAAGAAGTGTGACCAGCCCAAGGTCACCCAGCAGCTGCATGTGGAGGAGCGGAGACGTGAACCCGGTTCCCCAGATTACGAGACTACCGCTCTTAACCACTACACCACACAGGCACTCAGGTCTTTCTCGAGAATAACTTTTTAGTAAATAATGTGATTGAAAGCTGATAATATGTGTTGTGTCCACGCTACTTACATGGGAAGGCAACTGATAGTTTTTAAAATGCTGTAGAAGAACTGGTATTTTAAAAATCAAGCATATTCATAGGACTCAGTAAGCCACCATCCCTCTGAATGAGTTCAGTCTCATTGATGACCTTGTATTTCTGCTGACTGATGACTCACCAGGCAGCCACAGTAGTTTCATCTGACTCATTTTTTACTAGAAGTTTAGAACATGAGGCAGCTAGAAAAGCTGCAGGGATCTAGCAATAACAATTCATACATCCAATAGTGTCAACAGATATAGATATTTACAAAACATTGCTAACAGGCAGGCAATTTGTACATGTATTCCTATCATTATTCATTCAACTTCTTGCCCACACTTCACTACAAGGTACAGCAATTTAAAAATACACTACTAAAACCAGTTTAAAAGAAACAGAATAATAGGATGGGTCCTAAAAACATTTGTCACATGCCAAAGGCCAGGGTAGATGCATGTAAGTTCAGCACATGAGGGAAATTGCATAAGGTACCAGACGCACCTCTGTGGTGAGGGAATTCCACAACTTAGCAGCTGCCACAGAAAATGCCGTCTCCTGGGCTGCCAGTCCCCAAATTGTGAGGGCAGTGAAACAAGAAAGCCCCCTTTATATGTAGATGTTTTAATATGGTTAGTGATGTAATAGAACGGTCCTACCACTTACTGGCATCATACACACAGGTCATATGTTATGCTAGTGATACTCGAATACCCTCCTGACCCTGTGGGACACCCATGATCAGAAAAATGGTGTGGAGGGTAAAGAGCTAATCCAGGGGTGGGAAACCAGTGGCCCTCCATAAATAACTGGACTACACCTCCCATTATTGCTGACCTTTGGTCATGCCGGCTGATGTGAGTTGGAGTCCAACATGTGGAGGGCCACAGGTTCCCATTCCTGGGTTAAAAAACTTCCCTGCCTGCATTTCACTTAAAATTGAATGTCAGGCTAATGAATCAGAGAAGGCAACAGAGTTGAAGCTGTGCATTTCCACATGGAAATTGCTGGGGATGGAATTGCTGGTGGATCCAAATGTATGAAATGTAGAGACCAGGCATCCCACACGCATTGAGCAAGTATACAGACCTTGCACCAGACAAGCATGATACACATTCACTAGGAGATGAAATATTCTTTTATCAAGGATTTGGTAACATTGCTCCATAGAAGAAGCCAGCATTAGATAGGAAACACAAGTAGTATATCATCACACCATTAGTCCATCTTGCTCAACACTAACTGCACCAGGGTTTTCAGCTTGAGGGCCACATGCTAGCTGGGGGTGGGGGTGGGCGGAAGGGAGACAAAAGTTGGGCAGAGCAACAGATGTGATTCACTTTTGTAAAGCAGGCTACATTCCAGACACAGGGAAGTCTGAGGTTTCTATCTGCTGTTCCTCCATCTCTCCATCCAAACAAGAATAAGTAATTATCACAGTTCAATAACACATTCCAACCAGGCAAAAAACAAAACTTGAGAAGGATTTGGAGCAGGGTCAGTGAGGGACATGGGCTGGAGAGGGTCACAGGCCTGATGTTCCCAATGCCTGGTCTACACTAACAGGCTGCAGCTCTTCAAAAGTTTAGTGAGAAGACAAGCTGTACAGTGGTACCTTGGATTAAGAACTTAATTTGTTCCGGAGGTCCATTCTTAACCTGAAACTGTTCTTAACCTGAAGCACCACTTTAGCTAATGGGGCCTCCCGCTGCCGCCACACCTCTGGATCACAATTTCTGTTCTCATCCTGAAGCAAAGTTCTTAACCCGAGGTACTATTTCTGGGTGAGCGGAGTCTGTAACCTAAAGCGTCTGTAACCTGAAGCATCTGTAACCTGAGGTACCACTGTAGTGGCAAGACATTAAAAAGTCAAGAATTCTGCTTAAAACAGAGCAGCATGCAATAGCAGTATTGTTGTTGTTGTTTAGTCGTGTCCGACTCTTCGTGACCCCATGGACCAGAGCACGCCAGGCACTTCTGTCTTCCACTGCCTCCCGCAGTTTGGTCAAACTCATGTTGGTAGCTTCAAGAACATTGTCCAACCATCTCATCCTCTGTTGTCCCCTTCTCCTTGTGCCCTCAATCTTTCCCAGCATCAGGGTCTTTTCCATGGAGTCTTCTCTTCTCATGAGGTGGCCAAAGTATTGGAGCCTCAGCTTCAGGATCTGTCCTTCCAGTGAGCACTCAATAGCAGTACACAAAACTCTTTAAACCAGAATGGTTACACTATGGCTCTCCAGCTGTTGTTGGACCAATTCTTATCAGCCCCAGCCAATAGTAAGGGACCGGTTTTATGTCCAGCAACATCTGGAGGATCACAGGTTAGTCACCCCTGCTTTAAGCCAATAAAACTGACCTCTGCAAGGATGTTTAATTTTATAATAAATTTAATTCAAGAAACTGTTAGAAGAACCAGCTAAACAAGGTAATAAAAACCTCATCGGAATGCAAAAAAATCCCATCCAGCAACATACTATCTTCAACATACCACACTAGAAATAAGCACCTTTTAAAAAGATACTGATCTATTTCACTTCCACTGGGTACAAACTTTGAAAAAGAAAGGTCTACTAAGAAAACAACTCACCCCCTCATGAGAGCAGGCATCTTTTAGTTAGTTGCATTTACCATCACCCACCCAAGCAGCAATAGGAATGTTATTAGATCAGCTATTACATAATTCTCTCTTCTATCCAAGAGCTGTTAAGTAAGCTGCTTTTAAAATTATATGCATACCTAATATGACAACATGTTGCCAGCTCCTTTTCCTGGGGATGGAAAGATGCTTTAGTTTTCCCCTGGTGTATTTTGGGCCCCAGGAATCTAAACACACACCTATTGAATATGCCCTTGCTGGAACCACTGAGGTAAAGAAATTCTCATTTATGGATGCCTAGGGCTACTTGCTGCCAAAAATAAGTATCTTATTTCACTATTTAACCCCCTTTAAGCCATAGAACTCTGGCACAGAAGGGCCCCCCAAGGTCAGGGTTTGGGGGCTGTGAATTGTAAATTGAGAGAAGTGCTTGCAATAAAATAAAAGTATGCAGCGTAACACACAGCACTACATCATCTCCGGTCACATTTGACCAAGATGACCTTGTGCAAAGGAGGCACAATTTTGTTAAGTCACCATGTTTTTCAGAACATTGGGAAATGAACATGCAGAGGCAGCCAAATGAATAGATCAGGCTTATGGGATAACATATCAGGCAGTTACTGAGATGAGATAATAAGGATTATAGGAAACAAGACCAAAATAATCATACCGGGTTATTTTTGCAGTGAAGCATTCCCGGGATGGGTCCCTGCCTCCTATGCTTTATGCAGTGAGCCAGAAACAACAACTGCACAGAGCTTGGCTACATAGCAGATGAGCTCTACGCAGAATGCAAGGCAGGAAGAGATAAGTATTTCCATGATGGGGTCAGACCTGTAAGTATCCATGATTTTCTAGTAAACTAGAAATCTCAGATAATGACCAGCTTTTAAAAACTGATAAAATGCAACAGTTGGATTGACAAGACCTATCCACCCACAGGTTGGAACTTCTGTAACCTGCTTAAACATATATTTCCCTCAAATTTAAAAATCAAAGGATGTTCAAAATAAGCAGGTCAAACATAAGAAATAATAGTTTCAGAAGGTGGTGTGGGTTTAGCTACACAACACATCCAATAGTTGCACAGCACATTTTCAGCAACAATGGTTCAATAAATACATGTATTTTCAGCTTTTTATTCTGCTCAATCCCAGATGCTCCGTGTGGATTACAACACTGTATATACAACAAAGAAAAGTAGACAAGTGTTAATCTCTGCACATGACCTACTCTCAATTCCCCCTTCCTTTTGTGCATTTTTTTTAAAGTTTTTTAGTTTGATGATAGGACCAGTTTCTCTTTTTCTCCTTCTTCAAACAGTAGCTAATAACATGGTTGGGGTGTGGCACTCACCTGATCTCCTGGCAGCTGAGTTGCCACTGCTTTCTGGGAAGGTGAATGGCAAGGCAGAAGGAAAGAGGTCATGGTTCAAATGTACTGGCAGGAACACTGGTGCATTTGGCCCACACCAACCTCCCCACTGCACTGCAGGAGGCAGCAATGACTCAGCTATCAGGCGAGGCAACTCCCACCACCCCACCATGCTGCCTGCTACTGAAAAACTCCCACCCAGGCTTGTTCCCATGGCCCTATGGTTTGAGAGTCCTCTCCCTTTTTATAAACTGCTGTTTGTTTTCCAACCAAGCAATTTTATGAAATTAATAAACTCTAACCCTAAAACATCTGACCCTGAAATTATAAGCATTCAAACCCCACCCCACTGCAGTTTCGAATGTCACCTTTTTGATGCTTATCTCTCACTCTAGAGAGCTCTTCTTCATTTAGATAGGATGCATAGTATATCTTCCCTACTGGATTCCTTTCCTAATCTTTTAATGCCTCCAAGAGCTTCAAACAAAGCAAAAATACCTCCCATTCTAGACTACACTATTTCTTCTCCTCCTCAGCAGATTATATTTCCTTTCTAACATGGGGGGGGGGTGTCAGCACTCACCAAAACTACTCCTTTTGTATTCTTTAATACTACCATATTTAATTTGGTATCTGAAACTGTCAGGTTTAAGTTTCTCATAGTGTAATCGTATGCATGTCCACCCATAAGTATGTCCCAGGTAAGTGTGAATAATACAAGACTGCAATATAAGACTGTGCATAAGACTGAATGGTGTTATGGAAACATCTCCATAAACAGATGTGAATATTAGTAGCTAACATTATTTCAGCAAAACTGAATGCTGATCAGATGTTAAAACTAACACCTGATATATCAGAAATTAAGAAAAACTGGTGTTTATTCAACATTCAAGGTCATGTTAGCTCCTCTGTCAACTGCAAAAAAGAAATCTGAAACACAAGACTGGAAACTGTAATTCAGAACAATATAATTCAGCCTGATTTGTATCTGAACCATATTATGAACAGTTTTAGTCAGTGAAATTGTAGACTTGCCATTCTGCTTAAAAGCTTTTTTTGGGCATCACAAATATCAGCCAGCTGCAGAAGCTACATTTCAGTTCCAAGAAACTATGGTTTTTCGGAGCAGGAACAAACAACAAGCTCCCTTCTCCCTTCTTGTGTGCCCAGCTGCAGATACTTTCTGATTTTTTAATCAGTTTCCCCAGTTAAATCATGATGTCCCAACAGAGAAACTGTGGTTTAAACACTCCTTACAAACATGAGGACAGAAGGAAAAGATTTTTTGGGGGGAGGGGGAGTGGGACCACATGTTCATTACTTTTGCAAAAAAAGGATGGTTTGTTGGAATGGAAATAGTGTATCTGAACCCAGCTAACACCCACCAGCTGATGGAATTCTGGTCAACCTAAATTACAGCCCGTGGGGAAAAAGAGGTAGGGAATAGGAAGCAGGGTGCCTGGGCTTTTAAAACTTTGATTCCAGAGTCTAGACGTTTACAAATACTTACCCAACAACTGTTACACTCAATTTTATTGTATGTTTGCAATTTTAAGATATTCTGTTTGAAATAGATGAAAGATTAACCCAACTCTAGGGAACAGTATTAAGGCTATTTAAATTGTGACGAATCACATTTTAAACAGACTAGAAAAAAGAAGACACTAAAAGGCAAGTCTTTATTCCCTTTTAAAAAATCCACATGAGAGATCTGTAGCACACAAAGCTTATCTAAAATCCAGTATTTCACACAACACTTGATACCAGCAGAAAAACCCCCATGTTTTGTCAGCAACACATATTATAAAAATGTAAATCTATATTAATCCAGGAACACATTCAGCCTTGCACAGAGCTGTCATGGAAACATGCCTGCTTACGCATGATCTACCTTACTCTAGGACTGCCATGACAATGAAAAGTAATAATAGTGTTTTACTCCCTCTACATGAATAAATATATGTTTGTTTTAAAGAAAGATGACAGAGAGGGAGAAGAATTTAAAAAGCAGTTCAATATTTAAATGATTTTGAGAACTTCAGGATCAGATCTCAGTAACAGCATTCACACTCTTGGAAGAGGTCTATTTGCTTATCCAAAACCTGTTTCTTCAAAGCATTCTATTCCGCCAAAATTATAGGAAGTTAAAGTGACCCAGAGAGAGCCATTCTAAAATGCTATAGAAGCTAATCTAAGTTCCAAGGCGTATTCTAAAGCCTGGTGTGTGACTAATTCAGCAGCTTTGATATTTTCATTATCTGCCTTGGTTTTCTTCAAAAAGAAATGTGCAGCCTTGCTATAGGCAACCAGGTACTTCATGCAGGTGAGTGAGCTGGCTAAGGGTGTGTGTATGGAGAGCTCCATCCCCCCTTTGTGCCCAGCACGGTAATGAAATAGGCTCTGCCAGCCCTCAGCAAGCTATTAAAATTCTGTGGGGATATTTATGAGGTTTGAAATGTTGGATACCTCATAAAAATTGTTTGCAGAACAAACTGGCCTTCCCGTGTTTAAGGTTGCAATCCTATGAATGTTTACACTGGTCCAAATCTCAACAACTGCAGCAAGGATTGCATAGGATTGCAATGCATAAACCATACAACTGCTGCTCATTACTGTAAGCAATGCCAACTCTGTTTCTTGATTTACATAGCAATCACAATCTTTGCTTTCTAAACAAGTAGTTAATGCAAAAGTATGAGCAAGTTAGATGAAAATTTTGAGGTAACCTGAAAAGCACATGGAGTTTCTGCAAGAGTGGGTTTGTTTACAAGTATCCATACCTGGCACATGTTGTCCTCTCCATTGAAATGAAGAGGGAAATTCTACATGTGCATTCATACAAGATGCGCTTAATATAAGAAGGAGCTTCTCTGTTTAAGCTGGGAAATGTTTATCATATCTTAGGGAGGAGCAAAGGGACTGTATGTATGCCCATAAAAGAAGATATGACAGGCCAAACCACTCTTATGCACATGGCTGATTTAATAAGTAGTACTCAAAACACCATGCATTTGGGGATCTACTTCTTCTTTTTTTTCCATATTATTTTTTGGGTGGTAGTGTTACTGTTACAACTCAATAGTGGGTGCCAATGCAGACCCACCAGTTGAACAACCAAGCTGTAGAAGATTCTTCCAGACCACTGTCTGGAACTAAAAAAAAGCTCAGTACAATACCGAACATTTCCCATTCACTTCCCTTTCTGCATAATCTATTCTTATCTGGCCCCTCATAAAAAACAAAGCAATATCATATGTGTATTTGGGTCATGTGAACTTAAAGTTGCCTGTATCAGATAAATTACCAGTGTAAGATATAAAGGCACACTTTTTTTACAGGCATTTTAATAGATCAACACTAGTTTGGTCCATGTCTTACCTTTTGCTCTTGAACTTCAAACACTGCTTCATGAACACTACAGGCGAAGAGTGAGGTAGGCAGGTCACTTAAATCCATCATCTCTTCCAAGTCTTCTTCATTTTCTCCAAAAATCATTTCTTCCTCTTCTTCTAGGTCACTGCTGTAAAGATCTGACTGACTGTCACTCCACGCCTTCATTGTATCTCTAATCATTGTCCACTCAAAGCAACCTTCCTTAATTTGTATTCCAGACTTGAAGCAGGAGTCTGCCTAAAGAGAAAACAAGAGAATTGTACGGTACTGTTTTACTTTAAGTTTTAATGTTTAGTTATCATGTGCACGAAAAAGATCTATGGGAAGGTAGTTTTTTTTTTAAAAAACCTGAGACCATTCTTTCAAGTGTGAGAACTTGTCATTTATTTGAGATTTCTGAATTGCAGGGGGTTGGACTAGGATGACCCTTAGGATTCATTTCCAACTCTACAATTGTGTTTCTATCTATTCAGATGACTGATAAAATATAGTTTTGTATGAAGCTTTATCACTATAGTGGCCAAAATAGCACTCACAAGCAGCTGAATGACATTTATTTGTTCTGTCTCTAAAAGGACATCAAGGAGGAGCAATGACAAGTTTTTCCAGTAAGCAAGTTCCACAGAAACAGAGCTACCACTGTGAACACCCTGTACCTTGGACCCTCCAAAGTTTGCAGCCAGAGCTGAGCCTCATATATCTTGATCACATATACTAGTCCATGAAGAAACCTAGGATGCTAAACAAGATCACTTATTAGTATGCTGAGGCTGCAATCTGATTTGGAAATAAGTGCTACTGAACAAAGAAGTTTTTACTTCTTACAAACAATCAGAGGAGAGAACTGGAGAGGGTGGAAGTTGCTTAGTTGCTTTGTTAATGAGGCACATGGCATATCTCATTTGGAACAGTGAAATCAGTAAGCCTGCAGGAAAGGCTGGCAGGGCACTGATGTGTAGGGGCAAATCTGGTCCTAGAGTCTTGGCTAGCAAGGCTCAGGCCAGGCCAAAATTGCGGACTCCTCTGAGCATTACAAACTGTAAAAAACTTTACAGAAGTACTTACTATTCATGTGTTTAACAATGAAAGTTATTCGAAATGTGTTGTTTGGTACTATCAGTTTAATAAATGGTGTTTGTAGAAGCCGTGCGAATAGCTTTCAATAATATTCTGCTGGTTTCAATTTCCAAGGAAACAATGTTTAGGAAAATAAATAAATATTTATAAATATATTGATTTAATCAATATTTCTCCCAGTGTGCATTAACAGTCAACAATGTACATTTTAAAGTATTGCCCAAATTATATCAGCCAGCTGGATATTCTCTAGAATTACAAAATGAAGATATATGCCTCATAAAACATACATATACAAATCAATAATTCAGTGGAGTTCCACACTTAAGCTTGAAAACACTTAAAAAGTAGGGACTTCTCTGCTCCCCAGTCCTTGTCACATTCTCAAGGTGTCTTACCACAATATCATCAGTACTCCAATAACTGGTCCTGAAGCAAAAAGAACACAGGGCATGGCAAAGAAAAGAAAATATATTTCAAACTCCTGTGGCCTTCCCTGGATCACAACAGTAAGTTAGCTACATTGTAGTTGGGGCACGTCTACATGATATACATCAGACTGAAATGAGAACAAGGCATGGCATGCAATTTTATCCCTCACTCAGCCCTGTTGCGACGCATGGCTTCCAGCAGGGATTGTGGGGGTTTGGTTTGTGCACGGGGGAAAGAACTATATGAAGTAGTTCACCCACAGGGCAGGAATACATATATTAGGGAAAAAGAAAAAGGTAAATCAAAATGACTATATATCTAGGAAATCAGCAGCTTTTGGTATAGCAGCAATAAGCCCAAAATGTGCCAAATATCAAAGATAGAGCGGGGTGTGTGTGTGTGTGTAGGAGGAGAACAGTATCAGAAATATTCAGTTATATACATAAAAGTACAGTGGTGCCTTGGTTTAAGAATAGTCCTGTTTATGAACGATTTGGTTTAGGAACTCCGCAAAACCGGAAGTAGTGTTCCGGTTTGTGAACTTTATCTCGATCTACAGACGGAAACTGAATGGTGGAAGGGCACCAGCGGCGGGAGGCCTCATTAGGGAAAGCGCGCCTTGGTTTAAGAACGGTTTTGGTTTAAGAATGGACTTCAGGAACGGATTAAGTTCCTAAACCGAAGTACCACTGTATATTATAATGGTTGGAAATGGCCTTAGGTTAAAAATATTAGATGGCCATTACTTTAGTCAGTCAATAAAAGTTTCAGGAATGATACAGGACACCACGTTGTTTGTAAGAGAGAACAGAAATAAGTAGCAGTATTATCATTCCGTAGACAGGTGACTTCACAAGTCAAGTCCCAAACATTTCAGTTTGGAAGATGTGTAGGAAAGCAGAGCAATGAGGAACTTTCTTTAAACCATTATATTTAAACCAATTATATACCATTTAACCACAGTAGGTTTTTTAAAAAAAATCTTGGCGTTCTTTCTGGTTAGAGGCTAACTTTGCATGAACATTTAGTGCTCAAGAAGCAGGACTCCGCAGCCAAAATATTTACTGCATATTTGTTTTTTTATGTTAAGCACATAATGTTTGGGTGGGGGTGGTCCAACTGTTAACTGAGAAATTTAGTACAGAATTCTAGAAACCCAATTCAGCATTGCATCTTCTTTAAACTGAGAGGGGAGGGGCACTGATGAAGAAGGGAACACAAACTGAAATAATTTGCTTAAAGGATCAGGCTACGATTAAAGAGCAGCATTTTCTGCTTTCTGTAAACACTCTGTCTTTACAAGGAGGATTGCAAAGTGACATTTTTAGTAAAAAGACCTTCAACAGAAAGAAATGCTGATCTACGAAGAAATCTACAATGCAGCAAAATACATTGCATTATCCGATGAAAAGGAGGTTACAGCTACAGTACAGCACAGAACACTAGCTTCAAGCTTTATGGGCTGCTGAACTGAGATGACATAAGTAACCTTAAATGACCTCTGTTTCAGTTTTTCCATTTACAAACAGATAACAATAGACTGACAATTGCAAGGTTCTTAAAGAGAACCACAACCCATGACTGGGTACAAATTGGCTCATGAACTTTTTGTTCTTATAATATAACAAAATGACTAATAGATTGAATCAAGAGGTTGGAATTTTATGCATTCAAAGATTGCCTGTAATCTTTTTGCAATGAAGAACTAAAAACTGATGGAACTGCTTTGAGCTGAGGACTGGTTGTGAAAACTGTGTGAAACTGCATCAACAGAAAAAGTAGTAATATACACATAGGAGTTTTGAAATTAAATGGTTCATTGTACTTTTAAGTTTTAAAAATCAAAACCATGTATGAAATACAAAAGTTTTGCTTAATGACCTGATTTACTATTTCTCAGTAGAGAGATTTTAAAAGTAAAAAGGCACACAGAACCTGTGTGTGTGTATTCAAGCACTGAAAGCAAACATATAGCATTGCTGCGGTATTTAATATCCCTTATTATTTAGCAGCCTACGACTATCATTATAACATGATTTGTGGCCATTTTCTTACTCATCTTTACCAAGAGTGGGTTGAGTTATACCTGCCTGTGTGTGTGTTTTACATTTTATTCTGGTTTTTATACTTGGTTTTAATGATTGTATCAGTTTGCAAGTTGCTTTGGGACACTTCTTAGGAAAAACAACAAAAAATAATATCAACAACAAAGAAAGAGGGACTGTTCTTAGGCTTATATGGAAAGATATTCATTCTATTATTTATTTTAAAATTTCACAGAAAAACAATTTAAATCTTTGACTGAGAAAACAGTGCACATGTCCACATTTAAATTTAAGCTAAAACGGTCTTCTAGAAAAGGCAAAACATTTTTACCCAAATAACGCATGAGCAAGTGAGTTTTCATAATCTATGATGTAATGTGGTAAAATTATACTTATTTCCTTGTGTAACACTACAGTGTACCATTTCTCTGAAGAATGTATGTTTTACATAAGGAAATTTGTAAAACTGAATCTGTTGTTCTACAGAAGATGCTGACAGGAAAAAACAGAAAAAGTATTTTTAGGGTAAGAAAATAAATTGTCAAACATTTTTACTGAGCATCTTTTATTTGCATTGCTAGAATTAAAGCAAAAAGAGGATTTTATAAAAAGTAATGGTGGGGATGAAGGCAAACACTTACTAACTGAAGCGGTTTGAAACTTAGGCTGCAATCCTAAACACATAGGAACAATCCCCTCTGAACACAGTAGGGCATATTTCCAAATCACATTGCAGAGAATTCTGCTTTTAATCTACCACCGCTTAAAACTCTGATGTTCAAGACTTGGGAAGGTGAAATCTGTAAACTGATGAAGCAGAAAAATAGAAAAATATTTCCAAAGTTAATTCCTATGCTACAAAATGCAAGCTTACCCAAACTGCAAAGAACAGATACATTGGTATATGAATGCAAGTAGCTTGATGTTAAAGATTATTTTCCATTTCCACTTTAAGGCAAACATTTACGTTTTGGATCCACATGGAGGACACAGAGAATGAACCCACGGGTTCCTTTAACCTGTGTGTCTGTGCCTATGACATACTTCATTGTGCTGACAAACCCATCCACACCAATCAATGAGGAAATTATACATTCTAATTGAAACAAGTCAAGAACTCCACCTCTTCCCTAATGGAAACATTATCCTCCCCACCCCATCCATTACCACCACCACCACCACCTCTTCCTCCTCCTCTTTGGATGAGGAGAGTGAATTATCATTCTATCAGAAGTAATGGGGAACCTTGGTTTCTCAGTCTATGAATAAGCAGCAGTGAGAATGCCAGAAAGAAATTAGAAATATCTGCTGCCAGTTTAAAACTGTAGTTTGCTTTAACTATGGTTTCAGAACAAGAAACAATCTGGAACCACAATATGATCCTGGCTTGATGTCACTAAACAAGCCACAACTCTGAGGGCTCATCCACACCTACTGTCTGCCCTGTCCTTTACTGGTCTGTGTCTGAGTGTGGTGGTTTGGGTTTTTTGTTTTGTTTTTTATTTTGCCCCATCACTTTCCCCAGGAAAACCCGCTCTTTAATGCTGAATTGGAACAAACAGCAATTAGGGTTTTCTACAGATTACAGAGAACATTAAAGAGCAGGTTTTTGCAGGGGAAGTGGTGGGGCAAAAAAAATGTGCTCGGACACAGACTGGAAAAACGTGGACCTCTGCCTAGAAAGTATGGAGTAAAATTAGTGTGGATGAGCCCTGAGACTGGACATCACAGGGCATCAGAGCGAGTTTAAAACTGGCCACAGATGCTTCTAATCCCCTCTTCTAGCACACAAACAGGAGAGGGGAGTGGGTAAACCCAATACTTGCCATGGCTCATTCATGTGATGGAGAAACCAGTTTCCCATCACACGGGAGGCACACATTGTGCCTTTATGGAACAGGGGAGAAAGTACAAGAAATAAGGGCTAAGCCAACAAGAAACATAGATAAGAGTGACCAGTGGTAAATGAAGTATCAATATGGCAGGTCTAAATGGTATAAAGAGCACAATAAAAAAAATGAAAAGGAAGGTGGACAACTGGAAGAAAGGAATGACTGGCTTAGCAATGGAGAAGGGCAGAAAGAAGCAATAAAGAGCAGCAATGATGCACATGTAACAGAAAGGGGATAGAAAGGTTGGTGAGAAGAGATGGGGGGACAGGAATAATAGATGTGTGCAAACAGGCAAGGCAACAAGTTGCTTTAGAAGCAGGGGAAATAATCAGGATAAGAAATGCCTGGCAGAAGTAAGGCCAGAAAACGCACATTAAAAAGGAGCAAGGCCAACGCAGAGGAGAAAAATGAGGAAGAAAAATAATTGGTTCTGGAGCTGGCGAAGGGGAGCATTGGTAACATATTTGTAGGAGGCAGTAAGGGGGAGCGGACAGAGGCAGGTGCTGTTGAGAGGCAACAGTAGGGAATTGGTGAAGGCATCACCCCCTTGCAGACAGCAAAAGGAAAAAAGGGGTGGTGACAGTAGATTCTTGAGTTGGGGGGTGGCAGAAGGGCACAGCTGCCCACATAGGTGGGGGGTGGGGGCAGTCAGGGGCAGGCCAACATCTCCTCTGGAATGGAATAGTAGAGGATTCAAGGGGTTTGATATGAAGGGGGCAGAAAAGGGGGCCACCCGCACTGGGAAGAGGTACTAAGAATTGACAAAAAGAAGGGCTTAGGACACAATGCCCTTCGGAGGTAGCACAGGAAGCAGAGAAGGAGGACAGACACAACAGTCTCTTGAGCAGGTGATGGTAATAAGAAGACTCCCTTGCTAAGATGGACCGCATCAGATGTCCACCTATTCCAGCTTCCTATTTCCATCAGTGACCAAGAGAGGTGCCTTCGGGAAAACCCACAAGCAGAGCATGAAAGCAGGAGATAGCAGCCTCCTCCTCCTCCTCCTCCCTGTCGTCTGCCCCCACCATGTAGTAGTGAAAGATACACTGCCTCTGTCCATGGAGGTTCCAACTGCGTGACGGTGCGCGCATTAAATTAAAAAATAAAAGAGGAAGAAGAAGAAACGATGTTGATAACGAACCGCTCACAGAGGTCGATAAGGATCGGTCGAGGTGGGGGGGGGGAGGAAGAGGGTCCACAGAAATGGGGCACGGGGGGGGGCTAGCTTGCAATCATTGGGGGAGGCATTCATGGACAATAGAGGGTAAGAAAGGAGAGCAGGAGACCGGGGTTAGATGCAGAGGAAGCAGGCGAGAGGAGGGCGGCAACGACTCCCCTCAGACCAAGTGTGGCGAGGGCAGCGAAGGACAAGGAAGCCACACCCGGCATGGGGGGCGGGGAGCTTATGGCAAGGGGGAAAGGGCAAAAGCGAGGGCAGAATGGGCTCCCGGGTTCCCTCCGTCCGCACTCACCGTCTCCTCCACGTCGGGATCAGAGCCGCGGCCACCGGCGCCTCCCTGCTCCTCTCAGGCGCCCCTCCGCCCCGCCCCGCCCCGCCAAGAGGAAGGCGAGCTCAGGGCCAGCCAGGCACGACCAGCCTGCGGATCGGCAGCGCCTCGGAAAGAGCCCAGAGAGCCCCTCCCTCTTCGATGCTGCTGCTGCTGCTGCTGCTGCTGCTCTTCCTCCGACAGGGAGCGCGCCGCCGCGCCCGTGCGCAGCTCTCGAGGACGCGCTTACCAGTTTTCTTCTCGGGCATGCGCGTCTCTCTCTCCCACTTTACTTGAGTGAGTGACCCGGATAGAGGAGAAGTTGAGGGCAGGCGGGTGGGAAGGAACGGGTGGGAGACGCGCGTTCATCCCCCCTCCCAGTCCTCTCTGTGGTTGGTAGCCTAGGTCACGGGGTGGAGCAGAAAAGGCGGGATTTTATTTCCCCTTCAGCAACTCTTTCTTCCCCTCAGTGAGGGAGGTGGAGTGGAGGAGGGTATACCTCAGTGGGGTTCAACTGGTCCAGAGTAGAGACCTGCCTCCCGACTCCCAATGCACAACATGAGACCCATTTTCACACGTTCATTTTTCACTTATACTTAATGGCGCTAATAAGGCGCATTATCTCGAAATGGCAATTCACAGAAGGACATACATGGTGTTATCTTAGCATCTTCACCTAATGAAAACTAGCAAGGAACTGCCCCCCCCCCCGCAACCCTCTTTTCTGGTTGCATGGAGTGGAATAGGGATGATGCAGTATCCCTGCTCCTAGCTGCAGCCTAACTTCTGCCAAAAAACAAAACAGTAACCCCACTGCCACAACACATCTAAAAGGGTATTGCATGTTAATCAGCCCAAGGCCTGGTTGAAGAGGGTAGTTTTCTGCCAAGAGAAAAGACCCACTCTCCTGTTGCCACCCTCCAGACTTCTTGTGGGGGAAGCACAAGGGCCTCAAACCATGATCCTGTGTCTGGATAGGTTCATATGAAGACAGACAGTCCTTGAGGTATTTCAGTCCTGAGCCATTTAAGGCTTTATATTTACAGGTCAAAATCAGCACTTTGAATTGAGCCCAGAAATATTGGCAGCCAGTGCAGCTGAGCCAAGATCTTTGTAATATATTCAAATTGTCGTGCCCCAGTGAGCAACCTGTCCACCAAATTGACATTCTATGGCCTTTTAAACGTGTTTGCGGGAGCAGGGCTATTGGTTTATTTGTTACCAAGTTACGTATTTTGGTGTTTTTATATTGTGAGCTGCCCTGTGATCCTTAGATGCAGGGCTGAATAGAAATTTAATAAATAACAGAATGTCTTTACTCCTGACAAATCTCCCTCACTACAGGCATAGTACAGTGGGCCAGAAGTATATTTCTTATTGAAAATGGCTCCTGCTTTGCTGCTGCTACTCTGCAGCACACATGGAAATTGATAAAACAAGTGTTTCATCAGAAGAATGTGTTCTAGCCCAGATAGCGCATGTAGTGCCCTTTGGTTTGGCCACCCTTAGCTGGAGTTCAACATGGCAGCAACAGCTTTGCCGCAGTGAAAACCTCCAATTTTGATGGCTTTAAAAGAGGATTGGACAAATTCATGGAAGAGAAGGCCACCAGTGGCTACTAGCCATGATGGCTATGCTCTGCCTCCACCGTGGGAGGCAGAATCCTTCTGAATACCCAATGCTGGAAACTGCAGAAAGGGAGAGTGCTCTTGAACTCGGGTCCTGTTTGCAGGTTTCCAACAGGCAACTGGTCTGAGAACTAGGTCTAGTACCTATAAAAACTGACACAACAATAAAATGCTGAGTGAGGTACCACAGGATGCTTTATTTTTGCTGCAGCAAACAAGCTTCTTCTTTAACTGTTGCTACTATGAGACGAGCTAGTAACACCTCTTCAGACATATAAAATATTATCCTTGTTCATTCTTCTCACAGTAATCCTGCGACATAGCTGCACACACAAGAACACGGTTGTGTTGAGGAAGTGGCTTGGGTGGAGTAGATCCTGCCCAACACCCACATTTCAAAGCAACCCAAACTGGCAAAACTAGCATGCCTGCAAAATTAGCATCTCTAGACAAGTTTCCCAGAAGCTTGGCTGAATCTTGTGTTGGAGATGAAAGGTTAGTACCAAAGATGACTGATGCATCTCCAGGAGAAGGGAGTTCTACAATCTAGGTGCTACCACAGAGCAGGCAGTTTCCTGGGTCACTACACAATGGGAAACACTCCTTTGTGAGGCCATGAGAAGGGTATCCCCTGCTGATCTTATTCCCTCCTCCTCCTCCTCATCTGGTTCTTTCCTCCAGTCAACTTGGCTTGTATGTCCCTTATATAAAGCTTTCAGTTATGTTGTGCATTGCCAGCCTATTGTTACTTTCCCAGGGGCAACAATTTTCAGACTGATTGCCTACAAGAGGAGGTTAAGAGATTTCCATTTTACCCACTCCAAAATGGTAATGCCTGTTCATGCAGGAGAATCACTGCACTTATCATCCTGAAATTTGGCAGGCTTCATCCCCTCAAACAGGGCACCCATATCTGCAAATTGCTTCAATTCTGGCAGAAAATAAAAAAGTTAGAGACTATACACTTATTTCATTTTCAGATGTTCCCTGTATGAAAGTTGGCAAATATTGGTAGCATTTGGGCCCCAAGACATTCAGAGTTTTACAAATTAATAAATAGTAATGCCACAGCGGCTCCCAGGGCAGGTTACAACAATTCAGAATGAAAAACAGGTAAAACAGATTACAGTCACAGGAATAGGGCAGACTCTGAAAACAAACATATTAAGTGCTGGGGTAGAGAGGTGTGCTTTTCAGCATTTGCCAAAAGCTCTATAGCAAAAGTACCAAGCACACCTATGTGGGGAGATCATTGGGCCAGCGCCACCCTGAACCTCTGAGGGTGGAAGAACTATCAAGAGTCAGCTGGCTCGCACCAGAGCACAAGCTGCTTCTTTTTTGGTCTCACACTCTTGTGCATGCACAAGAGTTCAGAACAAAAAAAAGGAGCACCCTAATCTGGGTGTTAAGGGACGTGAGTGGTGCTGTGGGTTAAATCACAGAGCCTAGGACTTGCCGATCAGAAGGTTGGCGGTTCAAATCCCCGCGACGGAGTGAGCTCCCGTTGCTTGGTCCCTGCTCCTGCCAACCTAGCAGTTCGAAAGCGCGTCAAAGTGCAAGTAGATAAATAGGTACCACTCCGGTGGGAAGGTAAACGGTGTTTCCATGCGCTGCTCTGGTTCGCCAGAAGTGGCTTAGTCATGCTAAGTGAGATGAACACCGCAACCCCAGAGTTGGCCACGAGTGGACCTAATGGTCAGGGGTCCCTTTACCTTTTAATTTGGGTTTTGGAGGGTATGTCCAAAAGAGGCTGCAGCTGGCAAACTAGCCACAGTTGGATGTAGACACTCCTAGCCACTGAGGCTCCTGGACCACAAATAACAGCATTGGATCTAGGGGTACCCCCAAGCAATGAACTGCTGCCTCCAAGGGACTGCAACCCCAAACAGAGCAGGCTGTCTTCCCACCTTGTGGACTTGATAACTTGAAACACGTAACACCTGTCTTCAGGATTCAGCTTCAATTTGCTGGTTCACATCCAGTCCATCATTGCCCCCAAACCCGTCTAGCACCTCAGCTGCATCTCTTGATTCCTCTGAATGACATGCTCTTATTCATTCAAACGGCATGTTTGCCTAAATGTGAACTATTTCAAACAGCAACAATTTCTTCCTTAATCCCTGTATTTTTCCATATACATCAAGCTTTCTACCATCATTAACCAAGTGCCCTCCTATTTAGGGACAGATGGCTTCCGTTACTCCCCCCCCCCCATGACTGGTAATTCAGGGCCCAGATACAATGAATGAAAAAATGTTCTCAGGTCTAGTTTCTGTTTACTTCCCTGGAATAAAATCCATATGGCCAGTGTTAATTATGTTGGCAAGCGCTTCACTGGCAGCACGCTGAGCCAACGATCAACCTGATTACATAAATATATTAGTTGGAAGGCTTCAAATTTTTATTATTTCAAAGACCAGGAAGGTGGACATTATGCAGGCTTTCGTTTAAAAGGTTTCCTCTTGTCAAGCATGCAGAGGCCAAGCCTCTTGTGAAGTCATTAACCTTTTCTTATTAACATACGTGGGCTGCAACTCAGCTTGCATTCCCCCCGCCAATCTAAAATTACATTTTAATTTCATCCTAGAAGGACTGAACAACATATTACCTTAGCAAATGCAAGTTACCAAACCTGTGGTTGCCAAGACACTGTGAATGAAAAGGGCAGTAATTGCAAAAGGAGCCAGTGGTGAGAGAAAGAGATGCCTAACAATTCCTGCCAATTCCCTCATGCAGATATCTCCAGAGGTTCCCCCCCCCCACAACCAGCAGTACGTTGCTGCTGTTATAGTTGATTTATTAACTACATTCTAAACCACTGTCACAAGGTGATTCACACATAAAATAATTAAAAACAGTTAATAACACAAAAAAGGCAAAAGATGCTGTTGTCTTACTTTCGGTGTACCATAAAGCTCAGTTTATTTACACAGCACTATTGTGAAAACATTGACAGTACATCCAGCCAACATCAGATTTGATGGCGTAGAATTAAGAATGATAAAAGAGCCATACAGTGAAGCCACAATCCTGAAAATAAAATCTGATGTAGATCAACCTTACCCAACCTGGTGACCTCCAGATGTTTTAGATTGTAACTCCTATCAGACCCAGCCAGCAAGCCTAGCTTAGATATTCCTAAACAATCCAAGCTAATAGAAGCTCCTTGCCTAATCCGGAGTAGACACCATTGATGGATTTGACAGTCAGCCACTCTTCTCTACTGGGGATATTGGAGCTGTGCCCAAGGAGAGGTCTGGCTATGTGTGATTGGCTTCTCTTTCTTCTGCTCATTTAGACAAACGGGGCAGGGGCATGGGGGACAGCATACAAGGGAAACCATCCGGACCTCTAATGCTGACCAGACCAAAGTGCTGTCCAGCATAGATAGGGGTTTAAATACTACCCGACTCCTGTGTTTGAGAACTTGGAACCACAGAGAAATCCAAAGCACCAAAAGAGGCCCTTCAAATAATGTCACCCTCTTGCCTCAGGAAGCTGAAGTTATCTATCTTCTTTTACAGATACAGTGTTCTGCTGACCATGGATATTCTACCCATAGAATTGGTTGGTTTCCAGTGACACTACACAAGACGCCTTAGTATTTTCAGCATTAGAGCAATGAAGCATCCTACATTGGCATATAGGGAGCCACCTTAGACTGAGTCAGACCATTAGCCCATCTAGCTCAGTATTGCCAACACTGACTGGCAGGATTTCAGACAGGAGTCTCTCGTAGTCCTACCTGGTGAGGCATGCAAAACAGATGCTCTACCATTGAACTGTATGATGCTTCCCCACGTGCACTGAAGAAGCCACACCCAGGATGAAAAGCCTCCACAACAAAAGACAAGAGGTATCTCTTTGTACTGTGGAAAACAACATTTACTAACAGAAGAGAGTGGAGGTGAAGTCAACCTGCCAAGACCCAAGCCTCTAAGATGACTATTTCACCCTGCTGCCAGTGATGTGTTTGAAAGGAACTTTTGTTTCAGGGAACTGTCCTAACTTGGAAATGAAAAAAAGAATTATGGTCTAGTGCATAATCATCCCTGACCATTGGCCATGCAGGCTGGGGCTGATGGAAGCTGTAGTTCAGCAACACCTGGAGGGCCAAGTTCCCTATACCTGGTCTAGTGAGATGCTGCTCCTTCCCCAAAACAGGCCCAGAAGCAGACTTCAGCATAGTGATGGGTGTGCGTGATGGCCAGGCCTAAACTTTGGTCAAGACACCTGTTTATGTGACAGGATGAGAGGGGTGGCAAAGAAAATGAGGTTCTGAGAACATGCAGGCTGTTCTGTAACCAAAAGGGTATTGCTTATGTTGGTGATTATGTTTTGGGCTTGTTTTGAAAACACATTGTACTATGAGATCAAGAAGCATGCTGGTCTGTTTTTTTCTATATAAGCTTGGGATTCTCTGCTTGGGGCAGAGGAGCTTGTAACACTCTGGTGTCAGGCTGCTTCTCCTTGCATGCTTGAAATAAAGGAGCCCCAGGCTGTGTTCTGATTCAAATACAACATGTGGCTATTTTTCCACAACAATATAAAAAAAAACCCTTTTCATCAGAACAGCAGCACCGAGGGAGAGAGGTGCACTAACCTTTTCACCCTGCAGTGTTGTCTTTATTCAAAATCCTACCCTTTAGTTCCTATTAGTGGTTGCTTGGAGAGGGGGGGGGAGATGCAGGCAATGGTGCAGGATTGAAAGGGTTAAACACACTTTTATCCTTGATTGGCCACTGCTTTAAATAAAAGTGAAGGCCCCCACAGTTGCTTTTAAGTACATGTGTGTCGGGATGTGTGTGTGTGTGTGTCTGTCATGTCTATTTTTGGCTTAGAGGTTTTCCTGTTCTAAAAAGGCACTCTCTCTTCCCAGAGCTAAAAAAAAAAAGTAAATAGTTCCTATTCAATAAATTAAGACTTAAGAAACCATTTAAAAAGCATCAAGTGTAACCAACCAACAGAGAGGGTCATATTCTTCTGCTTGGAGCTTGAATCCAAACAATAAATAACAGGTTCAGTACCCTGTGGTTGGAACAGGCAGTTTTGAGAACACAGATGTCATTTTGTGGTTAAATCACACAAAGGTCTCCAGCATGCTTGTACAATTGGAAAACAACCTCTTTCATTTATAATGGAAAGGCAATAAGGAAATTAAAAGGCCCATTCGTCCCCTACACTACCTCACCTCCTCTGCTACGTAGCTCTTTTAATGAGCAAAACATTTTGCATAGTAGAAAAATGAATGAAGCCGACCTTATGGGGGTTCCCCCAAAATGGTGGTTCCAGGTCAACATTCACCAATTACTCAATAAGATTTACGTCCCTGAATTATTAGTCTAATAATAATGCCATTCTGCCTGAAGTGTACAGTGCATCATGGAAAATGCAAAGCATGCTGCAGATAAAAAGCTGGTTCCCTACCTCCAGACTTAACTGAAAAGTTTAAAGCAAATGTGCAAAGATTAAACACCCCATGGTTAGCATCAACCACTTTTTACGTGACGGGTTTGTTTTCATGCAGATCACATATTGTTAAAAGTGAATATATTCAAACAGCCTAAAAGGCAGAGAGAGATAAAAACAACCAGCATTCCTGAAGTTGCTTGAATGCTGAAACAAGTGTCCAACTGGTTTCTGGTTCCAGACCTACATCTAAGACATTCTGGTTTACTCCTCTGGATGCATTCCTATCACAAAAAGACCCAGAGTTGACAGACAAAAACCTAAAAGGCGGCATTATGGTATGAGCAATGGAAACACTCAACCAGACAATCAGTGATTCACAGCATACATCTCCTCCAAAGCTAAAATCAGTGGAAGTTGTATACTATATCCCAACTCAGGTGATGAACAATGGGGTGGGGAGTTATCATGAATAAGCCTGCAGGCAAAGATGGAGGGAACAAAAAGGATCACTAATAAGGCCCCATCTTGATTTAGAACAGCAGTCAAGAACCTGTGGTCCTCCAGATGTTGCTGGACTAAAACTGACACCATCCCTGGTCACACTGGTTGAGGCTGACGTTCAAGTCCATCAACATCTGGAGGACCACAGGTTTTCCATTCCTAGATCTAGAATTAACTACTGCCAAGTTAGTGTGGTGTCCTGGAGTTTCTGCAAATTTATTCAAAGTGGTTCATATACTCACTCACACACAAATCCATTTTCATAACTCTTTAAGGTGGCAATTAACTTAGCCCATTCATTACCACAGGACCAAGTGCAAATAACTTTTTCTGGATAAGGGCCATGGAGCTCTGAGGTATGAAGGGTCCAGAAAGCAACAGCAACCTTTAACTTGGATGGGGAGGGGGGGAAAGGAGGGGAGTTAGTACTTAGATTTTATTTCTGCCATTTTGGAATGAATCCCTGTGTAAATACTTTCTGCAAATAATAAAAAAGCAAACAAACACAATAGCAACACAATGAGCAACTTTCCATCCCAGCCCACTCCCTGTTGAGCTAACTTTTCTATTGGCAGGAATGAGCCCTTACCGCCACACAAGGGGAGCAATCAAAATGCAATCTCTGACCCACAATATGAATCAACACAACTGAAATTACACATTTGTAGGGAAGGTCTAAATTGCTGTCCTGCAAGATAAATGGCAGAAAGCCAGTTGCACGCTGTGTGTTTGTGGGCTGTTGTCGGTGGGACTCTCAATCTTATCTGACATCTTCAAATGTTTGGCTAGTTTTCTCCTTAAGGTACAAAGCAGCAGGCAGGTAGCATGAGCAGGTCTAATTAAAACAGGAATTGACATGTGTACGCTTTGGTTCATATTAAAAATATTCTGGGTTGTATCCAATGCTAGTGATACTCAGAGCGGAGGAACTGAAATAAATGGACAACTTTGGTCTATTAAGTTCAATGAGTCCATGCTGAGTAAAACTTAAGCTGGATACAACCATCCATATGTGGTGGGGAAGGCCCACGAACCCAAAGCTCTGCTTGAGACCCGTACAACCCACATACTGAGTCATGTTATGTGATCATAAAGGGAATTCTATCAGGAAAACAGAGTCTAAACTCACCCTTTAGCTCCTACTGTTTGACTAGCAATATTATAGCCATCAGAATATCCTGAGTACCTTTTGACATAGCTATACATCCTGTCACAGTTTAGCTTAGCAAGACGCCGATGAAGCTGCTTGCGACCTGCAACAATCAACTTAGCTTTCGTATTACACGGGTAGGGGACTCTTAACACAGTTCAGTCTTTAAGGTTGTCATTCCATACACACTTAATCCATAAATAAACTGACTTTTTTTTTTTTTTGACTTAGCGGTGCTTAAAAAGAAGAAGGGATGAATAAATAAGAGGACCACGCTTGGAGGCATTATGCCAGTCCCTTACAAGGGCTTTCACTCCCTTTTGCCATGCTCCATGACCCGGTAGGGAGGCACAGATGACCCCCTCGAACCATGTTCCTCCTGCACTATCGGCAACGTAGCAGGTGCGTAGATCTCAGAGATGGCGTCGTTGTTCTCCAGGGCACCATAGGAAAATGACGTTTTGAGCTCAGGCTGAACTGCCGTTCCGTTGTCATGCAAATTCTGCATGCCTACAGACAAGAAGGGAGGGAAAATACATCATTTGAAAGAGGCTTTTTTTGGGGGGGGGTGAGGGACTATAAACTGCTTTCTTTCCCACTTATGCACATAATCATACGAAGCTGGTTTATATTAAATCAGAACACTGATCTGTCTAGCCTAGTGCCACATCCTCTGACCAGCAGCAGCTGTCCAGGGCCTCAGGTTGGCATCTTTTCCAGCCTTACCACCCAAGGTCCTTTTCACTTGGCAACTGACAGGAATTGAACTTGGGATCTTTTGCATAATAAGACACCAAATAATAAATAAAGGGCTTCATTTACGGAAGGGTTGGGGAACCTGTGACCCTCCAGATATTGTTGGGCTAGAATTCCCACCATCCATTGATTTTTGGCCATGGTGGCTGGGAATCATGGGAGCTGGAGTTCGGTAACATCTGAAGGGCCAAAGCTTCTCAATCCCTGATTTACGTGAGGCAACTCCCTATAAGTGTCTCCATAATCATTCTATGGCTGTTACTTGAGAATTGTGAAAGAATTAAAATAAGCTGATATTCCTCTCCTTAAGCAATATTTAGTGTAAGTTGTTACTTAATAGGTAAAGGTAAAGGTACCCCTGCCCATACGGGCCAGTTGTGTCCAACTCTAGGGTTGTGCGCCCATCTCACTTAAGAGGCCGGGGGCCAGCGCTGTCCGGAGACACTTCTGGGTCACGTGGCCAGCGTGACGAAGCTGCTCTGGCGAGCCGGCACCAGCGCAGCACACGGAAATGCCGTTTACCTTCCCGCTATAAAGTGGTACCTATTTATCTACTTGCACTTTAGGGGTGCTTTCGAACTGCTAGGTGGGCAGGAGCTGGGACCGAAAGACGGGAGCTCACCCCGCCGCGGGGATTCGAACCGCCGACCATGTGATCGGCAAGCCCTAGGCGCTGAGGTTTTACCCACAGCACCACCCGCATCCCTTTGTTTCTTAATAAGTAATAGTAAATGTCAAGACCACAAACAACTGAAAACTTCCTAGGCCAGGGGTGGCTGAGCTGCAGCCAGCCAAGATGATGTTGGACTCCAACTCCCATCATCCCTGACCACTGGCCATGCTGGTGATGGGAGTTAGAGTCCACAGCAAATGGAGAACCACAGGTTACTCAGACCTATTCTAGGCAAATTGGATGGCTCAGTCACCACCAAGAGGGACACCATTAGGGGAGAGAGGACAAGGCTCTGGCTGGCTCCAGCTACAAAAGCTGAGGCTGCTGAATAGAATACAGTGGAACCTCGGGTTGTGAATATGATCCGTGCGGGAGAAACGTTCGCAACCCGCAGCGCCACGTCTGCGCACGCATGAGTCGCGATTCAGCGCTTCTGTGCGTGTGCAAGCGCCAAAACCCGGAAGTAACCCGATACGGTACTTCCAGGTTCAGCACGGTGCACAACCTGAAAACACGCAACCTGAAGCGTCTGTAACCCAAGGTACCACTGTATTGGACTGGGGTATTATCTGGGGGAAAGGGTATTGTTTGGGGTCCGTTGCTGTTGTTGCTGTTATTTTTTGTATCTTTATTTTTGATTGTATGATTTATGTGGAAATTGTTCAATCTGGTCGTGTTCTTTTTGATGTTTTGCATATTGTTTGACTACTTTTGTTATGTTTGTAATTACGTGATTTTTTTTATATGTTGTAAGCCGACTCGAGCATAACTTTAACTTTGGAAAGGCAGCATACAAGTAAAATGATTGATTGATAATTGTCCAGAAAACAGACCCAATTAAACCAGTTCTGGGGATTTTTGAAGGGAAGCCGTGGCTGTTGAAAGTGATAGAATACTGCTTTAAATATGTAATGCAGCTGGGGCCAGACAGGCAGATGACATTTTTAAAAATGTGTCACTATTAACTTGCTCATGAAAAGAAAGATTTATTTTTTTTTTGCCTTACTTGGCATAGCATCCATGGAGATGTACGGTTCGAAAAAGATTGATTTCCTCTTGTTTCTAGTGATCAAGAAGACGCCTAAAAATGCAATGAGGCACCTGGGTGGGTGGGGGAATCAGAGAATACAATTGCTTTGTGAAATAACAGAAGGAGCAAAGAAGCTGACAGCAAAGGAATTTAAACAACAACTTGATCTCATGTTAGCCGGTTATTGCTTAAAAAGGCTGAAAAAGCTGTTTTCCTACTGACCAATGCAGTTCATGAGGCAAAGTAATACTGTAAACAGTTCTAGTAAAGAGCTCGCTGGTGTAACATTGTGCTATGCAAGCGCTATTTGTAGACTGCACTAAAATAAAACGAGTTCCTGCAACGAGATCGTAATTCTGCAGCCTGCTTTGAGAACGAAACTGTACAATCATTGGCTATATGTTACTGTTTTTAAACATTTTTCGATTTTGATATTTTAAAATGTTTTCACTTTATTTTAAATTGTATTACTACTTTATTGTTTGCTGCCCTGGGCAACTTTGGGAGAATGGGTGGGGTAAAAATAAAAATCTTAACAACCACCACCATAAAATTGCTTGTATACATAGCAACTTGGACACCACTTTGTCTACGGCAGAACTAGTGAAAGGAGCCCAGAGCACCATTAACTCAGGTTTCTTTTCAGGATTAGCTTAAATGCCAAGGCCTGCCTGCTCAGGATGGAGACAAAGTACAGGGAGAAATGTGGCTTACCACCTGCTTGCCTGCCTTTCGGTAGGAAAAATCCATGCCAAACTTCTGAGCATCGGAATTTCCCCAGCGGACTCCTTAAAGATGAACTTACGCTCAGCCAAAAGACTTATTGAGCAGAGATTAGCAGACATTGAAAATCAACACAACCTCGCCGGGGTGAGGGTGTCTGCTCCCCAGGTATCACGGAATAACCTCACCACTTGGCCTTCCATCATACATGTCATCTCTTTCATCTGTACCACACCGACATGCATTTATTCGTGCAAGGTTCAATGTCTTTCCATCGAACCTGCTGAGTCACAGATTTTCCAAGGGTTTGGTGTCTCCGCTATGCGTGTGTGACGGGAAAACTGTTGATTCTCTCTCACATATAATGTTCAACTGTCCCCGACATAGCATAGCCAGGACTAAATTCCTGGGCCCTGCTTTACTGCGCTTGGTTGGCAGGCCTGCTGAGTCACATGCCGCACTACTTTTGCAGGATACAGATCCTTCTGTAACTCTGCAGGTGGCGAGATTCCTGAATGCAGTTATCTCACACACAAAAACCACCAAAAACAACAACATCAAAAACTAATCGGTCAGTTTTGAAGAGAGTGCATGTCGGATCCCGTCTTCAGTTCTCCTTTTCTGGGATCCGTCCCTTGGAGCTCTCCGGGCCCCAAGCTGTTATCTGGCTCTGCTCAATGACCCACCCCTGCATCATGGTGTTCACCTTCTGGTGCCGAATATATTAGTCTTTATGCCTCTGTGCTTTTATGTTTGTACATACTTTATGGGCTAATAGCCGTAAATAAATAAATAAATAAATAAATAAATGCCTGCCTTTCTTGGCTTACAACATCCGCCAAGATGGGACAGAATGGTTTGGGTCAGGAGGTAATAGAGAGAAAGAGAAGTCCCTTCTGCCTTGAGAGGGAGAGAGAGACTGCTCATAAAAGAAAACTCTCTCTGGATCATAAGAACTGACAACTTGCTGGTCTTTAATAATGTCACATTACACGTGTGATAGCTGGGGCTCATGGAAGTTGTAGTCCAAAATGTCTGGAGGGCACCAGGACAGCAAAGTTTGGACTAAGGCAGCTACTAAGGCTTTGAGGTGCTAAGAATTGGGAATTCCCGTCTGCCCCACCCAGATTATGTAAAATGCAATGATGAAGCAAAAGTTCCCAAAATAATAGCACACTGCACTACCCCTAAATCAATACTGTAAACTTACCCCAAGGCAAACATGCATATATGAAGTATGTCTTCTCCAATGAAGTCCAAGTAGAAGGTCGCACCTGACCCAGGAGGGAGGGGGAAATGGAAACATGACATACAGCATCTTCAAACACAAAGTTTTTGCCAATTGCTAGACAAAAGCTAATCATCTGTTATTTCATTTTATATTACGCATGGGAAGCAGCTGGGAGTTGTAGTAGTTCCAAAGACCTGGAGGGCAACAGTTGGCCAAAGGCCGAGTTAAACCTTCACTCCTGGCATCTGGTAGTCATCCCTTATTACCCTTGTTTATCCCTTCCCTTCACTACTGGCAAACTTGAGATCCTTGAGATCCTTGGCTTGTTTTCAGAAAGTATACTGAATGTGTCACATAAAACATTATCTCTTTCCAAGAATGAGCTTCTGAATGCAAACTACACTCTGGGCGTGAGCCTAAGTGGAACATAGGAAGCTGCCTTATACACAGAATCAGACCTTTGGATCCATCTGGCTCAGTACTGTTTCCACTCACTGGCAGCAGATCTCCAGGGCTTCAACGGGGTCTCTCTCAGCCCTACCTGTAGATGCTGGGGATTGAATTTGGACCTTCTGCGTGCTCTGCCCATTGAGCTACGGCCCTTCCCAGTGAAACTATGCTATGCTGTAATCCAGCCTTTGTCAACCTGGTGCCCTCCAGATGTTTTGGACAGCAACTCCCATCAGCCATTATTTTCTTAGGAGCCCATCTCAGGCCACAGAACTTTGTTGACTTGCTCCAACCACCAGTTTAGGTTATTTTTCCTTATTTCTTTTACCTGCAGTAATTGCTATTGCAGTGGACAAGATGTATCCTATGCTGGCAATCTGTGATGCATCATACAGCTGTGTTGCTTGTGTTAAAAACCTACGATCAAGAAGTAGAAATAATAATAATAATAATAATAATAATATTAATAATAATTTATTATTTGTACCCCGCCCATCTGGCTGGGTTTCCCCAGCCACTCTGGGCAGCTTCCAACAAAGATGAAAAATACACTAAAATGTCACATATTAAAAACTTCCCTGAACAGGGCTGCCTTCAGATGTCTTCTGAATGTCAGGTAGTTGTTTATCTCTTTGACATCTGATGGGAGGGCGTTCCACAGGGCGGGCGCCACTACCGAGAAGGCCCTCTGCCTGGTTCCCTGTAACTTGGCCTCTCGCAGTGAGGGAACCGCCAGAAGGCCCTCGGAGCTGGACCTCAGTGTCCGGGCAAAACGATGGGGGAGGAGACGCTCCTTCAGATATACTGGACCAAGGCCGTTTAGGGCTTTAAAGGTCAGCACCAACACTTTGAATTGTGCTTGGAAACGTACTGGGAGCCAATGCAGGTCTTTCAAGACCAGTGTTATATGGTCTCGGCGGCCGCCCCCAGTCACCAGTCTAGCTGCCGCATTCTGGATTAGTTGTAGTTTCCGGGTCACCTTCAAAGGTAGCCCCACGTAGAGCGCATTGCAGTAGTCCAAGCGGGAGATAACCATAGAATCATAGAATCATAGAGTTGGAAGAGACCACAAGGGCCATCGAGTCCAACCCCCTGCCAAGCAGGAAACACCATCAGAGCACTCCTGACATATGGTTGTCAAGCCTCTGCTTAAAGACCTCCAAAGAAGGAGACTCCACCACACTCCTTGGCAGCAAATTCCACTGTCGAACAGCTCTTACTGTCAGGAAGTTCTTCCTAATGTTTAGGTGGAATCTTCTTTCTTGTAGTTTGGATCCATTGCTCCGTGTCCGCTTCTCTGGAGCATGCACCACCAGAGCATGCACCACTCTGGCGAGACAGTCTGCAGGGAGATAGGGTCTCAGCCTACGTACCAGATGGAGCTGGTAAACAGCTGCCCTGGATACAGATTTGACCTGTGCCTCCATGGACAGCTGTGAGTCCAAAATGACACCCAGGCTGCGCACCTGGTCCTTCAGGGGCACAGTTACCCCATTCAGGACCAGGGAATCCTCCACACCTGCCCGCCTCCTGTCCCCCCAAAACAGTACTTCTGTCTTGTCAGGATTCAACCTCAATCTGTTAGCCGCCATCCATCCTCCAACCGCCTCCAGACACTCACACAGGACCTTCACCGCCTTCACTGGTTCTGATTTAAAAGAGAGGTAGAGCTGGGTATCATCCGCATACTGATGAACACCCAGCCCAAACCTCCTGATGATCTCTCCCAGTGGCTGCATGTAAATGTTGAAAAGCATGGGGGAGAGGACAGAACCCTGAGGCACCCCACAAGTGAGAGCCCAGGGGTCTGAACACTCACCCCCCCCCACTTTCTGAACACGGCCCAGGAGGAAGGAGCGGAACCACTGTATGACGGTGCCCCCAGCTCCCAGCCCCTCAAGACGGTCCAGAAGGATGTTATGGTCGATGGTATCAAACGCCGCTGAGAGATCCAGCAGAACTAGGAAACAGCTCTCACCTTTGTCTCTAGCCCGCTGGAGATCATCAACCAGTGCGACCAAGGCAGTTTCAGTCCCATGATGAGGCCTGAATCCCGACTGGAAGGGATCCAAATGGTCCGCTTCTTCCAGGCGTGCCTGGAGTTGTTCAGCAACCACTCGCTCAATCACCTTGCCCAAGAATGGAAGATTTGAGACTGGGCGATAATTGGCCATCGTGGCCGCATCTAAAGATGGTTTTTTAAGAAGCGGTTTAATAACCGCCTCTTTCAGCGGGTCTGGGAAGGCTCCCTCACGGAGGGAAGCATTCACCACCCCACAAAGCCCATCGCCCAGTCCTTCCCGGCTAGCTTTTATAAGCCAGGATGGGCAAGGATCCAGGAGACAGGTGGTTGGCTTCACTCGTCCAAGCAGCCTGTCCACATCCTCGGAGGTAACAGATTGGAATTGATCCCACACAACTTGACTAGACAGGACTCTAGCACTCTCCCACCCCGGCCCTGCTCCCACGGTGGAGTCTACTTCTTCCCGAATCTGAGCGATTTTATCTGCAAAAAACTTTGCAAAATCATTGCAGAAGATCATGTGGCCCGTACTGGGCCCCGACGTCGCAGGTGGTTCCGCTAAATTGTGAACCACCTGAAAAAGTCTCCTGCTGCTGTTTTCTGCAGATGCAATAGAGGCAGCGAAGAAAGTCTTCTTCGCCGTCGCTATCGCCACTTGGTAGGCTCGACGTTGAGCTCTAACCTGTGTCCGGTCAGATTCGGAATGAGTTATCCGCCACCGGCGCTCTAGCCGTCTCAACGATTGTTTCATTGCCCTCAGATCCGTGGAAAACCACGGGGCTGTCCAGGCTCCATGCATTCGGAGAGGGCGCTTCGGAGCCAAACAGTCAATAGCCCTGGTTAACTCCACATTCCAGCGGGCCACCAGGGAATCGGCTGAAAGGCCATCAACATGGGATAAAGCATCCCCTACCACTCTCTGGAAACCATTTGGATCCATTAAGTGGCGGGGGCGGGCCATCCGAATCGTTCCCACCTCCCTGCAGAGGGGGTGGGTCGCAGAGAAGTCCAGTTGGACCAGGAAGTGATCTGACCATGGCACTTCTTTCGTTTCGCTTTTACTTAGTGTCAGATCACCAACATCCATAGAGGTAAACACCAGGTCCAAGGCATGTCCGCGGCTATGGGCTGGACCAGACTTATTCAGGGACAGCCCCATGGAGGCCATGCTTTCCACGAAGTCCCGAGCGGCCCCTTGTAAGGTCGTGTCGGCATGGATGTTAAAATCCCCTAGGACAACCAAGCTAGGTGTCTCCAGGAGAACATCCGCCACAACCTGAAGCAGCTCGGGCAGGGAATCCTTGGTGCAGCGGGGAGGTCAGTACACCAAAAGGAATCCTGTACTGCCCCTATTGCCCAACTTCCAGAACATGCATTCGGAAAACTGGGTCTTCCCAATAGGACGCCTGGTGCAAACTAACGACTTCCTAAAAATCACTGCAACCCCCCCCTCCCTGCCCACATGACCTGGGTTGCTGTGCGTAAGAGAAACCTGGTGGACAAGCAGCGGCAAGGACAGGCCCATCTGCTTCATCCAACCAAGTCTCTGTTACACATGCCAGGTCAAGTCCTCCATCCATGATCAAGTCATGGATGGCAGCGGTCTTATGAATCATTGACCTGGCATTGCACAGCAGCACCTTCAGGTCATGTGGGTATCCCTTGCTGATTTTAGTATCCATCCAGTCAGGACCAGACCCGGAGGCAGGGATAGTCCTCAGACAGCGACTAAACCTGCCTCCTCTGTAATGACATGGTCTGGTCTTAGCGTAACTCCTCCTCCTACCCGTGATCACTGAGATCGGTTGTCCCAGTGCATCCCCTCCTGTGGAACATGCCCCAGCCATTTTGTTGGCTGGGACCTACTCCCCAGCAGCCCTGACCCCTCCCCTTAAGAACAAAATAACACCTTAAAAAAAACAAAAAACCAATAAAACAATACAAACAAAAAACAGTAAAAATTACAAAAACATAAAATCAAACAAATTCCCAGGCCCAATAAACATCCATCCCACCCCCACCCCACATACAAAAAATTCAAAAGAAAATTTTAAAAACATTTTAAAAGCACTCTGCACCCCTCCAGCAGTAACAGCAACTGTCCTAGTGAGGCCCGTCAGGCCCTGCCCTGGGTCAGGTGGTAAGTGGCAGGAAGGAGCAGGGCCCCCAGACAGTCACATAGGAGAGTCCTCCTGGGCAGCGGAGCACAGCAGTCTTTATGAGGCTTCAGGCCCCGCCCTGGGCCAGGTAGGTGGTAAGCGGCAAGAGCAGGGCCCTCAGACACTCACACAGGAGAGTCCTCCTGGGCAGCTGAGCACAGCAGTCCTTATGAGGCTTCAGGCCCCGCCCCAGGCCAGGTGGTAAGAATTAAACAGGCATGCAATCAATTTGTTTAAGGAGTATGTTGTTAAAAACATTATTTAAATATAAGAAAAGCAGAGGGTCAAACTGATAGGTAAGAGCCCTCTTCTATCACATACCCCCTAGCAATAAGTATACAGATGTACACTGCCTCCGAAGTTGGAGGTTCCATTTATCAGCTATGGCTAAAACAGCCATCAATATGATTTTATATTGCATTCTTCTGTCCAACTTCTTTTAAAAAGCTATCTAAGCCAGTGGGCATCACCAAGTCTCCATTTGTTATTACATGTTTGCACCACCACCTGCCAAGGAGCTCAGAATGGAAGACATGTGCTCCCCCCCCCCCCATATCCTGTAATTTACATTAGGTTCAGATAATCACCCAGGGCATTTTACAGCCAAGTGGAGATTTGAATCCAGGTGTCTATGCTTAGGTATCCAGCTAATATTTATACGTACAGCTCAAAAGAGGCTGACCTAATCATAACAATCGTTGATTCCTTTTAGTCTCCATTAAAGCAGACACTGTATTCATCTGAAAACCTTATGAATTATTCCACATCAGTTACAGAATGAAGGGTGGGTAATAATAACAACAATAAACAAAACAAAACAAAACAAAACAAAACAACAACAACAACAATAATTCCTGGGGCACACTTTAGCTCCAGCTTACTAGCCTATAAAGTTTTCCTTCTACAGCAGGGTTTGAGGAATGTGTGGATCTTCAGATGTTGCTAGACTACAGCTCCCATCACCCCTGACCACTGACAATACTGGCTGGGGTTGTTGGGAGTTGGAGTCCAACATCTGGAGGGCTAAAGACTCCCCAACGCTGCTCTATAGTTTCCCCCCTTGATTGCTTTCCCCTTCAGTCTGCACTAACCCATCCTCAAATGCTTTTTCTTTTCTTAACAGACACAGATCAGGCTTGGTAAGCTAAAAGTTACCTATCTATGCCTTGGTAGCTAAGAACAAAACCTCGACGTCCTGGGGCAGCAGATCTTAGATCACCAGATGCTAAGAAACGATGACGGAGGTTGGCTGTCTAGTTGGTCACTCTCGGCAGCCAGAGTGTCAGAATGGGTGGTTGTTTGGTCTGACCCAAAAGGGCAATTTTTCTGCACTGCAGCACATTGACTGTAAGCAACGGGAAGGCGTTCCTCAAATGTATCCTTAAAATGTCACAAGGTACTTTGCAGAAGAGGAAAAGTAGCTAACAGCTACTAAAAGGCCCACTGCCAGTAATAACAACGAACAATACAATTACCTAGCTTTCCCCCCTGGGGCTGCTCTTTAATGTATTATTCATTTTAATTAAATTTCAATTATGCTGACATTCAGTTGTACGCTACAGCTGGAAAATAAGGTTGCTCTTAGAAAAAGGGAGAGGAAGGAAGCTCTGAGCCACTTACGTTGCCTGAAAGGATGCCGTTGCCACCATGCAAACCACCATGATGTAGAAAATGGGGTAGCCCAGCTGGAGGTTCCCTCGTATCGAAACCACCACCATGCCTGCCACTGCCTTCACTGTGATGACTGTCATAGAACCTAAAACATATTTAAGACAACAACCCTCCCATCACTAGGGAACAAGGAAAATGACAGTCACAGGAAGCAAAACGTCCAATGGTAACGAGTCCCACAAGTCCCACCAACAGGAACATTAGAGTCCTGGTGGATGAGGCCAGTGGCCCATGTAGGCCAGCATCCTGTTCTCACATTGGCCAGCCAGAGGGACGCAGGTGGCGCTGTGGTCTAAACCACTGAGCCTCTTGCGCTTGCTGATCAGAAGGTCAGTGGTGCAACAGGGTGAGATCCCGTTGCTCCGTCCCAGCTTCTGCCACCCTAGCAGTTCGAAAGCACACCAGTGCAAGTAGATAAATAGGTACTGCTGTGGCGGGAAGGTAAACAGCATTTCCATGTGCTCCGGCTTCTGTCACAGTGTTCCACTGCACCAGAAGCAGTTTAGTCATGCTGGCCACATGACCTGGAAAGCTGTCTGTGGACAAATGCTGGCTCCCTCAGCCTGAAAGCGAGATGAGCGCCACACCCCACAGTCGCCTTTGACAGGACCTAACAGTCTAGGGGTCCTTGTATGCTCTTGGGAGGCCTGCAAGCAGGACCTGAGCACAACTGTACTCTCCCCACTTGCCATTCCCAGCAACTGGTATTCAGAGGCATAAGGCCTCTGGCAGTAGAGGTCAAACATAGTCCTTGTCCTCCATGAATGAGCCTAGTCCTCTTTTAAAGCCATTCAAGTTGGTGGCTATCCCTATCTCTTGTGAGAGCAAATTCCACCATTTGACTACAGTTCCATTTGCACTATGCATTTAAAGCAGTACCATATCACTTTAAACTGGCATGGCTTCCCCCAGAGAATCCTGGGAAGTGTAGTTTGTTAAGAGTGCTGAGAGTTGTTAAGAAACCTCTATTCCCCTCAGAGAGCTACAATTCCCAAGTTCACCAAGAAGGACCGACTGTGAAAGCAGCTCTGACAATTGTAGCTATGTGTTCTCCAAACAAACAAACAAACAAACAAACAAACAAACAAACAAAGGCTGTTTTTGTTTGTTTGCTTTACAACAGCAGGGATACTGGAATAAAAATACACAGAACTATGCTGCATTAGCCCTGCTTTCATAATTCATGAATTTCAATTCCGATATGGGCAGCGGGCATTGCTTTGTTTTTGGTAATATGTGCACCTTACCCCTGGGACCCATTAGGAAGAAGGGTGGTATAAAAGTTTTGACAAACAAGCTAGGCAGCCAACTAACCACAGGCCTACTCTGACTCAACAGACACAGTGGTTGGAAGATTAAGCCACGTGCTTGAAACTTCAATGTTGTGTGAACATAGCGCATGCGTGAAGCTTACCCAGGAGTGCTGCCAACAGCAGAATCACCACAATATAGTTAGCTTTCCTCTCTTTGTAGAAATACAACAGCAGGCAGAAAATGATTATCTCTACCAGCTAAGAGAAAGAAGAAGAAGAAAAAGACCATGCAGAAATAAATATGGGCTATAAAAACAAACAAGTCAACACACACTTTAGTTTTGTTAAGAACTGGAGAGGCGACTACATTTGGGAAATGGAAAAAGAATGGGCGACAGCTACTTCATTTCGCAGCAAGCTGGGAATTTTGTTTTCCCCCTCCAATTTCCATCCTACCCTGACGGCACATAGAAACAGGTAGGTAGCCATGTTGGTCTGATGCAGTTGAAATATATATAAAAAAATTAAAAATTGTCCAGTAGCACCTTGGTGGTTGGTATCTGAAGAAGTGTACATGCACACAAAAGCTTATACCAAGAACAAACTTAATTGGTCTCAAAGGTGCTACTGGACAATTTTTTTATCTTTTTATATATTTCGGCACATAGAAAGTTACAGTGTTTTACATAGCACAAAGGTATGCATTTTTGTCCTCTTCCGTTTATATCCTGCCTTTCTTCTGTCATGGAACCCGAGGCAGTGCTTCCCAGTTGGTCACCCATCCAACCAGACCTCGGACCTGCTTCTCTTTAGTAAGGAGGTAGCCTTATGCAATGTGAATATGCCCTCCCTGGGATTTACTTCTTCCCCAGGCACATGCTCTGCCATTTTCAGTCTTTACGAATGTAAAGGAAGCCCTGATGGACCAGAGCCAAGTTTCATCTGGCCTGGCATCCTGTTTCAAGCAACAATGAGAAGCTCACAAGCAGGTGCATGATGGAGCTCTTAATTCACCTAGGACAGCAACAAAGCCACCCGCCATTTGTCTCCAGCATCCAATCCCAATATGCTGTTCTTTCCACCCTCCTCTACACTGTTGCAGGGGGTCTCTGTCCCCACCTCAACCCACATTCCTCTGCTTAAGAAGTAGCCAATGTGGTATGCTTTCCAAATGTTGCTAGACTACAACTCCCAGAACTCCTGACCAGTGGCCATGCTGGTAGGGGCTGGTGGAAGTTGATGTCCAACAGTATCTAGAGGGAACCACATGGGCATCTTAGGATGTTCCAGCTATGAAAATGAAGTGGAAGAGGTTGAGATGACACACCCTTTGGGCCTCAGCTCAGAGACAGTTTGTTAGTGTAGGATAAAAACCTAGGGAAATAAAATCTTTCAAGTGATTGCCAGTAAAGCCAGTAAAGGGTCTTTGATTCTCCAAAATTTAAGGACGCCAGTTTCAGAAAGTGTGGGCAGCTGTAAGGAGACCCATAACCCTTTTCTATATCCAAACCTGCATGGGTTTCCCTGTTAAAAAAAAAAAAGCCATGGGCAACGTTTTTCCTTAAAACCCCAAACTAGGCAAGCAGATTCTTGGATGTAGGCAAAGCACCCCAGATAGTATCACTCCAAGACTGGCCTCCTTACCATATACAAGAGAACCGGCCAGCTGACCAAGTGCTTAGTGATGTTCTCTCCTGTCATGGTCTCATGACTGTTAGGCCCGAAGGTTATCAGCAGGTATGTCCCGACAATAGCCAAGCCACAGCCTATGAAGGACAAAACATAGCGCCCTTTGGCAGGAGGAAGGGAGGAGAAGCTGTGTTAGTGGGTTAGTTCAGAGGCCTGTGGCTGTTTGGACGACATACACAAGACAAGGACAATGGGAGGAGTCATGGACTAGTCCATGTTATTGATGACTGATGAGTTTGATTATTACTGGCTGGTGTGTGGAAGGGATTTATGAAAGAAAAATCTGGTTTTAAATAGTTTATTATTATTATTTAGATTTATATACTACCCTTCATCAGGGAAGTTCACAAGATAAAAATACAAGATATATAAATGGTTGAAATAAATAAATGTGTAATGGCTATTTGTAAGGGAGTGAGAATGAGATTGTGAGGATGGTTGAATATTATTGAGAGCTTGATTTTTGTTTAACAACTACACACACACACATTTGTTTTTCAGAATTTTATAACAATTTTATAACAACTTTATAACAACTACGATTATAGTTAAGAGATATGGATATTGTTTGAGAGTTTGCTTTGCATAGCAATTCTGACATATATATATATGTGCACTCATACTTTTCTTTTTCTTTGAATTTTGTATGGATATGATTATTGTGATAAATACAAAACAGCATAATATCTATATAATTTGATTTTCTTCTTACTTAAGAATGCTTGAGATTGTGTTTATTGTATACCTAGGCACTTGGATTTTATTAAATGCAAACCACTTTGAGATCTATTGATTGCTAGTGGTATATAGACTACTCAGTCTTTTGCAAGTACTGTGCTATTTGCTATAAAAATGCTAAAATTCTGCAAAATCCAGAGTAAAATAAAGCTAAACTGTTTTGGTTTCTGTAGCGGTGTGCAAAACTCTGAAGAAAATTCATGCCAAGTCTCTCCAGTAGTCATAGATGCAGAGTCATAAATAGCAATTTCATACATATAGAGAGCGACAGAGAGAGAGGAATATATATAAATAAGCTAGATAAGAATGGTTCTGAACATTTAAGAATACTGCCAGCAGTGCCTGACATTTTCACTTCTCAAACTGATCCTGCTCAGAACCTGTTATGCAAAAATTGCTTATGTTCAGTTTTATATATTCCTGTCTCTTCCTGATCCTGTAAGGCTGGCCAGCAGTATTCATTGACTGAATTTGCTTTACTGCGTTGGGCTGCTGGCACAGAACCCACTAGATGCTCCAAGTGCCCCCTTGCCTGGCCTTCTGCCCCCTCTAAGCCTCTGCATACACAGAGACCTAGATTTCATCATGCACCTTAAACACCCACCCAGTTTAATTAGAGCTGAGAAAGGGGGAGGGAACACCTTAATGTAACTTATTGCTATTTTATTTAATGGCCACATGATCTTCAATGCCCATCTTGTCCAGGTTGTGCCACCCTAGCTACCGCAGCTGGCTCCAGCCAGGCTCCCTTCCACCAGCTTGTGCACAGCCCCTGATCAGAAGGGAGACAAGCCTCCAGGCAAAGAAGTGTCTGCAAACTCCCCCTTTCCTCTTATTCAGGCTCTCAGCGTGCCACAGAACTACTACATGCAGGCAGCTGAGCTAGCAACACTCACAAATTTAAGCTCTGCATCTCCGAAACAATGAAAAGCTAGCCTGCCCTCACACGGTCATTCCTAACAAATTAGCAGCCAAGAAAGAAGAAAAAGCAATTTGCAAGAACAACAGGAGCTTCCAGGACTGAGTGCCAGGAACCAATTCTCATCAACTTGTACACACATGCAGAAGAGAGTGAGGAGGAAGCAAAGGAAAAGCAGCAACAGAAAGCCACATTCTACGCCGGAGCTAAAAAGGTATTTTAAAATCCAGAACTTACTCAAGAAGTCTTTCGGCTTCCATTTTTCCTTAATGAATATGATTCCAATGATTGCACTTGCTAAGTGAGAAAATAATGAAAGGTGAAGGATGTTATTAACACGAGGGAGAGTAAAGTACTTATATAGCTTCCCTTTTAGGGTGCAAACCCTTGCAAAGGCAGCTTGCAAAGCCACCAACAAACAGAATACATATAAGTACAAATATAAACTCTATCTATATATAGATAGCTATAAAACAAATATAACCACAAAATAAAAACATAACAAATATAATATAAAGGTAAAGGCAAAGGGACCCCTGACCAGTCCAGTCGCGGACGACTCTGGGGTTGCGGAGCTCATCTCACTTTAGTGGCCAACGGAGCCTGCATACAGCTTCCAGGTCATGTGGCCAGCATGACTAAGCTGCTTCTGGCAAACTAGAGCAGCGCACGGAAATGCCGTTTACCTTCCCGCCGGATCGGTACCTATTTATCTACTTGCACTTTGATGTGCTTTCGAACTGCTAGGTTGGCAGGAGCAGGGACCAAGCAATGGGAGCTCACCCCGTCACGGGGATTCGAACCGCCGACCTTCTGATCAGCAAGTCCTAGGCTCTGTGGTTTAACCCACAGCGCCACTCGCGTCCCAAATATAATATAAATATATAAAGTAACTATAACACAAATTTGGCATGACTTGGGTCCTAATTTGGCCCATAATGCAGTGCTCCCCAAACGATGGTCACCTATCCCACAGCTGACATCATATGTGACATCAGGTGTGGGGCTGGCAGATACACAGTGGGATTGGTTGCACAAACAAGTTTCCCCGCAGTCAATCCCTGCAGAAAGCAGCTTTGTCTGCCCTAGGCTTGAGTACTGGGCTGGCAAATCCCCTTGCACTGCACTTTCTAAATGCTTGGCAACCAGTTGGCTGTCAAGAACTTGGAAAACACCACGCAGGGGATTTTCAGCAGGTGGGCAAGACAAACCACCTATCAATCAAGCAACCAACCAACCAATCAATCAATCAATCAATCAATCAATCACCTGACATCATGATGATGTCAGAAGATTGATAGGTGGGGTGCCCCACCCACCTGACAAAGTTGGGCTGCGACCTGGCCCACCAAGCCAAAAAGATTCCCTATCTCTGATATAAGAAAATGTTCTAAAAACAGACCCATAAGTTGGAGCACCTAGAAAAATGGTAAGGATTAAACATTAAGTCAAACTGGAGGCTTGTGAAATGTCACACACATAAGTATGTATGTATACATATTTAAGAAGAAAGCCACACTCTGCCTTCTGTGTCCCCCTTCCCCTTCCCCTATAAGCTTCTTAAATAAGACAAACTTGTGTGAAGATACGTTTACCTATAACAGACACGGCACCAAGTGGCACAATCAGGGAAAGGGGCGCAAAGGCATAGGCAGAGAAGACCCCCAGCTCCCCCAGGAACAGCAGGAACAGGCCACACCACCATGTCTTGGTCTTGAAGTAGGCTCGGTGGTCTTTGCAACCCACCAGCCGGATATGGCTGTATTTCTAAAGAGACAAGGGGAAAAGGCAACAAGAAGTCACAGTGGCATTATTATTATTTTGCTGCTGAGGTTTGCTCTGGAATCCTTTTGCTTTTGTTTCCCCCACCGCTCACCTGGAGGTTGAGTGCGATGCTGATAACGAGGTGTCCAAAAATAGCCAGCAGGGCACCAATCAGGTTTTCCTGCAAGAAAAAATGATATATGCAGGTATTAGCTTTCTACCCCACCTGCACCTACAGAAAACATGCTTGACTGGCCAAGTATGTATAAGGCTTGATAGCATGGGACTTTCTTCCGAGTTGACATGTACATGTCTGTGACATAAGTAGCTATCAGTCTGCAGCCTTAGGACAGTTTCAATGTAAATAGTCAAACAAATTCAAATTCTGCCAAGGTGGCTTACAACATCATCATAACACTGTGCCAAAGGGAAGCAAATTCAGCCACCAATCACGGCAATGGGTTCTCTCCTACCTACTAGTCCTTCCCACAATCCCTTTCCCCCTGAGCTGGACAATAAATTACACTAGTCCTGGAGTCATTTAGCCCAATCCCTTTCCCTTCTTTTTATTTAGCTCAATCCTTCCCCCCCCCCCTTGTTGGCTAAAGGGAAAGAAGCACAAGAGCACTCCTCACTTCCATCGTGCGGGCTAGAGTCCAGCAAGGTGATGGATACGGCAAATGAACTGCCTTCAGTTCTCCCGGGGGCCAATCTTAGGATTGCACAGTTAGGCTGAAGTTCTGTACCCCTTACCTGGGAGTAAGCCCCACTGGACTCCATAGGACTTACCTCTGAGTAGACATGCACAGGATTATGCTGTTTTAAGCAGACAGCAGCCTTAGTGTGGTTTAAATGTCCTATTCAAACTAATACAAACCTTTAACTTGAAATTATTTTGAAGACCTAACAATTCAGTCAGTTACACAATTCAACAGTGTACACCAAGTGTATTCCATAGTGGGTGCCTCAAAAATGATATATTGTATAGTTGGAGAAGGTTCAGAGCAGGGCAACCAAAATGATAAAGGGGATGGAGCGACTTCCCTGTGAGAAAGGTTGCAGCCTTTTGGGCTTTGTAGCTTGGAGGAAAGGTGAATAAGAGGAGACATGACAGAACTGTATAAAATTAGGCATGGCATGGTGAAAGCTGTGGTCTAAACCACAGAGCCTAGGGCTTGCCGATCGGAAGGTCGGCAGTTAGAACCCCCATGACGGGGTGAGCTCCCGTTGTTCTGCCCCTGCTCCTGCCCACCTAGCAGTTCAAAAGCACATGAAGTACAAGTAGATAAATAGGTACCGCTCCGACGGGAAGGTAAACGGTGTTTCCGTGCACTGCTCTGGTTCGCCAGAAGTGGCTTAGTCATGCTGGCCACATGACCCAGAAAGCTGTCTGTGGACAAACGCCGGCTCCCTCGGCCTATAGAGTGAGATGAGCGCACAACCCCAGAGTTGTCCGTGACTGGACTTGACTGTCAGGGGTTCTTTACCTTTAACACTAGAACTTGTGGACCCATCAAATGAAGCTGCATATTGGAAGATTCAGGATGGACAAAAGAAATGTACATCTTCTTCACAAAGTGTATCAACATTATGGAATTCATTCCCACAAGAGGTAGCCACAAACTTGGATGGCTTTAAAAAGGGATTAGACATGGAGAAAGATATCAAGGGCTACTAACCCTGATGGATATGGTCTACCTCCACTGTTGTAGGCAGCAAGCCTCTGCTTACCAATTGCTAGAAACAACAGAGGGGAGAGTCCAAAGGCACTCAGGTGGCCACTTTAAGAGCAGGATGCTGGACTAGGTGGGCCACTGGCCTGATCCAGCAGGGTCTTCTTATGTTCTTACAAGGGGGCTTAAGCCAGAGACTGGTGAAGCACACTGGACAGCACTGCAGGGAACAGGAGCATGCAACACTGGAATGCTAAATTACTTTGTATTGTCTGTCAGTAGTACATTAAGGTAATATCCATACACTGTCATGTGCTTTTGTCTGGTTTAGGACACTGTGGAGCAAGCAGAAAGCTCAGCTGCCCCCCCTTTTCATGTCTCCCCAAGTCACAGCCTCCCCTCCAACAGTCATGTCAGGTTTCCTGCTTGGCAGGGGGTTGGACTCGATGGCCCTTGTGGTCTCTTCCAACTCTATGATTCTAGGTAGAAATTTCTCTGTGATGTTTTTTTCTCCATGGGAAAAATCCTGTGCATTGTTTCAGAAAAGTTAGTTAGTAACACAATGAAGGGATACAATACTCTTCAAGCTGTGCTCTTTCAAAGATGTGATTAAGGGTTTTTAAAAAATGTGACTATACCTAGGAAGCATATAACCATGTGTGTAAACACAAAACCTATGTATATTTATTTAGGCTATGTGTGTAACTAAAAGATAAAAAGCAACTCAGCCGTCACATGTTAAATCAGGTACTATTACATTAAGGACCTTAAAAAAATGAATCTAAGGCTGTGTACACATCATACATTTGAAATGCATGACTTTCTCCCGCCCCGAATCCTGGGAACTAACCCCAACAGAGCTACAAATTGCAGCACCCTTAACAAGTCAAAAAACCCAGGTTTCTTTTTTTCTGGTGTGTGTGTTTTAAATGTACAGTGTGTACTCAGCCCAAATTTACACAGGATTGTTGAGTTTTTTGGGGCAAAGTTGTTGAGCTTTCTTTGCAAAAACTCCATTTTTAAATACTGTAACTTTTTACAATGATGTTTCTAAGTGTTGGAAGTGGCCTTGGATCCCAAGTTCGGAGAAAGGTGGGATATAAAAATATATTATGAAGAACTCATCATCACCATCATTATCATGTTCATGCACTGCACATCAAAACTGTGGTGAAGCATAGAACATAGAACCATAGATTTGGAAGGGGCCCTGACGGTCATCTAGTCTAAAACCTTGCAATGGAGGAATGTGCAGCTGTCCCATATGGGAACTGAACCTGCAACCTTGGCATTATCAGAACCACACTCTAACCAACTGAGCTATCAACTGAGCTGATGAACAGGCCTGAGGGCCTCCCCCTAAGACCCAAGAATGGAATGACAACAGCAGCAGCCCAAGCGGCAACTTACTCTGGCTTCTATAAATATAACTATAGCAGATTCTGCTGGTTTCTTAGCCAGCTTGATTTTGCAGGTCAATGCAAAGGAAACTTCTTCCATCCCTGCCCTGATCCTTCCAGGCAGCTCTCGAATGCAAGGCAGCAGTGCCAAAGCAGAAACTAACCCCAAGCAGGCATTCAACACACCATTTTAAAAACACTAAATTAAAAATTTGAAAGCACAGCTTAACTGAGACCAATTTAGGAACCTTCTTCACGGAAAGAACTGAAGTGGTGTAGTGGTTAAGAGTGCTGAGCTAAGTCCAGGGAGACCCAGGTTCAAATCTCCATTTAGCCTTGAAGTTCCCTGGATTGCCCTCGGAGGACAAGGGGAACCTACAAAACAGGGTTGTTGTGAGGATAAAATGGCAGAGAGAAGCTTGTTCGTCACGCTGAGCCGCTTAGAGGAGGAACATACCGTATTTTTCCATGTATAAAACTAGGGGTTTTTTTTACCAAAAAATTACGGTAGGTTTAAAATTGGGGCTCGTCTTATACACGGGTAGTGCTGAGGGGTGTTTTCTTAATTTGGAGTCCCCCAAAATAGGGGGTGTCTTATACATGGGGGCGTCTTATACACGAAAAAATTAAGAGCTCTGGCAGTCAGGTCAAAGGACCAACCTATCTAGAATCTTTACAGATGGCTAAAACTGCAGTAAAACAGACTAAAACAAATTAAGATGCCTACTAACTTTCTAAACCTCTCAGCAGGCTTGTCCTGTTCTCACAGTGGCCAACAGGATGCCTATGGGAAGCCCAGAAGCAGACCTGAGCACAACTACACTCTCCCTCCTGCTGTTTCCAGCAACTGGTAAACAGAGGCATATCGCCTACAACCCTGGAAGCAGAACATAGCCAAGAGGGTTAGTAGCTACTGATAGCCTTTGCCTCCATGCAGGCTAATCCTCTTTTAAAGCCATCCAAGTTGGTGGCCATCTTTACCTCTTAGTGAAATGAATTCCATGGTTTAACTATGCACTATGTGAAGAAGAACTTTCTTTTGTCTATCTGTCCTGAAAACATGACTGTAACCACTTGCAATGGGGAAAATATGTAATAAATCAAAGTATTTTTTCTGCAGTCTTGGCTATTTTATTATTATTATTATTATTATTATTATTATAACAACAGCACATTTATTCAAAAGTTAAATACAGCTTTGTCCACTGCCATAATATCACAGAATGATCACTCCAATCCTCAATCTGTCATCACTGTCATGTTGGCTTGCCAAATACCCTCAATAGCAACCCAGCTACCAATCTGGTTTACTAGGCATCGTTTTACTAAAAAGGTAAAGCTACCCCTGCCCGTACGGGCCAGTCGTGTCCGACTCTGGGGTTGCGCGCCCATCTCGCTTAAGAGGCCGGGGGCCAGCGCTGTCCGAAGACACTTCCGGGTCACGTGGCCAGCGTGACGAAGCTGCTCTGGCGAGCCAGCACCAGCGCAGCACACGGAAACGCCGTTTACCTTCCCGCTAGAAAGCGGTACCTATTTATCTACTTGCACTTAGGGGTGCTTTCGAACTGCTAGGTGGGCAGGAGCTGGGACCGAAAGACGGGAGCTCACCCCGCCGCGGGGATTTGAACTGCCGACCATGCGATCGGCAAGCCCTAGGCACTGAGGTTTTACCCACAGCGCCACCCTATCGGTTTACTAGACATTTTCAATTAATATATCCCCTCCACAAATACCTTCAGTGTTGATGATGGCATTAAGATATCCTTCAATAAAAGAGAAAAAAGGGGACCAAATTGGGTTAATAACAGCTGGAGCATTGCTTTATCAGAATGCCTCACATACCACTGGTGGCATCTGCAAAAAAGATACCTTTGACATGATTCTTTTTTGCTTCCTCCACACTGACTTTCCTTTCAGCCTCCTTTCTTTTAAATATTAAATATCCATTTAATAAATGAATAGAAACTGAAATTAATAGCTGTGAGGATGTTAAACTTTTTGTGTTTTTGTCAGCCTGAAAACTTTTGGGTTATTGAATAAATAAACTATTTGGTATATATTTTGGTAAATATTATTATCTTTCTCAAAAAACCTTGAGAAAACTGGAGGCTGGGTAAGAAGGCTTTCATTGTAAATGTCCAGCAACTCACACTCATTACTTCTTTCAAAAGAAGTCTCTTTACCTGCACCTTTGTCCTGCAGCAACCTCGATAATAATCTAGGATGGAAAATAACTTTACCTTGTAAGAGAAGGAATCCTCATGAGCTAGCCGTGGTGCAGACAATGTTGCAAGCGGCTGGAGCTGTAGACCAGGGCCATTTGCTCTCTCCATTTTGGTTTACTTATGCATTCCTTTTCCAGTTTGCTTCTTGCTTAGTTATAACTACAGCAGTGCTTTAAACCAACCAGGGAACAACTGGATCCATCTTTCTCCTCAGCATTTTGCCACTACAGAGGAGCCATGATGGGGTGGGACCAGGTATCTTGACCGTTGTTGCTCTGCTTCCTGCACAGAAACACAAAAAAAAGTGGGGGGGGGGGAGAGGGCAAAGTTTACTCCAGAAAGAGACACACTGGTGACCAGATGTTTCTGAAAAGCTTCTGTTTCCTGGTCACTGGTAAGAGAGCACTGATGTAGTATAGAAGCCATGAACATGCTGCACTTTGTACAGGGCTCCCCTTGAGACTCCGCTGGAAGCTGTAGCTGGCACAGAACACAGCACATATGACACCTGAGGAAACTGCATAGGTGCAGAAGGTCCCAGGTTGAATTCCCAACATCTTCAAGCAGCACTGGGAATATTCCCTGTCTGAAACCCTGGAGAGCGGTTGCTGGTCCGTGTGGACAATACTGAACTAGACAGACCATCAGTCAGACTCAGAATAAGGCAGTTTCTTATGTTCTTCAGAAGCAAACACACTGATGATTTCAGTGACGCTTATTCCCATGTAAAAATCTAAAGGCAAGCCAATTCCAATAATGGTCCAATTCGGTATAAGGCAGCTTCCTATGGGTTTCACCCAGCAACACTGTCATGTAAGGACATTCTGCTTGTGCAATGGAAATTTCCCTTCCTCTTCATCCCCTTTGCACACTTCTGAATTTGTTCTGGGGTTCCCCATACCTTGTGGAGCAGATGGTGGAGGGAAGAGAAAAAATCTCTTATGCCCGGGGGTGGGGGGAACGGAACTGTGGTTCTTCAGATATTGTTAGTACTCCAACTCACATCACCCTCAGCCAACATTGCCCATGAACATGGGTGATGGGAGTTTGAGTACCAACAATATCTGAAGAACCACAGATCCTTCTCACAAGCCCTAGGGAGTGATCTAATTTAGCATGTTTATTTTACTTGTATTTAGCAAACAGGGACTGCTCCAAGGTGACTTACAACTTGTCTGTTATTTGCAATTGGCAGCCGGTTTCTCAATGTGATTCCCCTACTTCAAACACCAACGTGGCAGAATTCCTTGCCTACAGTCTGTCCCCAGTTCTGAATTCTAAAGTTCACTAATCTCTGTAGAGCAAATAACTGATTTAGGCATTAATCCAAGTTCACATTCAGATAAATATAACGCACTAAGTAATATACCAAATATAATCCTCTCTACCGCCCCCCTTTCACAGCAACTCTTCTCTTATGGGGTGCAGGGAAAGCAAATCAGTGATCTGTATCACAAACTCTTTTCAGAACAATTCTGTGCTATTTACTTATTAAACATATTTATGGGCTGCTCCTCATATAAAGTATCAGGGCATTGTACAACAAAATTTACAAGTGCAAAAAGCACAAAATACCATAAAAATGCAGAGGAATCGTGAAAGTGAAAGGCACATCTTTAAAAAGTTTAAACAACCCAATAGGCCTGCCAGCGTAAAAAAGTATTCAAGTGACGTCTTAAGGATGCTTGCTGGAAGAGTGTTCCACACTTATGGGACCAGCAACACTAAACACCCAACTTGGCTGTGGACGCACTGTACATTTTTAAAGCACATCCCACCCCCTACCACCTCAAGATTCTTGGGAACTATAGTTTTCCGCTCACAGTTACAACTCCCCAACACCTTTAACAAATTACAGTTCTCAGGATTTGGGAGGGGAGTGGCTTTACATGTATCGTGTGCATGCAATTCTAGTTGGTGCCAAACTTTTGAAACACAGGGATTAACTAATAGCGCTCTATATTTATTCATTTACCAAAAGTGACTGGGTCTGGTACTGTATTCATTTTTGTGCAGCATGGCAACTCACACAGTTCTACTGTTTTACACTGTTGGGCGTTTTAGCCCCAGTCTACATAAAAATACAACATTTTCCTTCTCCTGCCCCCTGCCCTGTATTTAATGGCAGATATATTATATATACCTGCGCACTTACTGGACTGACCACTTAACGCATTGCATGAAGTGAGCGCGCTGGGCCTCCGGCGCATGAAAGCCACAATCAATCGTTCCGTCTTTCAAAAGGCACCACAAGATACTCTGGATGGCTTTCCACCGTGATAGACTTAACATCGCTTGTCCCTGTGGAATTGGCCTTTATGTGAACATTCAGGATATGTAAACTTCCCAAAAAAGAAAGAACGAAAAAAGGACCGAATAAAAGGGAATAAAAGAGGGACAATAAGCAGGTGGAATTAAAAGCAAGTTTTCCTCCCTCTTACTTCCTGGTTAATGAAAAGTCACATTTTAACTTCTCCGTTTCTCAAAAGCTTGAAGGCTACTAATAAACAAACGAAAGATCACTTTGATTATCTATAAATTCATTTGTTTGATTGCTTTTTATAGTAGCATTTAACAGTGAAAGAACGACTGAATTATTAAGTAAGACTGCAAACATCCAGGAAAAACAAATTATTTCAAGTGCATTCATTTCTAAATCCATTCCAAAACCCCATTTCCCTTTACAAAAGCACCCCGAAACACTCACCTTGTCTTCGTCCCCAGGTGTTATCCAGCCTTCGTAGCCAGAAAGCAGAGCACCCAAAGCCCTCGGAATGTTTCTTTCCCCGCAGCTGATGGAGCGCTTGGAACGCAGGGCGGGGCTTCGCTCCTCAAAAAACAAGCATCCTATTTGATCTAGACACTGCCAGTCACACACACAGGAAACCCCGATCAGGCAAGCCATTGGCTTGTGTAATACGGCATTCTTAAAGCGACCGGTTAAGCTTGCTTGAAGTGTGCAATACTGTACGTTCTTGTTTGTGAGGGGGCCCCTAGTGGCCACCGTTGGGAACAACAACAACAATCCTTGAGTCGTTTGCCTCCCCACTCGGAGGCGTTCTTTCTCAAAGCATTCTTTTGTTCTATTTTTTATTTCATGTATTTAGTTTTAAACCACTGACAAGCTATTTGGTATTTTATGTATTTGTAAATCGCTCTGAGAATTTTTTTTTTGTAGAAAGTGAGTCATAAATGCAGTATTATTACTTTTGAGGAACCAGCCTGATGCAGAAAAACTCAACTAAAAAGCTTGTCACAATTTCCATACAGTGGTATATGCGTGTTTGGTCTTCTGCAGCAAAGCACAACAAATGAGTATTGTGTTGTGCGGTGTAAGCTTCAGGTGAAATAAAATAAAATATGCATTATGGCACGACACAAGATGATGTGTTCGCAGTTGACAGCTATATCCAGTTAGGAATTTAATGTACAAAAACTAAGCACAATGTACCTTCACAACATCAATGATAAAAGAAAATCAGATTGGTAATGCTGGGTTCATTCACCTACAGTGGGAAAGGAAACCAATGCCTCTATTCTGACCCAAATTAATGGAACTGAACTTCTAGGTGAATTGTAATCAACTACATTCACATCTGAGTCTCCCTTTGTTCAAGTAGCATCATCAGTAGCAAGATGCTACAGTGAACAGAAGTGTTAAACTTATTTGAGTGTGTGGATTATTATTTTTAAACAAGGCGTATATACATCTTATGAAATACGTAAAATAAGTAAAATGAGTTTTATCACACACTGTGATAAATGTAACAAGTAATATTCAATCACTTAAAAACCTTGAAAAACAATGTGATAATAATAAATACACATCAGGATCCTTCCCACAGGGCAGCTGATGCTAGATCACCCTGTAGGGAGGCAGAGAAGAAAGCTCAGCCATGGCAGGACCTGAGATGATTTTACTCTTACCAGTTCTGTTCCAACTAGGCAATGACTCAGTTCTGGGGCAGAAGTTGGGGTAAACTCCCCCCACAACCAGCAACAAACTGAGGCAAGAAACATGACAGCACCAGTCAGAAGCGAGAAGAGTTAAATTTAAAACGGCATTCAGGCAGAGCTCTAAGCATTTAACCTCAGCGTTTTGCACTTGGAAAGACATATTTTTAAAAGATGCTGCGAAGCTTCCTCGACCACCTTAAGCAAAGGCGGATGCAGTCAAAGTGCTTGTGCGCCATTGGTTCACGCTTGGTTTCCATTCAGCTTCTGGAAGAAAAGGCAGCTTCAGAGAACCTGTCTGTGATTGGCATACTTTTAAACCACCAAAAGTGACAGGCAAAACGACTGGAGGAGAAAAACAGACTGGGCTCTCCAGTTGCCTAGGCAACAGAGTGTAAACTTCCCCAGGATTCTCCCCTGAGAGCCAGCCAGGTAAGGAGTAACAGGTCCCAACCTGCAGTGCTTTGTCTTTAGGAATGAGCCAGTCCATGCAGATGATGCATTAGGGCTTTTTAAAAAGTAAAAAATGTGTTTATTGTGCCATCGCATAACAAGTTACATTCCAGGCTGTTGGATCTGGCTGGGTGTCACACAAAACAATAACCTCCTTGTTGCTGTGGCCTGGAAGTATTGTGGGCTAGATGTGTCAGAGGGTACAGCCCAGAGCCAGGGAAACCCAGGCCTGGGGGCCACATGTGGCCCTCCAAGGCTCTCTACCGGGTCTTCAGGTCTCTGCCCAGGCCACACTCCCTCCTCAGTCACATCCCTTGCTGGCCTTGCTTTGCACTTCCTTAAGTGTTTTTGTCTGTTGAAAACCAGTGTGGCATAGTGGTTAGAGTCAGACTAGGACCTGGGAGGCCAGGGATTCAAATCAACGCTTGCCATGAAGCTCACTAGGTGATTTTGGGCCAGTCATTGTCTCTCAGCTTCAAAAGGTTGTTGTGAGGATCAAATGAGGAGGGGGAGAACCACATACGCCACCTTGATACGCCCATGGATTCAGGACAGACAAATGAAAGATCTTCTTCACAAAGTAATAGCATGGGATTCGCTCCCAAGCGTGATAAGCGATGGCCACCATCCTGGATACCTTTAAAAGATTATTCGACAAATTCATGGAGGATAGGCTATCAATAGTACCATTATTTTTCTTAATTAACAATAATTGATCAGTCATGTAACCAGTGTTGCAACTCTATCTGTAAGTACCACAAATTCTCTTTTGATTATATCATATTATTTAGCTTTTAATGCCTAGAAAAATCTTATTGATTCGAATTTATATGTTAATATTTCAGAAACAAGATGGCAAAGCTGATGAGAAGGGAAGTCACCTAGCTTGCAGTAGTGGTGTGACATGGACAATATCTTTGATACGTATCAACTGAATAGAAAAAGCAAAAAGGCTATCTCCCCTGTACTTGAGGCTAAAGGTATTGGATGGAGTCTGAACCATGAATGATGATGATGATTTTATTTGTACCCCACCCATCTGACTGGGTTGCCCCAGCCACTCTGGGCAGCTTCCAACATACAGAAAAACATAATAAAGCATTACACATTAAAAAGCTTCCCTATATAGGGCTGACCCCAGGTATCTTCTAAAGGTGTGATGGTATGAATCAGGAAGGGGAGTTGCAATCTTGGAAGACATTCTTTCTCAGGGGTAGAGAATCTCAGGACTGGTGATCAAATGTGGCCCTCCAGTCCTCTCTACTTGGCCCTTAGAACTCTCCACAGGCCACACCCCTACTCTATAGGCCACACCTACACCCACAGGCCACACCCCTACTTCACAGGCCACATTCCTCATAGGCCCTGCTTCATGCTCTGAGTGCTCCAGCCTGGCTGGAATGAGTCCTTGAACTCATTATGCCTCTTGCTTGCCTGAATGGGGGACAGAGAGGGGTGTGTGAGTGTCTGTACAAAGATAATATTTATATCCATTGCTCTGCCTGCTTTTACCACTGGCAGTGCCCACCAGTAGCATGTGACCTTGGGGCTGAAACAGGCTCTCCATCCTTGCTTGAGTGGCTTCCATCCACCATCCTTTAGTGAATGGAGGACCAGGCATGGTGGTGACTGGGCAGAGGGATGCAACATGGCACAAGAGTCTTTATGCTTTACCTGCTGTTGGTGTTTAGAGTTTCCACTTCTTTTATTTCAAAGCCGCTGGGGCCTCAGCTGTTGGGGCCAAAGGACCAGGCAGGAGCAGGAATCTTCAAGAAAGTATGCCACACTTGTAAAGGCATTTTTGATAGTTCCTTTTCTATTACTGTCAACTGTCTCTAGTCACTATTTCTCTCTGCATTTGTGTTGCATGATTTTTTATTGACTTCTTTTTCTAGGCCTGAGCTGCTGTTCAATTCCTTTCAAATTCCAAACCACAGTGATCTCCAATTCTGAACGAAAGGGCTTTAACTCTCAGACCAAGAGATTTCAGTATCCTGAGGTGAGAAACCATATTTTACTAAGTCTGTTCATCTGTTTTTCTCTTAGCAGGGCAGAGCCAGGGAGTTCATCTGGGTTCAAATGCACCGGATTAGTTAATCCATCCCATGTAAGCCACGTGGTGTATCTAGGCCTATCTATACTATAGGGTTGCCATACGTCTGGAATTTCCCGGACATAGCCGGGAATCGGCTGTCGGAAACAACTTTTTGAAATATGGCAACCCTACTATACCATCTATTTATCATTACATCTATATTCTACATTTCCTCCAAAGAACTCAAGGAGTCACACATGGTTCTCCCTCTCCTTCGTTTATCCCTGCGAAGTAAGTAAGGGGAAGAGACAGTGGCTGATCCAAGGCCAAATAGTGAGCTTAATGGCTGAGTGCAACGAAAGCAGGACAAAAAATAAACCTGGAACATCTGTGATATAGAAAATCACAACATACAGGGTCCTGGGAGATGAAAGGCCTTGGGGGCAACACTGAAAAGGGAAATTTGCGTCTCTCTGTTATGACCCACTTTGACCAGTAGGCGGAAGCAGAACTTCATAGATGGGGAGTGCTAAATCCTTCAGGGGCACTTTGGTTCAAGGAAAAACAATATACAGTATGGAGTAAGTGTGCAAATTACACCTTTTAGCCCGTTTGCTTTTTGGAAATGCACATTTTCACACCACTGCTCCCATAGAGATTTACCTTAAAAAAAAAAGTCACATCTCATGCCATCATGGTTCTTATTGGCCCATCTTGGGGCTAAGCATGCTTCCAGACAGGTGTTTATTGTAGGATCAGTATTACTAATGTCATGCATGAAATTTTTGGCAGTGTCCACACAACATCAGCATCAAAATGTTAGGTTTTTTATCTCCCTCTCCCTGCCCAACAATTTAATCTAGATTTATCCTTTCTGTGGAAAATCTGAAAAGGTTTGGGAAAGAAATGTTTCCAAGAACCTGTTTGCAGTATCGGAATAGCTTGTTTGCAATATTAATCCCCTGACTGGGAGCTTCAGGATCCACAATGTGCAACATGGGGCCTGTTGTGCCTTTGGTCAACTGCTGGTGTTAGCAACAGACCCTCTCCCTTTCCTCCTGAGTCCTGCACAATCTTCCTCCAGCTACTGTCAGGGACCCAAACTGCTCTCAGTTTCTCCCTTTTCTCCCTTCCCCATCAAGAACTATGCTTCCTCTCAGACCTCCCTTCCAATCGCCAATGCATAACAAGCATCTCATCTGTACAAATTTATCTTCCACGCCACCGGCAAGCCAACCTGTTGCTAAATTCTCAGAGTAGAAGCCAGAAGGGGCAACGCTTGAACCGTCTTCACAGTATGCTCCTTTCTCTTCCTGAGAATTTTCCCCTTCATACCGTAATTCCAGCAGGCAATGAGCCAAGCCACAAGGAATACAAAGGGTTTGGCATACTCTTGATTATCCCTAGAGAACATTTGCTTCTTCACATGTAAGAGGGAGTGTTGCATGCATCCCACCCTTTTTGGGGACTTTTGCAAGAAAGCCAAAGTTGTGAAGAAAAGTCAGTAGCTGCTGGAAAGCATGGAGTAGACTTATTGCTGTGAGGCAGGGGGAATTGGGTGAGCAAGGAAAGTCAGTGGGTTGGTTTGCATGACAAACTATGGGTGCCTCCAGACTGTCACTATTTTCCAGGAGGGATTCAAGCGTATAATGTAAATTTGGGTTTGTGCACTTAATGTGGATTAAAGCACTCTGGCACTGTAGTACAACAAATCTACTAAAAAGCAAACAAACCCAGGACTATTTGTGGTTCGGAAAGTGAACTATAAATGCACTGGAAAGTGTGGGATGAACAAAGATTAACGGGTAGACTTCTAAGCATCCCACAAGCAAATCAGGATGAATGCTCGTTGTCATATAACCTCCCAACATACAAATCAGAATGAACGCTCAATAAAGAGTGGACACAGTATTATGACCTCGGAGTAAACATTGTGCAAGCAAACCAGGAAGTGTGTCCTAAGGCTTGCCAAGGCCGTGCTGAGCTCCTGGAGAGCAGTGCCCTTGAAGGGACCAGGCATCTCCACCCCACTGTGGCTGTGACCCAGAGCAGTCCCACAGAGATAAGCAACAGCAGCTGGATGTGCTTCACTGTGTTAGGCTATAGATGCTGAACTGATGAGAAGATGCCACGGCATCTCTCTGCCTGACCTGCTGCCCTTACTAAGCCTCTTGCCACGCTGATACCTACCTTCACTTACATACATCATCACCACCGTACAAACATCCCACTCCATAGCAACAGGGAGCTTGGGAAGCACTCCAACCTAAAAAAAACAACCCTTCAACATCCCAGTTCATTAAAAACCTGAAAGGTACACTTTTACTGACGCCAAAAAGACGTAAGTGAAGGAGCCAGATAGAAGGAGCCTCACTGGGGAGAGTGTTCCACAGGCAGTGAGCCACAATCGAAAAGGCCCTCTCCCTTGTCATCACCCTTCAACCTGCCCTTAAAGAAGGGACCCAGAGAAGGGTATCAGATGAGGATCTTAAGAGTCTGAGTAGGTTCATTTCAAGCCCTTACTTAATTGTTCCAAACTAATATTAGTCCCAGGGACGTGGGTGGCGCTGTGGTCTAAACCACTGAGCCTAGGGCTTGCCGATCAGAAGGTCGGCGGTTTGAATCCCCACAATGGGCTGAGCTCCCGTTGCTCAGTCCCCGCTCCTGCCAACCTAGCAGTTCGAAAGCACGAAGTGCAAGTAGATAAATAGGTACCGCTCCGGCGGGAAGGTAAACGGCATTTCTGTCCGCTGCTCTGGTTCGCCAAAAGTGGCTTAGTCATGCTGGCCACATGACCCGGAAGCTGTGCGCCATCTTCCTCAGCCAGTAAAGTGAGATGAGCGCCGCATCCCCAGAGTCATCCGCGACTGGACTTAACGGTCAGGGGTCCCTTTACCTTTTAATATTAGTTCCAGTAGGGGGCCTAATTTGGCCTGCAAGGCCATTCTTCCTGAACAACGCTCACCTGCCCCAGAGGTGTGGGGCAAATAATTCTATGTCTGCAAAAGGAATAACAAGGAGCCTTTAAATGCCTAGATTGTAGCTGATTCAAGTGGGGGTTGGACTTACCAGCTGGTTGGAGCCAACTTCAAGGCCTACTTTAATTGGTTGGTATCTTCCTCTGCAGTGCGGATGGAACTCAGGGTTCTCTGCAAAGGCAAAATGGATTACCTGATGTCATGGTGATGTCAGGTGATTGACGGATGGCATGCTAAAGTGGCCCAGTGCAGAAGCTCAGAATATGTCCCGCAGAAAAAATTTCCCACTCCACTTTAAGACTCTGCTTGACAACTTCACTGTCTTGCTTGACCCCAAAACCACCAGCTCTGGCCTATCAGGGGATAAACTCAGCTTCTGACAAAGCCCTGTTTGTCATCCATTGCAGATTGAAAGTGGCATCTTAAGACTGCGGGCTCATTTTTGTTTTATTTCATTCTATAAATAGAAAAAAACCACCCAGTACTCACTTCTGGAATGAAAGAAAAGTCGTTCTGGAAGGAGAGTTGAGTCAGGGAGGGGTGCGGCACTTTGAAATAATACACTCTGCCCACATGCTGAAACAATTCAGGCCAAATCAGATGTACAGGTGGGATTAGACATGCAATGGATTTGAGCTCCCCAGGTCTCTATGTTGCTGAGCAGACACCAGGGAAACTTAATCCTCCATTTTCGACCCGTTTTGCCATGCAACTTGAGACTCCCCATTAAAATGAGATTATTTTGATTTTGAAACAAGCAGAGAAGAGGCTTCTTAGTGTACAGTGACAATTGACAAAAACCAGCAAAACATTCAAGAGGCTTAGCGTATGGGAGGGTAAGTGCTGAATCCACATTATAATGCCATTGTGTGCTTCTCCACCCATGAGGTGACACACATGTCGCACATATTCTCTCCGCTGCTGCGTGGAGGAACAATGCATGCCCTCACTTTGACACTAAGTGCACGTCAGATTCCTAAGTAGGGCCTGATTCAAGAAATATACACCAGTTAACTGACTTAAAGCAGTGGATTAAACCTGCATGTATCTGGCGCGTTGACCTATGGTTAAAAACCTCATTTGTCTTCAAACTATGTCCTGATTATTATTGTTGTTGTTGATCTATTTATCGCCCTTTATAAAACTGTTTCAAGGCAATGTACAATAATGTATAATAATAAAAATTAAACATGTCAACACAAAGAAACAGTACATACATGTAAAATAAAAGAGACCTGGGAAACCCTGTCAGAAGAAAAATGCCCTCAGCTGTTTTCTGGAAAGTGCAGGTAGCAGGAGCCTGTCATATCTCTTTTATCTCTTACGTATGAAAGCAGGCACCATCTTGGAGAAGACAGCTTCTTAACATGTTGCTTGAGGCAAAGGACATGGTGGCCTCCTGTCCCAGTTCCACTGCCAGAAGCCAACTAGACAGGCAGCCAAATCTTACTTTTAACACTAGTGATCCTCCACCACACCTGAGGCAGCAAGCCAGATTAGGGGGCCCAGAAGAGGCCACATGGCAACAGAGAAGGGAAAGCTGGGGGATCAGAAGAAACGTCTATTTGTTATTTATTACGCCATGAAATTTATATACTGCTTGACTGTAAAAAACCTCAAACAAGGGGCTGCTGCTACTGGCTACCCTTCAGCCCAACTATTTGTGTACACAGGTACATAGAGTGAATGTAATGTGTTGAACACAGATGCTTAAAAAATATCAGACGCCATATTCTATGGTTTTTCAGAATGCCTGCAGAACCCTGCAAAGTTGAAGGTCCACTAGACTTGCCCATCTTGGCAATTGCTCTAGTACTTCTGCCCTAATTTCATCAATCACCAAGGCTTAAAACATATTTGTTTTAAGTATTTGCTGGTTTTATCTGTATACCAGTGGTTTTCAACCAGAGTGCCGTGGCGCCCTGGGGTGCCTTGAATGATGGTCAGGGGTGCCGCAGGCAACGCTGGCCTCTGTCCTTCTTTTCTTCCCTACTCTGATGCCCTCACACATCTCTGCCTCCCAAAGGCTTGCACATCTGTTTGTTGCAGCAGCCCTGGCTACTAGCTCCGCAGGCAAATAGTACCTCTGAGGCTGGCATGGTGTGCTAGGTTGCCAGGAGCTGATGCGGCTTCAGAGTAAGCAAGCAAGCAGATGAGGGAGCCCAGCCAGCCAGTCCACTAGCCCTTGGCTGGACAGACAAGTCCCAGGCCCCTGTGGTAAGGTTGCCAGACGTCCCCGTTTCCCGGGGACAGTCCCCAGATTTACAAATCAGTCCCATACAAAATCCATTGAAGTTGAAAAGTGTCCCCGGATTCATTGAAAAAAATCTGGTAACCTTACCCTGTGGGGCAGTGTGAGGAGGCACCTCTCAGCTCAGAGACCAGGGGCGGCTGCCCAGAGAACTCCTAAGGAGAGTGGAGAGGAGAGAGGCTGAGGGAACTCTCCACAAGGGAGAGTGTTCACAAAAGGGTGAGAGGCTGCCGGCTCTGCAGGCAAGTGGTGACATAATTGGGCTCCTGAGTCCCACAGGGGTGCCGCAGAAAGAATGTAGTTGGTCAAGGGAGCCATGTACTCAAAAAGGTTGAAAACCTCTGCTGTATACTGTTTTACATTATTTTATATGAAATACTATTTTGGTTAAGCAGTTAATATTTTTTTCCTAAACAAATAAACAATTTCCTGAGCACTGGCAAAAATAAACCCTGTTGCAGCGGACTCTGCCCTGTCATGATTATGCACTGTGTTCCTTCCCAGAATGAAAATCCAGGTCCAGGATTCTATGATGTAATCGATCAATCAACACTTCTCAACAATGTCTCCCAGTCCCGGAAAGGAACCTGTTTTTTCCCTTCCTTGGTAAGGTTTATACATATTTATGAACGACGGGAAGAAAAAAAAAAGGCCAGCGTCAAGAAGTTATTTGATGCCATTGTCAGTCTTACTGCCAGTGAAGCTTTTAAAATGCTCACACACCTTAGTTTTCCTTTTCTATACTGTTTATGAGCTATAGTAATAACGACAAGTTTACGGTTGTCAGGAATAGACCTGCGATAGCCTGATAAACATTAAGTCATCCACCCAGAGATTGCTGTAATTAAACCTGGATTCCATCCTCCAGTTTACCCTTGGAAGCAAATTCTTTAGAAATTAATGGGACATAATTCATTCAGCAAAGTGTGTTTAGGTAGGTGTTTGTTCCTCCTCTGTTGGACAACTGCCTCTGAGAGATCAAATATGTATACTTATTTGCACAGACAGCACTCATTCTCAAAACCCAAACACTTTGGCCATAGGCAGGGTAGATTTGGGGGGCCATGTGTATTCACTAAGGTCAAAATCCCATAAAGTCTATGTAGGTGGCCCCCACATGGCTCAGGTGCATGGCTCAGAACTACTGGAAGCTATTTAAAGGCAGTTTGGTTTTATGACAAGTTCTTATTTTATTCTCTGGTTTATTTTTATATACACTGCTTAGAAGTGTCACTGATTAAGTGATATAATGGCCTCAAATAAATAAACAATGTTTACTTCTGTTGTGGCAACAACAGTAAATGAAAAGAGCTATCTATCAATCTATTGCGGAAGAAACTGCAGTTGGTTCAGAATACAGCAACCAGCTTGCTTTATGATATTAGCCCAGCAGGGAACATATAACACCAATCTTGCATGATCTTCATTCGTTGTATGTTTGCTTACAAGCTAAATTCAAATTGCTGATGCTTACCTTTAAAGTCTTTTGTGGCCCATGCCTGGGATGCCTGAGGTCTTCTTCCATATATGCCTTTCCCCAATCACTAAGATCCAGCACTGGAAATACTTTGCAAATCCATTATCTATTCAGATGGTGGCCAATTCACAACAGACCTTCTCAACCGTAGTGTTGACCAGGCATCCTGAAACTTGGCCCTCCAGATGTTTTGGGACTACAGCTCCCACCATCCCTAGCTAACAGGACCAGTGGCCAGGGATGGTGGGAATTGTAGTCCCAAAACATCTGGAGGGCCAAGTTTGGGGATGCCTGGTGTTGACTCTGGCCCATTTAAATGTATCATAAAGCCCTACACTTTCTGGCTTTGTGTATTTTACTGGTTGCTGCACAGTATTTTCTTGCTTTGTTTATTTGTATATTTTTGCATATATATATTTTTAATTGCTGTTCCTCACATTAAAGCTGATGACTCTCAGAGTTGGTTTTCAGCTTCTTGAATAAAATTATATATTGTGAACTTACTTCCCCATTACTCATTGTGGAGAGAGTCTTGGGCACAGAGAGGCACATTGTCAGAGGCATTATGACACTGAATGCCAGTTGCTGGGAATCCCAGGTGGGGAGAGTGCGGTTGTGCATTTTTATTATCTCAACAAGCCTTACAATAAGCCTGTGAAGAAGGCCTGTATCCCCAGAGCCGTCGTTAGCAGATGTGGCGCCGGGGTGCAAATATCTGCCCAGCGCCCCCAAATTACCACGGATGAGGGGGGGCAAGCTGCGTACTGCCAGCCATGGGGGGGGTGCAACCCTCCCCCATGCCGCTGCGGGAGCGCAATCCCCGCAGAGGCTTGGGAAGGAAGCTGCGTGCCCGCCAGCCATATAGTTGGTGGGGCGCAGCTTCCATCCTAAGCCTCTGCAGGGATCTCTCTCCTCCTGCGGAGGCTTGGGAGGCAAGCTTTATGCCCGCCAGCCATATGGTTGACGGGGCGCAGCTGGCGGGTGTGCAGGGGAAAGGGAAGCCGCCGGCAAAGCCGTGCAGCTCCCACTCACTGGGGCACCCCTGAGAGGCCGGCGCCCTGGTGCAACGCACCACTAAGCCCTATGGGAAAGACGGCTCTGTGTATCACCATACTACACGTGAGGGGCTGTGGTATGATATAAATGAGCGACTTCCCCAGCTTGTACCTCATGCTTTAAACCCATTCAGTATGTCATTTTGTTTACATTTTGAGAGCACTTTACCTCAGTTTAACATGGTTAATATTCTTATGAATGCGATGACAACTCACATTTACCTCACCACAGAGATGATATGTTCAAGCTTTGACACAGATGTGGTAAATATAAGCTGTCACCCAAATAGGACATTATTACTCATACTCCTAAGAAAAAGTGACTACGTGAAAATGATGGGAGAAATCAGGCTCTGATTATTATACTACATCAGATAGAAGCATAGGAGTTGGCCTTAACTGGGTGGGAATTTCTTGTTAAGATGCCGATCTGGTGATTAATGGGTGTAGGCCAAGGATAGCCAATCTGTGACTGGGGAGCTGCAGAAAACCCCCAAGCACTTCAAGGGTGTATCTTGGGCAATTCAAGAAAGAGACAGATTAATACCAAGACTCTCTTTTGGATCCTTCCTTTCCTCTCCCCCCCGGTTTATGACTGAAATGGGAAGGAGAAGAAGTGGGAGAAAATGGTGGCAGCAGTGAAAGATTGGGTGGTGGAGATTCCAGGCTGAGAATCAATGAAATTTATGGGCCATATTGGATAGAACTGAGCTCTAAAGCTTTTCCTAAAGGATAGTTAAGAGATGCTTTTACAAATTTGATTTCTTTTGGAGTGAACTTCATATAAAATAAAGACGGGTTTGGCAGTGTAGTGGAGGTAATGACACCTTTTCAGGCAAGAGGATGTTACCTTCAAGAACCACCTATCTAGGATGTTTTTCACCACAGCAGATGGTCTTTCATGACCACCATACAGTGGTACCTTGGGTTAAGAACTTAATTCGTTCTGGAGGTCTATTCTTAACCTGAAACTGTTCTTAACCTGAGGTACCACTTTAGCTAATGGGGCCTCCCGATGCCACCACACGATTTCTGTTCTCATCCTGAAGCAAAGTTCTTAACCTGAGGTACTATTTCCAGGTTAGTGGAGTCTCTAACCTGAAGCATTTGTAACCTGAAGCGTCTGTAACCTGAGGTACCACTGTATTTCCAAGATGGCAGCTGGCTCCTAGAATGGCTGGCTTTCTAGTGTTCATTTGCTTACGATATTTATATACCATTTTCAACAACTCCTTCTCAAAGAGCTTTATGCATGTCAACAATATTTTCAGAGCAGGTTGCAAACCCTACAGCATCTAATTCCTGAAAAATCTGAAAAGTGATATGGCTGTTTAAGGACTGTCTCTACGTTCCCAAGTCATCCCATCTCATCTCCCCCCCCCCCCCCCGGATTACCAATAGTGTAAACCAAATTCCATTTCTTTCCTTTCCAGGATACACGTATCGCTCGCCAGAGAATCCACAACTATCCTGCTGCAAATGCCTATAACCTCCCACCTACCCTGATTTCCAAGCGAGACTTTAGCCTGGGGTTTTCCAGTATGTTTCAGCAACCAATTGCCAGGAAGATTTCAAAAAGATCCACTCCAGCCCCCAACCAGTATAATGTAAGATGATCTAGAGATTGGAAAAGGGGAGGTCAGCGGTACAGATTAATAAAAAATTTAATGGGTAGGGCTGCAGCTAATGGGGAACAGTCATGGTTCAGTGATGGAAGCCCCCAGGTTTGATCCCTGGCATCGACAGGTAAAGCTGCCAGTCAGTACAGGCAAAACTAAGCTGAATGTACCAATAGTCTAATTTAGAATACCACAGTTTCATATATTCCACTTGGCAAAATAGAAAAAGATATTGAAGAGTATTTCTTGTTTTCCCCTGATGCTTTTCTCCCACTGATCATTCACACGTTTCCTTCAAAATCCGTTCATTTGTTCTGACCAGTGATCTTTCACAAAAAATAATTGCATGGACCCAAGAATATTCAGAAGAACCTTGCTGTGGGATTTGCATCAGTAGCCACAAAATGAAAAATAAAGAGCAGCAGTTGTTTTAAAACAACTTGGACTAGGACCTGGGAGACCAGAGATCTAATCCCCACTTAGCCATGAAGCTCACTAAGTGACCTTGAGCCAGTCACTCTCTTTCAGCTTCACAGTGTTATTGTGAGGATAAAATGAGAGGAGAGGAGAGGGAAGAACTACTGTATTTTCTGGCGTATAAGACTACTTTTTAACCCAGGAAAATCTTCTCAAAAGTCGGGGGTGATCTTATTCGCTGGCTACAGCAGCAGCTCCTGCAGCAACTCCCCACCAAAGGATAAAACGACAGCAAATTAAATCAGAGGACACCAAGCTCTCTAGATGAAGCAGAAATACGCTTGAAAATTGGCCCCAGAAGCCACTGGGAAGTGGAGCGGATTTCCGAGCTGAACTGGAGACGTTTTTTTTTAATTTTTATTTGGTGTGCGTTGGAAGAGGGGTAGTCTTATACGGCGAGTATATCCCAAACTCTATATTTTAACTGGAAAAGTTGGGGGGTCGTCTTATACGCCCAGTCGTCTTATACGCCAGAAAATACGGTATGTACACCACCTTGGTGGAAAGGTGGGATATAAATGTCCTAAATAAAAAGAGAAGCAAATGCTTGGTTGGTCTTTATGTGCCCTGTGAAACTCTTAGGCAACCGTCTGACTAGTAGTACCATTACTTCGTCAGCGTACAGGGAGTTAACACCAAGCACATTTCCTTTTGCCCCCTACTTTGCAGATCACTATTACAGTCTGTCATCCACACCCAAATAAGAACATTAGGTTGTATTTAATACAGTTTAAATAGGACTTCTCCTGAGAAGAACGTTCCTGAGTTAATGGCTAACCCGTGATTTACACTAACCCATGAGATAATACACAGCATTTGGAGAAGCCAAACAGGAAATGATCCATTCACAAGGCAGACAGGCTGAATAATTTATGGCCACAGGGAAGGGAGGCTGATGGGAAGAAAGCAAGGGCCGAAGTTTACTGTCTGCACAGCAGGCTAATTTCACAAATATTTATTCATCTTTTCATTTATTTTAGCAGGTTTATAAACTGCTTCATGGCCAGAGGCTGCTAAAATAGTATACAAGATTAAAATGGGATCAAACACTAAACCCAATTATTTAAAGCAAGAAAATAATTTCTACAAAACTCTAAAAACAATAAAAATAATGTCCGTTGTTGGTGTTGCTGCTGCTGCTATATGCTTGATTCTGTTCCAGAATACTGTAAAACAACTGATTTTACAACTGAGTTGTATTTATAGGAGCCATTTCTATCAGCATGTGCTAAAGAGATAAGTATGTCATCGTGGGTGGGTAATCACTTGCTAGGCTAGGTGGCTTCTGAAATGTACTTTAGAGTAGCATCATTCATGCACCATTCACAAGCCACATTTGACCCATGTGCTGGAATAGTTCAGGCTTTGTGATTGCATCGCAAATGTCCTTGCCTTGAAAGTAGGCAGACTTAAACACCAGTATTTATTTGGGTGTTGGTTTGTTTTTTAACTAAAGTGACTGCTGGAAAGTGAGTTCATTGCAAAACCTTTACTTTCATCCGCAGGTCTCGGTGGACCTCAGCAACAAAAGCCGCAACACTGGTGCCAAGTCAGTGTTTTCATCCAAAACTAAACGAGCACTGGCAATCGGTAGCAAGGAGCATGTGCCTTCTCCCTGTAAGCTGGGCTGGGGGAGCCTCTTTTGACCCAAAGGCCAAATTCAAATACCTCCCAAGGGCCACCATCCTAATAGTGGGCAGGGCAAAATGTGGGAGTGGGCAGGGCCAAATGTGGGCAGGACCCAAGATAAAGTAAGATGCCACCCAGTGCAGTAAATTAAAAGAAAAATTAAAGAAAAACAGTGCCCTTCAGTGAAACAAATTAAAACAATCTACAATACCTTCTGAGTGTCCAGCTTTCTTCTCCTTTTCACCTCACCTCTTGTGAATAAAAGCCTCTCTGGCAATCATGCCTTGCAACATCGCTTCTCAATTTATGATCCTCAACGCTCACAGCCAGTAATTCAGACCTCTCCCCCTTACAATGCATGCAGTCATGGCATCTTGTCCTTTCAAAAGAACTTAAAAAAAATTAGAGCACCAAAAGACAGAGGGCCTTCTCGGTAGTGGCACCCGCCCTGTGGAACACCCTCCCTCCCATCAGACGTCAAGGAAATAAATAACTATCTGACGTTTAGAGGACATCTGAAGGCAGCCCTGATTAGGGAAGTTTTAATGTTTGATGTTTTATAATGTTTTTAATATAATGTTGGGAACCGCCCAGAGTAGCTGGGGAGGCCCAGCCAGATGGGTGGGGTATAAGTAATAAATTATTATTATTATTATTGTTATTATTATTAGAAATCAAATGCTTAGTGATAGGAAGAAGCAAAGTTGTTCCCCATTGCCAGCTTTCCAGGTGTATATGCCCAGATTTTACAAAAAGATATTACATGCTCACCTGTTCACACATCATTTGTGACATATCAGTGACCTTAAAAGGGATGGGTGGGAAGAAACAACTTTCTTCCACTTTGCAAATGTTTTCCTACTAGAAAGCCTGGAGGTAATTTTTACTGTGCAGTCTATTTACAAACCTGAGCTTCAGGAAAGGGCAATCAAAATGATCGAGGGGTTGGAGAAACTCCTTTATTTAGTTTCGTTTTGTAAAATATATACACCACTTGATTTTAAAACAACCCCTCAAAGCGGCTTGCAAAAAGATAACAATAAAATTATCGAGAAAAATTTACAGTAGTTAAGATGCTAAGGTCGAAATTCACACCAACTTTCTAAGCATCTGGGTAGGCTTGTCTAAACAAGAATGTTTTTAGCAGGCACCAAAAACAATACATCGAAGACCCCTGCTTGATAACAATAGGCAGGAAGTTTCAAAGCGTAGCTGCTGCCCAAATGACCGAGTATTTACAAATGAGGAATAGGTATTATGTGGCACCTGTAACAGTGCCAATTCCGCCAATTGAAGCAGCCGAGTGGGCATATGTGGGGTAAGGTGGTCTTTTAGGTAAAACAGTCTCGTATATGGGCCTTATATACCAATAGTAATGCCTTGAACCTGGCTCAGTGGCAAATCAGCACCCAGTGGAGATCTCTGAGCACAGGTTTACCATGCTGACAAGGCCTCAGTCCTGCCAGCAATTGTGCTGCAGCAGTCTGCACTAACTGCAGCTTCCGGATCAAGTGTGAGGGAAGCCCTACATTTAAGGCATTTTAGTTGAGAAAACAAGAGGCGACATGATAGGAGTATATAAAATTATGCATAGCATGAAGAAAGCAGATAGAGAAAAGTCCCCGCCTGCCCACACGGTCATAATACTAGAATTTGTGGATATCTTAATGAAGCTGAATGTTGGAAGATTTGAGAAAGATAAAAGGAAGTGCTTCTTTCACAGTGATAGTTAAACTATGGAACTTGCTTCCAAAGGAGGCAGTGATAGCCACCAACTTTAAAAGAGAATCGGATAATTTCAAGGAGGAGAAGGCTCTCAGTGGCTACTAGCCCCAGCTGGAGGCAGTAATGCTTTCGAATACCAGTTGCTGTAAGCCGTGGGGTGTGCTTATGGACTCAGGTCCTGCTAGCCAGTTTCCTACAGGAATCTGGGTGGTCACTGTGAGAACAGGATGGGCCATAGGCCTGATCCACCAGGCTCTTATGAACTGAAATAGTACTGTGAATAAGACAGGCATGCTCTCCTGCTTCTGAAGGGCAGGATTGGCAGTACAGTGGTACCTCTGGTTACGAACTTAATTAGTTCCAGAGGTCCGTTCTTAACCTGAAACCATTCTTAACCTGAGGTACCACTTTAGCTAATGGGGCCTCCTGCTGCCACTGTGCCGCCACCATGCGATTTCTGTTCTCATCCTGAGGTAAAGTTCTTAACCCGAGGTACTACTTCCGGGTTAGCGGAGTCTGTAACCCGAAATGTTTGTAACCCAAGGTACCACTGTATTTTCTATTCCAAAGGGGAGGGAGGAACTACCGTATTTTTCACTCTATAAGACGCACCAGACCATAAGACGCACCTAGTTTTTGGAGGAGGAAAACAAGAAAAAAATATATTTTGAATCCCAGAAGCCAGAACAGCAAGAGGGATTGCTGCGCAGCGATCCCTCTTGTTGTTCTGGCTTCTGGGATAGCTGCGCAGCCTGCATTCGCTCCATAAGACGCACACACATTTCCCCTTACTTTTTAGGAGGGAAAAAGTGTGTCTTATAGAGCGAAAAATACGGTAATTCCTCCTCTTCTTTCATTCATTTCATTCCTCTCTTGTTCCAAGTAACAGACTCTCATGCACCAATTTCATTCCACTGCAGCTAAAATGTAAGACTCGGCTGTGTACATAACATTCATTTAATGTGCAATTTCCCCCTCCCCAAAAGAATTCTGGGAACTGTAGTTTAGCCCACAGAGCTGCAATTCCCATCTCCTTTAACAAACTATAGTTCCCAGAATTCCTGATTAGGGATGCATTTTTAATGTGGTTTAAATGTATGTTGCGTGTTCAGCCTTAGTTGGGTGTCAGCCTTTTCAAATTCCTTCCTTTCTTTTAAAAATCTAGGTCATTACCGAGTAAAGGATTCCTTCATACGGCAGGCGCCTACAGTGCTGGTGTCCTGCTTCAGATCCAAAACAAGTCGCGAAACCAAGACAGAGACGCTGAGCCCGGGACCAGCAGCCTATCAGCAGCCAGCTGGCATCCCAGTCACGCCATCCAGGAAGTTCCCTGGCCTGTGAGTTCTGAGCAACTGCACTTTAAAAGGAATTTGTTTTGAGTCACCCAACGCCCTTTCTTAAGTAGGGAAGATGTGCTTGTGATCAGAAATGATAAAGAAGGAAAAGAAGAAGAAATACCAATAGACAATTCCAAGCCCCAACTTGCTTAAGAAGCAGGGGCTCTCTTCATCAGACTATATGGTGGAGCAGGGGAAAGTCATTTGGGTTGTTGCATGCCTTAAGAAGCAATGCAGCTTGCAAGCCTTCATAAGTGATTTAGGATGAGGAAGGGCTGTTCCTCAGCGGTAGAGCCCATGCTTTGCATGCAGAAGTTTCAGGGTTCAATCTCTGGCATCTGCAGCTGAGAAATGCCCTTGTCTGAAACCTAGAACCACTGCCAGCCAGTACTAAGCTAAGCGGGCTCATGATCTAACTCAATACAAGGCTAGGTAGCATAGGTAGCATAGCCTTTTCTGTTGTGAATTCATTTGTTTAAGCTGCTTTAGCCCACCTGTTCTCAGGGCAGCCAGCACATCTAAAGGTTCTTCCCTGCTTCTTTTATCCTTACATCAGCCCATTTATGAGCCAGTCGTCACTCATCACCACTGCTTAATTCTCAAATAAGGGAGATGTGTCAATCTGGCTTTTAGTGTTATGACACCATCCCTTTGGAGTTCCCTCCCCTTGAATATTTGAAAGGTGCCGGCTCTGTTGTCCTTTTGGCGCCTACTCAAGACCTTTCTTTTTCAACAAACCTTTGCAAAGCAGAGATCTTCCCCAGTCTGCATGTACATTGGGATTGTTTCTGGGTGTTTGGATTGTTCTATTGTTTGTGTGTGTGTGTGTTTGCCACCTGGACTCCTTAAGGAGAAAGGGCAGAATATAAATTGAATGAATGAATGAATGAATCTAAAGAGGGCTTGCATGATCCAGAGAGACTACAGCCACACATAGCCTGAGTGTCTGGTATTAAACTGAAAGCTGTGATTGGCTGTTGCGCTCAGTGGAGCAGATAAGAAGAGTGTTGCTCTATACCTCATCTCTATGGTAAACGGCAGTTGTTGGAGTTGCACAAGTTCAATTTAATAACTGGAAGAGGTGAAATGGACTGCATTGGGGCTGGGCCCCTTTGGACCGGGCATCACCCAGGAAGCCCTAAACCCAGAGGTGTTGGCCTGATGGTGGCTCTTCCTGGAAGGGCATTCTGCACACTTGCAGAAGCACCTTCTCTATTACTGCTGCAACTGTTTCTGGACCAAAGGAGCAAAAGGATTGTGGAGACAGCTTTTGGAAGCCCTAGCATGAATTTTGCATTCACCAATTAAGTTCAACAATTCATTTGAGCCTTCTGTTTAATAATATGTAGGAAGCCCCCCCCCCCCACTTTCCCCTGCATACACAGTCCTTCCTCCCCCATACCTGCCCCAAGGTCCAGTAACTCTATCAGTCAGTTACTCAACTAAGTCAATTTTATGGTGACCATCCTGTAAACAGCAAAGTCAGTTTGCTGGAGATAAGATTAAGATCTACCCCTTAAATTCTTGCCCATTACTGCTCATATCTTCCCCTTCCCCCATCCCCGTGCAAGCCTGGAGCTCTCTGCACACGGTCAGGGGGTATCTTTACTACATCTCATGCCGTTTTAATGCAGGCTTTGTGGAGGAAGAGGGAGGGGGAGCTGGCGCTGGGTAGTGTGCAATAAACCTCCATGACTAGGGAAGAAGTAAATCAAACCTGACGGGCAAAGAACATCCATCTACGCTGGCAGAAAATACCAGAACTATCAGCATTTAGAGGCCAATCCAACTCCCATTTATGTCAAGGTGATTAATGTGTCCAAGGCCAGAGCTACAGCTGGTGCAGAGCCACTGACTACAGCACCAGTTTGTTCCAGATGAGCACCCTTAGATTTTAATGAGCTTTTTCCAGCATATTCTCAGATGCAGCCCCCAAACCCTTTAAGGTACAGAGGTTCGATGGCACACAGAATATGGAAAGCTGGGGCATCCTTTAGGGAAGGTGACAAGGTGGAACACCACCTCACCACCATGTTTGGGATCACATGCAATTATTTGTCGGGAGCCATTGATCAAAACGAGCCCATTACCCTTCTTCAGGTGTTTAAACTCTTACCTGCGGAGGGATGCAGGGCTACTTGCTCCAGCCTCTCCAGTCCTCCTCCTTTGAGCTGGAACGTCTGCAGAGGGGGCTGTATAATGGAGGACTGTCAGAATATTGATTAGAATGTGCCAACAGTCCTCCCTATGACTGGAAACCCTGAATTGAACGGGGTTTTCTGATTCACAGGAGGACAGCATTCAGCTGAAGACGCTTACAACTCACACCAGGGATGATGGCTGGCCATTGGCACTGCTAGGGTGGGAGGCAAGGAGCCCAACAGTAGGGGGAGCCAGAGCCAATGGCAGACGGAGCCAACTCACCCTCTTCCCTGCTGAGGGCTACAAGGGGCGATAGGGAGACTAGGGGGGAAGCTGACAAACAGTTATAGGTAGGCACATAGGGGGCTGGCTGCGGGCAGAGTGGGGTTGGTGGGACAGTGACCCATTTGCCCTTATGGACCAGCCTCCCCTGTTTCACATGTGTGGGAAGGTTGGGAGTGAAGGGCTCAGTATGAATGGCCACACATTCCTCTGTTGAAACTACTTAAGAAAGCCTGAAGAGGGCTGGAGAGTCTGGCCTAACTCTCCCACTTCCTTCTTCCTTCTTGCTTCAGGCACAGTCAGAAGCGCTTCGCTCTCTGGCCACCTCACAGTGAATGGCTCTTGACGTGAATGGCAAAATGAGCCCATGTACCAGGCAGACATGTCAAGCCCCTTATTCAACAAAAGAAAGGAAATAAGGAACGACTGCTCTGTACTTATAAACAACTCGGCTGCTACAGTTGTAGCAAGTCATAACAAAGGTGGGAAGGATTCCCTGTACGCTGGAGAAACCCAAGGTTCCTCAATTTAGAGGTTCCTCAGTTGAGAGCAAGGGTGGGGCACTGATTCTTATCTCCCCTAACTGCTCCCCGCCCCACCAGCGGGCCAAGTTTGATAGGTGAGTCGAGCCATCCATCTGTCAACCAGATGATGTCACAACAATGCCAGGTGTTCTGCTTTTGTCTATGCACAGCACAGCACTCTACAAATCCTGACAATCAGCTGGTGGTTGGTGCTTGCAAAGTGGGGTGCACAGGACTTTGTAGGTACCGCCAATCAGCTGATCATCAGGGTTTGCAAACCCCTTTTTGGCCCAGATGCATTTTTACCTACCCTGCACCTGATGTCTTATATGAATTTGGGGATGGAGCGGAGTGTGCCTTGGCCAAACTGGCCTTGCAGGCTGAATGGGAAGGCCTAGCTGAATTCAAAGCCAAAATCAGTTTGGACAGCGTCTACGATTCTTTCTTACAGGCGAAAGTATGGCTTGAACTTCTCAGCCCCAGCTGCCCCTCGCCCCAAAACGCCCCCTGCCCCTGGGCCTGGCCAGTATGAAATAGTCGACTATGAGAGCCCTTCCAAGCATTATATCTCCAGTGCTGTCTTCGTCTCAAACACAGGCCGTTGGGCAGGTGATAAATCCCACGAAGACATACCTGGCCCAGGTAAGCATGTTGTTGTTGCAAAAAGGTGTTGTGCTTCTTCATTTAACAATAATTATAACGTATAACTATATTTTGGAAAGTTGTTCTAGTGTCGGTTTGCTGTGCATTTGGACACCTTTTATCGTAACCAAATTTTGCATAATCGTTCTTGAGAACAAGGAGCAGGTTTCTTTCTATTTTTGGATGCCATTTTAAATCAAGATGATGGACTGATTTTAACCACTGATTTCAAAACTGCACTGATTTGGAAGTTCCTTAGAATTCCTGAGCAGCAGCAGGCATGAGGCTGCTGATGCTTTAATAAGACTGCCGTCCTCACCTCACTTGCTCAAAAGAGTAACTATTACTGGGCACCTGGGGTTTCGTACTGAACAAGCATGTTTTTATACTGGTGCTCCACAAGTCCAAGCTTAGCATACAGCAGCCGCATTCAGATGTTACAATGGGCTGGGATAAAACAGCAAACTGTTGTGTGCCACAATCCAGAAACATAAGCTTCTAAGCCCCACCCTTTGTGTTTCCAATATCAAAACTTGGTGGGGTGTTACGTCAAATGCAGGCAGGAAGGGAGATTCCAGGCTGTTGCTATTTTCAGGTGGGATTCAGTCACATACTGGCAAATTCAGGGTGCTCAATTAAAGTTTAATTGTCTCTCTTGCACAACAAAACCCTTTCCTTTATGACAGGAAAATGCACCAGAAAGTCGCTTGGCACAACATTGTCTAACTTCTCAAACAAATCAAAATTAATGCTTGATAAATGGCCGACACTGTGTAACCTTCCCACAAGCTTTGTGCAAAAAAACCCCAGGGTGAATACTAAATAATAATAATAGATATAATCCGGAAGCGACCATTTACTAATGACTTGTTTTGACCTCAGCAATGGACATTTTGCAAAACAGATAGTTGTATCCAGCATACAACAGTGAAAGTAATGGGCGTGTTTTAGTCATAGTTTCAATGGGTCTACTCTGAGAATGGCTAATGTTGGATACAACCCAGAGGCTGACTTCCTTGCGATGCATAGGGAGCTATCACAGGTGGCCAATTTGGGGATGTCCCTTGACCCATGGGGTTGCATGACAGATGGACAGATTAGACCACAGAGGCACAATCCATCAGACTCTTGCCCTTGTCCATTCATTTCAGTGGGGCTTGTTCAGGTTAAGAGCATAAGAAGAGACTGGCTGCTGGATCAGGCCAAAGGCCCATCTAGTCCAGCATCCTGTTCTCGCAGCGCTCAGTCAGATGCCTGTGGGAGGAGCTGAGAGCAACAGCACTCTGTGTGATTCCCAGCAACTGGCCTTCAGAGGCTTACTCCCTCCAACAGTTAGAACAAAGTCATTGTAGCCAAATAGCCACTGACAGCTATGTCCTCCCTCCATCGTCCAAGGCAGATAGTGCTCCAGTGTTCATGTGAGTCTCAGGGGGTGCTGTTTGGATTTTGCACCTCAGCACAAAATGCTTCAGGCATTCCCAAGCAAAGCCTTGGATCCTTTACAGCTTCGCTGCATATGGTGTCATTCAGGGATTGGATCCTTCGTATATTGCAAGGGATTCTGGGAGTGTGTAGATCTTCATCCTTAAAAAAGTGGGGCAGGGGGAGGCAATCTTCCGTTTGGAATGAGGGAAGTTCTTGCTCTGAAAAGCTAAGTGCATTGGCTGGAGTAGGGAACAAGTGAGAAATAAGGGGGTTGGGTAGCCTAAGAAAATGGAAACCACAAGAATCCAACGGTAGTGAACTGGGAGGATTATGCTTGCTGAATGAAAATAATGAAAACAGCCCAGCCTGTTTCAATTAAAATCTTCCTCAGGGGCACTGGGATCTTATGTTCCTTTCCTTCAAAGAGATTTCTTGTGAGAATCTTTGTCTGAAAGAATCTCTCTGTCTCTGCCTCTCCCTCTCTCTTTCTCTCTCAGGAATGAGACTACATTTAAATCACATGGTTCCCCTTCCACTCAAAAGAATTATAGGAACTGTAGTTCCCACACACAGACCTACAATTCCCAGCACCCGTAACAAACTACTATTTCCACAGTTCTTTAGAGGGCAGTCAAGTGCTTTAAATAGATGGTGCGTATGATGCCTGAGACTCTGCTCTTTTGACTCCAGCTTGCAGGAGGTTCAGTCCAGTGCCCCCCCCCTTTATAAGCAAGTAATTGCCATCTGTACGTCACCAGATGTAATAGCCTATGATGGAACAAAAGAACAAAACAAAAACACCAGCTTCCAGGAGTTGCGTAACAAATCATCTTTGGGAAACCATCATTCAGCTCCTTGTCTTGCCACCACAGGGTTTACTTGGTTGTTCTTAAATTAATGGCATCTTTTAAAAATTCTTGTGATGAGATAGAAAGGGCGGACAGTGCGTCAGAAAGGAAAGGAGGATGACAGGTGCTGATTCTTAAGCCCTGTAATGGTTGACTTGCCCAGCTGGGAAGTGACTTTAATAGCTAGCTTTGCATCTTGTCATCTGTCCCAAAACTATATTCATATTTATTTGTTTTAGGGCTTTTTTTAAAAAAAAATTATTTGAGATTTCTAACCCGCCCTGACAACAGAAGTTCAAGGCAGGCGACAGCCTTTTAAGAATAAAATACTAACCAACACCCCCTCAATACACACACACACACACACTTAAGAGTTTGGGAGGCCATAGGTTATTTCCTTCTAACCCCTGGATCCAGCAAGTGTTAAAATACAGGATAACCCAGGCTAACATCCTGTGTTGAGGTGATTGCAACAAATGGCAATAAAAAGTCAACAATAAAACCTAGTACAGTATGTGCTGTAAATTTAATTTGGGAAGGAATGTCTTAATCTTTATTGAGGTCCTGTGTCCCTAAAATATGGGCAGGCTTAGAAAGGTAGGAAGGTAGGTTATATTTTAGAAAAAACATGATTTTCTATTTTCATTTGTGCACTAAAGTTTATCTGTGAAAACAGAAAGCAACAACATTAAATGGAAAGTATTTCCTTCCTTTTTAACAGCTGGCTTCTCCACTTACCCTTTTTCTGTTTTGCTTTGTGTGTGAGCATCATGTTAGCAGTGTAGTGTGGTAATTAGGGTGTCAGACTAGCCATGAAGCTCAGTGGGTGACTTTGGGCTAGTCAGCCTAACCTACCTCACATAGTTGCTGTGGTGGTGTGGGAGGAAGAGAACGATGTGTGAGGAAAATGAAATATGTGAACCCCTGTGAACTGACGTGTGTGTGTGAACAACAAAAAGAAATGGCTGGGTGCCTGGATTCAAAATGTGTGGCTTTTACACACAGAGCCCCAGTAGCAGAGTACTAAGATCACAAAATTAACCACCAATATAGCATATAGGTTGTTAAACCCTCTTTACCCTGTTCAGCTGCACACTGTCGCTGACCTCTTTCTACCCCTCCTACAAGCAGTAGACCCCACACTGCTAAGTAAGTTTAAAATGATTTACTTGCAGATTCAAGGTGTCAGTCATGCATTGTTCCATGCAGCAGCAAGGATAATAAAGGCAACATATTTTTGGGTGGAAAATACAGAATTTAATTCCAAATACATGCTGTAAGCTCAGGAGCAAGCTAACACACATCCTGTTTCATTGGTTATATGATGCTGAGAGAAAGGAAGTAGAAAGGCTAGACATAACTGAGTCTATCTAGCAATGCAATTCTGCTGTCCTTAACTCCTTCATATACTAACTAGCAGTCCTGCATAGATATGTTTGACTGCAATCTCCCACAAGAGCCATATATGCTGTACTGAGCTCCTTGCAGGAAATGTAGGATATAAGTGTAAAATCAAAATTAAATACCTTTCAGAGGGATTGTTGTGCTTTATTAAAGTGTTGTTTGGACGAACAGCTGTAAATCAGCTTTCTGCTTTACATTGTTAGCAGGTGCTAGTGTGAAGAGTCTCTTAAAAGCCAACCTCGTCTTTTCCATTAAAAAACCTCCAGAGAATTCTGAATGTGTGAGCAGACCATCTCATGGGGCAAAATGCTCAACACAATAGAGGGTGACAGAAACCTCACTGCAGTCCATGACAGTTACAGCCCATGAGTTGTAACATTATCTTTCCGTCAGTGACTGGGGCTTATTGGAGTAAGTAAGCAATACAAGAAATATGAACCTAAGCCCCTCTGACAGATTAATGTAGAGCTTGAAACGTAGACAATAGCAATTTTACCCATTATTTACAGTAAGTAATAATGATTCATTGGTAGGATTTGTACCTCTACTGAGTAGTTGAATTGTCAAAGCAGAAAAAGCATTCCCATGCGTTATCAGAACTGCAGCCCATGACTTCTTTCATAGGTAACAAGATGCAAAGGATAAAACTCCCGTTCTTCCAATCTGGGTTGCTTCCACGCTAGCCCTTTGCTCTGGAATCACCATCTTTTGTTGAATCACTTTGTGCAGAGAATCCAGACAACATTGTAAAATAGTTGCATGCCATTGTTTTCTGTGCTGACCCCCTGTTTTTTTCCATACTTGACTTGTACAGGTATATAGCAATTTAAAAATTGCAGCACCATACCAACCTGTGTAGGGGACGTGGGTGGCGCTGTGGGTAAAACCTCAGCGCCTAGGACTTGCCGATCGCATGGTCGGCGGTTTGAATCCCCGCGGCGGGGTGTGCTCCCGTCGTTCGGTCCCAGCGCATGCCAACCTAGCAGTTCGAAAGCACCCCCGGGTGCAAGTAGATAAATAGGGACCGCTTACCAGCGGGAAGGTAAACGGCATTCCGTGTGCTGCGCTGGCTCGCCGTCACGCTGGCCACGTGACTCGGAAGTGTCTGCGGACAGCGCTGGCAACCAGCCTATAGAGTGAGATGAGCGCACAACCCTAGAGTCTGGCAAGACTGGCCCGTACGGGCAGGGGTACCTTTACCTTTACCAACCTGTGTGAACTGGCAAAGTGCTATTGAGCTTTTAAGGTCTACTGTGCTTTTAATTAAAAGCTTCCTCCTAGTGGTTTCTATTTTGTTTTGTTCATTGTTACTGGGAGATCGGTGATTAATTTCCCCTTTAATTAGCCAGCATCTTTCTGCAGTGCAAAGGGTTTTTAATAGCTATTTCCTTTCATTATTTCCCTACTTTTCTTTCTTTTATTGTGAAATATTGCCATTTCACTATAAAAAACAATTCAGAGAAACCAGTAATTAAAGCCACTTCCCCATGTAATTAGAACCTAATTAACCACTACTCTCCCAGTCACACTGAACAGGAAGCAGTAAAATAGGCAGAAAAGAAGAAACTTTAAATTAACATTCCATTTAATCAGACTTATGCCCTCTAGCCCAGTACTGTCTACTCTGGCTGGCAGCTGTGCTCCAAGGCAAAAAGTCAGAGTTATACATTCTGAAGCATACCTAGGCTCCCAGCCCATTACTCGCCTCGCCATTAGGGTGGCTACTTTCACTTAGCCCAAAAGAGAAGAGGACAATTTATTTATTTATTTATTTATTGCCCGCCATTCCCCTCAGAACTGTCTCAGATTACTGTTTTTGCACCTTGGCAGCCATGGAAAATGCTGGATCAGTGTTTTTCCACACTTCAGCCAATAGGAGGAGTTGTGATCTGCAATTTGATTCTGGTTTGGTGGTGAGAATATCAATGAAAAATTATGCCATTTCAAGAGGATCTGTTTTACTTCTCCCTCCCAGTCACTCATTTTCTCTCTCCCTTTTATCTTCTACTCACTCAGTCACCCCACTTTCTATTCAGCCGCTCAGGTGCCAATGTTGAAAATCACATAGAGCTGAAAGGGGGAAGGAGGAGTCACTCTTCCAAGTTCCTCCTTCAGGTCTATGTACTTTTCAAGGGGGAGAATGGTAACCACCCTGGTCCCTTCCTGACAAAAGGGGCAGTGAGCTGGGGCGGGGGGGCAGGGACAGAGACAGGGTTGTGCGTATCCTCAAGTACAGTGGTACCTCGGAAGTCGAACAGAATCCGTTCTGGAAGTCCATTCCACTTCCAAAACATTTGGAAGCCGCGGAAGCTGCGTTTGAGTTCCAAAGAACATTCGCAAGCCAGAACACTCACTTCTGGGTTTGCAGTGATTGGGAGTCAAAATGTTCGACTGTATACCATTGTACCCACACAATGCACTATGGGCATATCCCTGATATAGAGATGAACAAGCTGGGAAAGATTCATCTGCTAAATGTCTGTGAGCCAGGCTGCTATTAAAAGGATAGGAGTCAGGTTAGTTAGCAAAGCAGACAATTCCAATCCTCATTTGCGCTTGCACTGGGGGCTGCTAGCTCTGACGGGGCTCCTTTGCTTTGAACGGCATAGAACGGCATTCAGCAGACAAAGCTCATCCTGACATGCACAGGCATCTGGTCAATAGCACAGGAGCCCCACCGGGGGAGGGGGAGTTGGCAACCCAACACCTAGCTATATTTCTTCTTCTGCGTTGCCTGTTGAAGAAGGCCCAGGAGCCTTGGCCTCCCTGGCATCTGCACAACCTAGCAAAATATCTGTTTGGATTTTCAAGGAAAGGTAGGAACAAGACTCACCTAGCCAGGTATGTGTGGTAGTACAGTGGTACCTCGGGTTAAGTACTTAATTCGTTCCGGAGGTCCGTTCTTAACCTGAAACTGTTCTTAACCTGAAGCACCACTTTAGCTAATGGGGCCTTCTGCTGCCGCTGCGCCGCCGCTGCACAATTTCTATTCTTATCCTGAAGCAAAGTTCTTAACCTGAAGCACTATTTCTGGGTTAGCGGAGTCTGTAACCTGAAGCATATGTAACCTGAAGCGTATGTAACCTGAGGTACCACTGTACAAGAGTGCACTTCATGCAAAAACGTAAAAGCTGCAAAACCCACCTATTGAGTCCTGAGAGTCAACCTGCCATCTTTTATGTCTGTTTCTCCTTCTAGGGGCATACAACATCCCCGTACCGCAAAAGCAATCCTTCATCTACAACACCACCAATAAATGGGTGCCGGTATTGTAAAGCAGAGGATCCCACGGTGTCGGTTTGGCAAGCGCTCTTATTTGCAAGTGCTGCATTTCTCTGTGTTTTTTTTTTTTTAAAAAAAGAACGAATGAATTTTGCATTCACTTGCCTGTGAACAAGACATGATACCCACCTGCTTGAAATCCTGTATTTCCTGGGGCGGGCGGGTGGAGTGGGCCCTGAGTCTCTCCTGTTTCGCACACATGACAGAAGATGAGTTTTGGATATAGAGAATGGATGTCGTTTCATTGTTGGCTTTTGGTGGACAGTGGATTGTTCATGCCAATATTTATTTATAAAAATTAAGAAGCCTGACCTGCCTGGCTCCTACTTTCTCACCATCTCATTGGGATTAAAATATTGGAGATGGGGACTGTTGAGAGGAGGTGATAGAGGGTTTTTATTTAAAATGATATACATGGTGCCGTGAAGGTGAACAGAGAAGTAACAGAGCTTGGGCTCACCTAGTGAGATTTATTAGGACAGAGGAAAGAAACTGCTTCTTAGTGCTTCAGAAATGGAATTCACTAGCACATAATGGCTGTGAGCTTTACTGGCTTTAGAGAGAGATTAGACAAATCCAAGGAGGAGGAATGTGCTGAACGGGGACACCCTGTAGCAGTGCCAACCTTGTAGGGTTGTTCACTAGCAACGGGTAATTTGCCCCACCTCTCTTTTTCTCTCTTCTTGTCACTACCCATTGACTTGCCACTGCCAATGGCCGTCTGCTGACTTCCAAGTCTCCTGCCTGGCGGTCACTTCCTCCTACTCTCCCAGTCTCTTTAAACCAGCAGCATAGCCCCAAATGATCTAAACAACACAGGTACCCTTCCCACACCCATTACTCTGCAGCAGTCACACACACTGCTGCCTCTTGGTAGAAGCCATCCAATGTGCTCTGAGCTCTGCGCTGATCCTGCACTGGGGACAGCGCAGTTTGTGTCCTCAGTCCTTCTCAGCTCGTGAGCAGCTTTCCCATACATTTGACTCCATTCTGTTTGAAGGAAATGTGGGTAAAGTTTACCATGAATGTCCAGTTGATCACGTGTTGCCGGGGCAGCGACTGAGAAACAGCTCTAAGGTCAGGCCAAACCAGCTGTCCCTGCCTGCTGCTGATTCCACTAGAATCACAAGCTCTTTGACATAACCTTGGGCACCCGTAAGACTCACTGTCACACCTGACATTTCAGGAGTTTATGCTTCATTTTCCAGGAAAGTGTCAATGGGTTCTGGGTGAGGAGTGAAGAATGTAGGCCCATGCTTCGGAATATGCGCCAGACACACATGATCTGCCTGAAAGCAATTTGCCACTCTCCCAAACTTTCCCTCAAGCCCACTCTCAGCCCCGCCACTAAGCTGAGTGAACTGAGCCAGGGGAGTTAGGCTGTCCTCTCTCTCCATTGACCTCTGATGGGTGACACTCCCTAGAACCAAGTGTGGGGTTTAGGGTCATTTGACAACATGGGTTGAATAGATCTGTGCCCTGCTTGAGACGTGGTGAAAGGGTTGTGTGACTTAATCCCTCGGTTCGAACCCTTGATTGGCCAACATCCTGGTGATATAGCAGAACTCAAAGACAAATAAGCATCTTTACTCCTCCAGCAAAACCTCTATGGGCCACAGGAATCCAGCGCCATTTTTCCTTTTGCATAGTGAAGGATGGGCCTAAGGTTGCCACCGCCACAACAACAAATAATGTTTCCTGCTCTCTCATTCCCCTTACCCACCCAATGGTGGACTGGATTTTCCAGTTGACAAGTAATTCCCAAGAAACAAAAGATTGCCATGAGTGGGTGACCTACACCACCTACTTTTAAATAAATAATTAGATAGGACAACACAGATCTACAATCAGATGTCATGCCTCTAAATTTTAGCAAATAGCTGCAGTACGGCCCTGATTTGGATCAGATAGCAGCACTGCGAGGAGGAGTTGTGTGTGTGTCTGACTTGTTTATTTAGTGCATGATGCTTGTTCTGGGTGTTAGAGGTCGATTTCCAGATGGGGTCTTGCAATGGGAGGGAAAGTAGCCACACCCTTAGAAACATTTGGGCATGAACATGTCATGCATGCAAAATGGCCCCATATTAATCCCTGACATCTCCAGGTATGGCAGAGAAGGATTCCCTCTTTGAAATTCTGAAGAGCTGCTGCCAAGCTATTTAGACAATAGAGAGCTAGATGGATCAATGGTACAAAATCAGTGGAAGGCTGCTTTTTATGCTTACAACCATTTCCCTCAATATTCTAAAAATCACAATACTATGTTGTTCCCGCTCAAGGGAAACATATGTGCACACATGCACCCACTTGTCTTTGTATGCTTGAGTATATTTCCCATCAAAAGTTCGTTTGCCTTTCCCGCCATTGTTATCTCTCTTTTGCAGCTTAGGCATACCCACCCACACCCCACTGTCATCCTTTCCTGAGTGATTCCAACCAATCCTGGCCGACATAATAAATGCAGTGACATAATACACAGCAGCCAGTCAGATTTGGCTGCAGGACTGTGTCCCAAAGCCAATTCAATTCAATGAACAAGGTATCTGGTTAAAGCCCTTCATCAACCCAATGGGACAATGATTTACAGGGGTCAACCATGTTCACAAAATACCCCAATATCAGCTAAGCCCCTGTCACTTGTGACGCTGGGTGCATACGAGGGGGCTTTAAGGCCCAACCCATTTGTAATTAATCCATTTCCCCTTGATGATGATAATAATAATAATGTTTTTATTAATTCCCCAGCCACTCTGGTGACCTACTGGCCCAAATGAATCTACCACCTTTACCAGCCTTCTCCCTTGAGAAGCTCTCCTCCTATCACCTCCAGCTTGGTGCAACTTCTGTTTCTGCAAAGGACAGAAGCTGCTTCCTAAGAGAGGCCTGGCTTAGGCACATTGTCAGTCTATGGAATGTTATCAAAGCTGCATTTTTGCTGGAAGCAAGACTCAGCAGCCAAGGTCTCCTTGTTGCCCCACTTCCAAAATGCCCCTGAAGAAATGAAAAACCCATCCCTATTCACTACTTAGGCTGTCCCAAGCTTGCTTTCAGTCTTTGAATCTTTATTACCATAATAACAACATACACTTTTTTTTTACTTTTTTTTACAAAAATGAACAGAAAAAAACAAAACAAACAAAGACAACAACCCTGGGGAATTATGAAGCAGCCTGGTTTTGAAATGCTCTACCTTCCTCCATTGTCAAGTTCAGTATAAAACAAGATACTATTTATACATATACACACAGAAAGAGAGATAGATATTATTATTATAATTATTATATATATATTTATAAAATAACAAATGGAATCAGAAATGTATAAAACGGTCACTCTGGCCAGGTACTTCTCTTGCAGGTATTTACATCCAGGGTTATAAGGGCAAGTAGTAAGGCAGTGAGAAAATGTAAGGTTATGTGTGTGCTTGTGTGTAGGCATATTTGGTAATATCCAAATGCAATTGTGACAGTCTCTTGTTTGCTAGTTTGGCAGTTCAGAGAGGCCAAGACAGGCACCGGGTCGTTCCCCTGCCTGAAAGAAGTTGGTGCTTCCCTAAGTGCGGAAAAGTAACAAAGCTCAGTATTGATTGCCTGGCAGAGGATCATAATAAAAATAAAGTATAAAACAACAACAGCAACTCCTCAACGGACAGAAGTTCCACATTCACACTGAGAATGGATCTTCAAAGCAATCTTCACATGTGGAGCCTAGGTTCTGTCTCTCTCTTGCTCCCTCCCTCCAAAAGGGATGGTGTTCAAGTTAAATGCTTTGAGCCGATGGTTTTGACTATGGGGTGGTTTGCTGGTGGATCGAACACAGCTTCACAAGCGGCCTCCCAGCAGAAGTGTAGCCTTTTTGAGTCCTTAGAGCTCCTTGAGGGTCACCTGGAACTTGTCCTCTGCTTCAACTACGTCAAGTAAAAAGGCCATGTGGTTGCTGTAGTGTTGAATTATGTTGTTGTCCATATTCACCAGGATTCTGGAAAAGAAGCAGAACAGAGAGGCTCAGCTCAACAACCAATCCTTCAACAACTCCCCATCGGAAGTCCCTCAAAGATGGGAAAATCTTGCAATTTTGTGAGGTGGAGAATTGCACTATAAGATCAAAACAATGTTCTTTGCCGGAGAGCCATAGTACTTCTCTCTTAGGGGGCTGACTGCCATTTTGAAAGGAGAAATGAATTCCCACCCCACCCTCTAGGGCAAGCTTAACTAAGCATCTGTTGAGGGCAGGGGGTGAAGAGGATGGCCTCTCCAATGGCATATGTACACTTGCTTGTATCCTATCAAATGACAAATGCTCTTTAACTACAATATGGATAGTGGAGTGACTTGCTTCCACTTTCTGCTCTGTTCTGGTTGGAGAGGCCAGTAATCACATCCACACTGCACATTTAAAGCATAGTTCTATGCCCAAAGAATCCTGAGAACTGTAGTCTTTTGAGGGTGCCAGGGATTGCAGCTGTGTGACAGGTAAACTACAGTTCCTAGGATTCTTGGGGTGTGTGTGTGACTATATAAAGTTCTTGTTGAGCTTTCTCATTGGTAGGTCCATGACAAGCACAGTACATCAAATCACTTGATCATATAATAATAAAGCACAAAATAAAAGCTAGTTGTACAATGTTTTCTAAGTACACAAGTGTCTTGTTTAAGACCAATGATAATTTCATGAATGAAAGTTTGATTTATGGACTTTGAGGCTTAAAACCCATTTACTGCCTAACCAGCATTATAAAGGAGATCTGATAATTAATCTCTTGGCTTTATTTTTTATTGAAATGGGAAGAGACCGTGGTGGGCTTTGAATCTGATTGTAGCTAGCACCAGTGCTTAGAGGTGGAGTTTTTAACCTTTCCCCTTGTGCTATTTTTCTCCAATTAAACCCATACCCATCCCAGCTACTCTGTGCAGTGCTGGTGGTGAGAGTACAGTCCCCCTGCACATATAGTATGGGAGGGGAGAGGGCTATGCACTTATGCGCACAGCCCCAGGACCTTTGCTCCAATCAAATTGGCAGCCCTGTGCAACTCTATTTGAGTAAACATAAATCTGGGAAATTGATCACAGATCTCCCATGTATCATGTGGTTTAACTCTTACCTACCAGGAACAAGTCATTGTAATCATAGAGCATACACACCCTTCAAGCTACAATTCAAGGAATGTCAGCCAGCCTCAGATACAAGGGGGAAAATCCCAGGCCCATAAAGTCGGAACTGGATAGATTATTGTCATATTTTACATTTCTCAACTGCAACCAGTTCTCTCTCTCTCCTTGTAGTGCACAGAGAGAGGCATTTTATATGGACAAGTAACTGTGGAAGAATTAGAGGGTTTTCTCATGTTGTACCTGGTGGTTTTGGAGTTTTTGTTTTTTTAGAAAAAACAAAAAACAAACCCCGGAGACTCTCTTCATTCAACATTAAAAGCTTAGATATAACGACCCCTAATAAATTTCACCGCTCTTGCTCTTTCCAAAGCACAAAATTGCTCCCCTGAGGAAAGATGTCTGGGTTATGTGCTACAAAAGAGGGAGCTTCCAGGTGGAATGGTCTGAGAGTCAGGTGTGCTCTGTGCTCATGCCTGGCTCCCATAAGCCACCTGGTGTCTGTGCGCCTTGTCTGGCACAGCAAAGAGTAGCATCTAGCCAGCCACACCAAAGCATCACACTGGAGAGCACTTTAAGATACTTCCTGAACTGGTGTTCACCCCAGACTTGAACAGCTTACTACCCATTAGGTCTGATGCAGTTTGCCAGGCCCAGTGGAGGCTGATCTATTAGGGTTGATGTGCTACTGCCCCACCAAGCTCAGCATGCCCTTGGCCAGCCCTCACCAGTCTACCTCCTTAGGTATAACCAGTCCCTGGGGTTGCATTGGTTGCTGGCTTCTTCCTCCTATAAAGGCTACACTGACTGCAAGAACTCAACACAGAAGGGCAGGGGAGACAAGAATTAGTCAGCATCACCTGCCATTGGCTCTGGCTTCACTTACTGTTTGGGTCCACTATCTTCTACCCTACTGGTCTCAAGGGGCTCCACCCACCACTGGCCTGCCAGCCACATATAGCAGCCCAGCAGGCAGCCCCAACCTGTTTTGGAATAATCATAAGAAGGGTCTGCTGGATCATGCTAAAGGCCCACGTAGCCCAGCTTTCTGTTCTCACAGTGACCAGCCCATGGGAAGTCTTAACATGCAGAACCTGAGCACAACAGCATTCTTCTCACCTGCAACTGCCACAACTTGTATTTTGGGGTATTTTGCCTCTTGACAGTGGAGGCAGAACATATAGCCTTGTCCTCCATAATTTGCCTAACCATCTTTTAAAGCCATCCAAGTTAGCGGCCATCACTACCTCTTCAGGGAGAAAATCCCATAGTTTAATTCTGTGCTGTGTGAAGAAGTCCTATCCTGGGTCCATCTGGAACCCTCCAACATCCAGCTGCCTTCAGGAATACATTTTAAGTAGTCTCAACTGAGTAAATGAGCCACTTCTTTTCCCTTTACAGGTGCCTTACCAGTTTTCTTGTTTTTTCAAACAACTGGCAGGCCACAATTGTGGCCGATTAGTCATGCTTGGTGAGTTATGTACGTTGGCCTTATTCTCTCTCTAGCCTGATGCTCTCATCACCACCCACAACCTACCGAGGGCCTCCTTTCCCTTCTCCAAAGCCCTGCTCAGCTGTGGGCTGCATCAGGCACACCCTCCAGTGCTCGGCAACTCTGCCGCTTTGCCTCTCTTTTCAGCCCAAGCCCTGGACTGGGTCCAACGAAAGCAATGAGCTCATCTGCCAAGCATTGATTGGGAGGTGCGGGGGAGAACCTGGGATACTCGATTGTATCTCACTCACAAGGAGGCCTTCAAGGAAACAGAGGAGAGAAAGTCTGGCAATGGAGGAGATGTTCCTCACCTGTCAGGCAAGGGGAGAAGGGCTGCGGTTTGCGGAGGACCTGGGGCGGTTCAGAGACACAGCTGCTTCTTTCAGAAGCCGCTCTGGAAAACCTCAGCTAGCTCATTCCCATGGAATTAAAACCTGCCCCTCCAAAACTGGAGGGCCTCTTTGCCTGTTCTGCAGATGAAGCCAACCCACGTCAGTCAGATAACCCTCCTTTGACAGGATGAAAGGCTTCCCTCAGCCAGCTCATACAGGTGCTTTTTTTTAAGGGGCTACAGTAGGGGCTACAGTAGCTTCCCTTCTAGCGCCACCATCAATCTAGGTCCAAGCTTGATGCAGTGCGGCAACAACTGTGGGAACAAGGGCAGCAAACTTCCACTGGTTGGGAGCCAATCTGAAGCAAGAGACAGGCTGTTGGAGGCCCAAGTTCTAACCCCTGCTCAGCCATGAAACTCTTCGAATGACTTTGGGCCAGCTGTGCTTGCCTAACCTACCTCACAGGCTTGCTGGGAGGATAAGGTGGGGTGACTGACACACCCACACACCAGCTCACCATCCAAAATGCCAATGTGATCAATGACAGTGATTATAATAAACTGAAGCTTAACTGGGAAGGAACGATACAATATTAATAAGTGGCCTTTCTAACATAGTGCTAAGTTTTGGTTTGGTTTAGCCAAGGTTTGTTCAACAAACCGCGAGCCATCTCACAGGTGAGCAAACAAGCCATGGCTCATTTCGACAAAGCTTGAGTTGCTTTCCTGCTTCATGCCTCTGTAGCTTGGTAAAGGGGCGGCCAAACACACCATGGTTAAACAAGGCTGCTGGCTTCAGACAGAATACCAAACCATAGTTAAAACAAGCCATGTGTCATCAACGAACTATGGCTTCACATCATGGTTTGTTGCCAGGAAATAAACCATGGTTAGTCTGCTGAGCTAGTTTCCAGATGCCGAAACACACCAAACTTTGCCTAAACTAACAATGGCTTAGCATTATCTGTGAGCCAGGCCAATGTGCTTTGCATGTGTGCTGTGTATGCAACCTGAGTCTCTTGTCATCAGTAGCTTCCCAGGTTCTGGCCACTTGGACCAAGGACTTGCCAACTCATTCCGAGCTATCATGCCATATTAGCTCTTCCTTGATTGGGATTATTAGAGCGAGGGAGGAGTCATTTCATGAAGACATGATGGTGGGGGCAGCAGATTTTTCAAGGGCAAGTTGGAAGTACTGAATCTTCCTGCTGTCACAAAGCTGCAGTTAGTTGTCCAGGGATCTCATGCAAGAGTGCTGGTCTTTTTCCATTTCAGTTTGCTGCTGACCAGGTCAGGGTTTGGTGGTTTCATTTATAAACTTGTGACTTTGCATTCAGTTAATTGCACAGCAATTTGGATAATGAGCTTGTTTGTAAGTGAAAGACCTTTAACACCAGTCTCTGTTGTGTTTGCTGAGCTTGCTCATTTCTATTCAGAGCACAGAATTGCTAAGAGGTAAACTCAAACCTCTCTTTGGGCTCTACGCTTGGAACTTCACCTAATTCCAACAAACATGTGATTTCACAAACACATGTTTGCCCATTAACTGATGTGGAGGGACCAGCCAAGAAAGGATAATCAGCAGGTGAGGAAAGACTGTTCTGTCTTCAAGAATCCAAAGTAAGGCTACTTGCACGCATTAGTATTAGGAGGCAAACATAAAGCTAGGAACTCTGTTATTTCCTCATGAAGTATAGGACTCATCCAAGACAACCCAAACAGGGAGAAATGATGCATGGTATAGTCCTTATTAGATTGTATCATTTCAGATGGTACAATGTTCCAGGTTCAATCCCTGGCATCTCCACCCAGAAGGGTATCAGACCACAGGGCCAATAAAACCTCTGCATGAGATTTGGGAGAGTTGATGTCACCCAGAGGGTGCTTTCAGACGGTCACTATTTTCAGGATTAAATTAATTGGAATTTCTTGTATAACCAAACCATTTCCTGAAAATGCACAGGAAAGTGTGGGATTACACTTGCTGGATGCAACATCGTCTAATCAGGATGAATGTTCACTACATGTTCACTTTTATTTATTAATTTTATACCCTGTCCTTCCTTCCAAAGGTGCCCAGTCCAGCAATCCCACAAGCATTATAACAATTAAAACATTTACATCAAGTAACATCCTCTCCCCAAAGAATCATTGGAGCTATGGTTTGTTACAGGTATGAGGAACTGTAGTTCTTTAAAGAGTGAACCGCAGTTCCCAGGATTTGTGTGTATGTGTGTATGTGCTTGAAATGTATGGTGTGTACATACCATCATCAACACAGCACTGTGAATGGTCTCGGTAATAATTTTATATACAAGTAAATTTTAAAACAGTGATCACTCTGAATTTCTTACATTTCCCCCCCTGACTACTTCACAACTAACTTTCTCTCTCTCTCTCTCTCTCTCTCTCTCTCTCTCTCTGTGTGTGTGTGTGTATATGTAGCTATGTACTCCATGCATCTGATGAAGTGGACTCCAGTATACAAAGATTTACACATATTGCCCATCAAAGTTTATACAATAATAAAAAAACATTAGACTTTAAGACTGTGTTGTTTTTGCTGCAACCAAGGACCATAGAATCTACTTCTCTGGAAACCAGGGTCTGGTGCCACGAGGAAACTTTAAGTGCAGCACCATGCAAAAATAACAAAGCTATTTTCCCTACAAAACCCCAAGGGGCAACAGCAACAGAACTCTCCTGTCCCTACCATGGGCTAGAAAGAGCTGCAGTTTTCCAGACACAACAAGATTAGGAGAAAGGGGAAGGAAGGGTCAGCCGCCCCATGACAAACATGCTAAACTTGCTCCTTGTCTTACAACATGGGCAGGTGGGCAAGAGCAAAAAAAGATTAGCAACAGTCTAGCCCCCCCCCCATCTATTTCTTTTGTCTTCTCCCAGACTCAAATGGCAAGGTGGAATGCAAAAGATCCTTAAGCCCAGCAGGGAAGCTGCTCTATTGTTCAGCCTGGGGGGAAGAGTTAGGTAGAGATTGCTAGGCCCCAAACAGAAATCGGTTACCTAAGGCTGCATAGACAGCTATAACTTTAAGGCACATTCAAAGCGTATTCCTCCACCCCATCATATAAGTTATCAACACTGTTGGCTTCATTAACTATGAACCCCAAAAAAATCAGGGATCCCCTCCAAACCATCTGTAAGGTTGTGTAATCTTTTTGTAGGGTGAAGCCTGCATTTTGTAGCTCTCTCTCTGCCCCGCCCACAAACAGAGTAAATTAATACATCAAAACCAGGGTTCATAGTTAACATCCAGAAATCCAACATTGTTCGATTAAGCCAACATTGTTGTTTGTTAAGGCTTGCTGGGAATGGTAACTTTGTGAGGGGTAAACTACAGTGCCCAAAATCCTCCAATGGGGCTTGAGGCAGAAAGCTGGGGCGCAAGGCAAGACAGTCCTCACATCTCCCCCAAGGTCACATTGATTAAGCTAATTGTTCCATCTCTGCTGGTAGCTACAAGTTGAGGTGGAGTGGGGTATCCGGCACCCGCAAATTAAGAGGCAAGAGGTGCTCAAATTATACGCAAACTCATTGTGGAGGCATTGATCCTAGTGATGAGTGTAACAACGTATAGGCCAGCTGTTTGGCAGAGCTATAGCTATGTGGGGGCTAGCCAGGTTTTTTGCCCCGGGTGAAGCCTCTAGAGGAGAGCCACTGGGGCTGCCAGCCTGTGTGTGTGTGTGTGTATGCAAATGCGTATTGGGAGGGGGGCGCCAAACTGGATCTTCGACCTAGGTGAAGATTAGCCTCATTTTGCCCCCATATTTGGCTAATGGTTTTCTGTTTTAGCCAAAAAGTCACAGTATTAGATCTTACAAAGTTTAATGTCCCTGACTGCAGGCAAGTCCATTGAATTTGAGCTTCAGGTGCTCTGGCTTGGGTGATAGCATCTAAAACAACTAAGTGCTGTATCTGTACCAAAATTAGTCCCCCTGGTGGGCTCACACACAGACACACACTTTCCATCCAAGACTGCATTGTTCCAGTGTCATCTGCCACTAGGAGTCAGAGGGTTACTCTGACCCTGCTAGCTTTGAGAAACAAACACTGGTGCCCTGGTGATTGAGATAAGCTAAACCTGTTGAGACCTCAGGCAACTACCTTGGGAGATAACAAAATACCCAACAAATTAGCCAGGTTATTCCACTTGTGTACATATACACACACTTCTTGGTAATTCCTTTTCCATAGGATAATCTGGCCTTACTACTGAGAAGCCAACAGAATTGCTAGGCCTTGTACGCCCCACAGACATGGGTAGACCTTCTGCATCTGGCTTTTTCCAAGGGCTCCCAAGAATCAGGAACCTGTTTCAGCCTGAGGGCTGCATTCCTTTGTTGGCCAACCATGGGCAGAACAAAAAGTGGGTAGGGCAAGAGTCAAAGTGGGTGGGGCAGCAGATGTCACTCTTACCTCTGACCCTAGGCTACATACCAGCTATGCAAAAGCCAGTAGTTTCTACCCACCACCACCCAATTCTCCATTCAGTCAAGCAAGAGGCATTATATCCCGGTTCCATGATACTTCTCAGCCAGGCAAAAGCACTCTAGGAAGGTGTTGGGCAGGGCTTCTGAGGGCTTGGCCTGGGGAAGAGTACTGAGGGCCAGAGCGGGGCCTGAGTGGCAACATGGTGGGAATGTGGAAGAGGACCTTTTTTGGTGGCCATTCCCATACTTTGAAACTCTCTTCCCAGAGAAGCTAGACTGGCTCTTCCCTTATTGTTCTTCCACTGCTATTCCTGCAGGGCTCTGGGAAGCAGTCGCTTTCAAGGAAAGGGCTTTCATTCATGCTGTGTTGTGTTGTTTTTACTCGCTTTGTTTACTAGATTTTATAGATTTGTTTTACATTGTTTTAATTCTATTATAGTGAATTACATTGAAACTATCATCTTTTATATGTTTTTAGCTTTCTGTGTTTTATCCGTGTTTGTTTTAGTTTTTATAAGCCACATTGAGTCCCAGTTTTTGGGGAAAGACAGGATAATAATAATAATAATAATAATAATAATAATAATAATAATGTATCCCCAACCTTCCTTTAGGCAATCTGATCTGGGCCAAAATTACTTCCCTCCCTAAATGATGACTCTCCTCACAAAAGTGACCCAAAGTGACTTTCATCAAAATCAATTAAAACAAATGCAGAAATCATAGAATTGTAGAGTTGGAAGTGACCCCAAGGATCATCCAGCCCAACCCATTGCAATGCAGGAATCACAATGGAAACATTCCGGACAGGTGGCTATAACCAATGAAATTCAAAGAACACAACTATACAGATAAAAGAAGGGTCTTGCACATCCACCCCCAACTAAAAAACGGCCAGTGATGATCTATCAGGTTTTGGTCATGGACAAAAGCACCACCTGCCACCATGCTCAAAACAGCCCTGACCTTTATTGGATAATATTTCTCTAGGGACAAAAGCCTGCTATACTATAGCTACAGCTATAGTCATCATGATGGCTCTTTGATACCTAGAGGATGAATGCTAGTTACCATGGAACAGCAGCAGGAGACAGCAGTTACCTGCATGAGTTTGCCACTGTGGGAATCTGGGTCCTGGATTTAGATAGGTCATTAGTCTGATGCAGCATGGACTTATGTTCTTCATGGAGGTGCACAGAACTCTTCCTCAGAACCAGTAGCACAACAGCACTGGAGGCTGGTAAGGAGTTCTGTTGGTTTCTAAAGCCTGCATACTCAAGGACTACTCCCATGTCTTGCCTGTTTTCTAGTACAGCACCTACTGTCTATGTTACAGTGCAGAAAGTCACAGAGTGGAGCAAACCAGAGTGGAGCAAACCAAAGTAAACATGGATGGGCCATCACTTACCCTCGCTTGCATTTTTTATAGACTTTATAGATGCTTTCTTCAGGCAGACCGTATTTTTCTGAAATCTGGAGGAGAAAAATAATATTCTGTCAATACCCTACCAGAGGCATCCCCCCAGTGGATAATGTTCTAGCAATAAAGGGAACCACTACAGGCAATGCTGGGATCCCTGACCTACTGAGCTTGTAATCTTTTGCGTTTTTATTTTATTGTACACTGTTTCAATAGCTTTGGTAGCAAAGCAGTATATAAATCTGAGGATAAGATTAAAATGAAAATAATTATTTGGGAGCAGCCCAAGCCTCTCTACTGCAATCCCTTTTCTGATGCTTTCCCAAAGGCGGTTCTGTAAATTGATCTTTTCCCCCTCCAAAGTGCTGTTTGCTTTTTTCCAATGTAAAAGTGTGCAAAACCAACACACACACACACACACAAGCACAGCCATAAAAAATGGCTATCAGATAATTTCAGACGATTGTTTGCTTTATTCCCCACCTCAGCAAAGAAGAGCTGGGGTTATCAGGAATGGTGCTGATAGACATCACAGAAATATGCTTTGCATTGTGTGCTCTGCAAACACTGAGAAGCGGGGAGGGGGCGGTGGGAGTGAGAGAGAGTTTCCAGCCAGCCCAAGGGAAAGGAAGTGAGGTGTAGAGGAGAAAAGCCTGAGCAGAAAAACTTTCTCCACCTGGGAAACTGATTGGAGAAGGGGCGTTTAACAGTGCGAAATATGAAAGTCATCATCATTAAAACAACATCAACAAAAAGATGCACTTGGCAGGGGGCTGTAGTTGGCTGTAACTTTCTGCATTGTGTAAAAGAGCCCCCATACTGGTCAAGGTCAGAACAGGCATATTGTAATCCAATATGCAATATGCATTCAAATATAACACCCCAAAAGTGATTGCACTACACTACTGGCATCAGTGCTGGCCCACGACCTTTGACTGACCAAGGCAGAAAAGCCTCATTACGCCCTTCTTATATTGAGCAACACAAAATCTTCTCCACAAGCCTCACTGGGCCTGCTGGGACCTCTTAGCTCTTCCAATGGAGATTCTGCAGAAGAAGGCCCTGCATGTCATGTAGTGTAGGGGTTTAAAATGTTGGATTAGGATCTAGGAGACTAAGGTTCAAAATCCCCACTCAGCCATGAAGCTCACTGGGTGACCTTGGTCCAGTCACTGTCTCTCAGCCTAACCTACCTCACAAGGTTGTTGAGGCGATAAAATGGGGAAGGGGGAGAACCATTTATGCCACCTCGAGCTCTTTGCAGGAAAAGCGGGATATAAAGGCAACAACTCCCCCCAAAGTATTTACTATTACTTCATTAGGTAGCCTAGTAAATTTTATGTAGTGGAGATGACCGGGGGGGGGGGGAGATGGGGGGGAACTTACAGCATTCCTCAGGCCTTTGAGGTCTGGCGTCTTCAGCATGAGAGCATCAAAAACCTCCTCAGATTCTCTTCGTACGTAGAGCAAGACTGAAATGTATGAAACAGACAGCTGTCACATGTCGGCTCAGCCTTCAAGAGTTGGTCATTTCTAACCACGCAGAGGCTACATATATACTCCTGTTTACTCTGCATCCAGTGCTCTCTCGCCACTGTTTCTGGATGCGATGTACACACAGTGGTAGCCACAATTTATATCTATACTATCGTTTCTTATGAAATTAAGGCTATGTACATATTACTGGCTTAAAACGCAGTGAGGTTGTCTCCCCGTTCCACACACTGTGTTTTAAGTTGCATTTATACGGTGCTTTACACACCAGAGAATCGGTGTGGATGCCTTCACCCAATGCACATTTACCCGATTGGTTTCCCCACACTTGCAACTCCCCCCCCCCAGCTCCTATTCTGTGAAGCTGTTATCTGTGCATGTGTTGTCATCTGCACAGGTACAATAGCTGTCTCAAATGTACACACCTCAGTTAATGCAGCTTAGGCTTTCAAACTGGATAGAAGCTGGTTTGAGGGAAATCGCATCAAGCAGCAGTATTTCTCAAGAAACTACAGGATAGATATGGATTGTGGGTAATGTCATGTGTACCCAGTTTCAAACACCAGTGTTGGGAGCACGCTGGAGTCAGAGTATCGTATTTTTCCATGTATTAGACGATGTTTTTCTATTCACGGATAGTGCAGATGGGGGACGGGAGATTGGTTGCAGCCACGAGCAGGAGATTGTCAGCAGCGATTAGGTGGGTGATTGGTGGGTGAGGCAATGCCTGCTGGCGATTGGCTGCTGCTACGGCAACTGGATGGGTGATTGGCGGCTGCTGGCGGATGATTGGTGGCTTTGGTGAGAGTTTTTTGGCAACCCCTCAAAAAAAGCTCAACAACTGTGGGCAATTGCCCCCTCAGTTCCTTAATTTGGAGTCCTCCAAAATAGGGGTCGTCTTATACATGGGGCGTGTTATCCACGGAAAAATACGGTAAATGTCAATGTGTGTACAGCTGTATTAGAAATAGAGCTCCTCTTCTCACAGTCTACTGAGACTTTGGAAGTGCCAGTTAGTTGTCCTTCACCCCACCAAGTTGCCCCATGATAAGATCCTCAAGTTGAGATCTCCTTTCTGGGCCTTGCCTTCAGCGCCATTTTTCATGGGCACTTGCTGTATATTCACTCACATTTTGTAAGCCCACAAGGCTCTTTCCTCATCTGTTCCACCTGAGGTTGTTATTTCTTTGTCTATAGCTTGGGGTGGGTGTGGGGGCATGTGTGTGCGTAATCTCTGAGAGCAATATTACCTCGTTGAGGGTCTTCCTCTTTGGCTTGCTTTGAAGCTAAAGGGTCAAATTCATCAGGAAATGAAGGGCAGCTCCTCTTTAAAGGCAACCTTAGTGAGGAAAATGAAAGTTCAGAAGATCCCAGGATGGACACCAGCATTCAGAAACAAGTGGTTCAAATGTCAGTACTGATGCATTGTTAAAGAACAAAAACAAAAACACAGCTTTCATTCATTTCCACAGGGCCAATGCAGAAAATGTCCTAGTGGATTGTGCCCCATGGAGAGGGTCCCTCTGGTCTCCTTCTCTGCTACCCCAAATCCAATTCCTCACATTGCCCAACAGGTAAGGACACCGATGATGCTGAGCATTCTTCCTGCATCTCCAACCATTTCCTTGTGGAAGGCTAGGTTGTGGCAGAGTTCATGGTACAAGTCCTTCTCAGAGTAGACCTACTGAAGTTAATTAACATTACTAACTTAGGTTCATCCATTTCAATGAGTCTACTTTGAGTAGAACTTGTTTGGACACAACCCAGCATATATATCCTTGCCCTCAGTCTCACAGCACTTCAGCATAGCTCCTGTTCATTTGGTTTCAATGGGATTCTCGCTCCAGATAATGTCCTACCAACATTATATTTCACCACTTTTATATATCCTGCATTTATTCCATTAGGGACCTCAAGATCTGGTAGACATCAACTTTGCAGGGCTGAAAGCAGCTGATACAGCAAACTTCCTGCGGTTAATTGGGTCTGGGTTTGGTCAGTGCCTGGATCAGAGGCCTACTTATGTGGTCTTGACAAGACTCCCAGAGAAAGATGGGATAGAAATAAAATCAAAATGGGAAGTGGGAATAGGGCCAATGGGCTGACTAATTATGCAAGAATATCTTGGACATGTGAGCCAAAGGGGGGATGAATCCATATTTTGTACCTGCTAGAGTCATGTGGAACACCAGCGGTGGGTAATGCCTGTTGGGAAAAAAGAAAAGAGAGACGCTTTAGTCCTTTGAGATTAAAAATGCCCCAAACTTTTTGGGGCAAAAGCATTGTGGCCTCTCAGAAGGAAATCTTCTTCAGACTCTGTGGGTTGTATTCACCCAAGTCCTACTCAGAGTAGATCCCCTGAAAGTAATGAATCTAAGTTAGTCCCATCTATTAACTTCAGTGGGTCTACTCTGAGTAGGACTAGCATTGAATACCAGCCTATGTGATAATTTAAAAGATAAATGGGGTGTACTTATTAGTTATGCAAGCCCAAGGTACTGATTCCTTGTCTTAAAAAAACGGGGGTAACTGACTTTGTATTTATAATGTTGTTATGGTTACAGTGAGGTTTAAGAACAACATCCAGAAAATAGAACAGTACCACAGCACCCTGCTTTTGCAATTTAATCATGAACCTATCTGAGAGTAGACCTTTCAATCCTCTCCCTCCCCTGCTTAAATTGTGCTTCTGTGGCCAGACACTCTGCACTCCTGCTCTCTAATCTCCTCACATCTTTATATGAATCAATTTTGACTTTTAAATTCCTCCTCAAAGCCTGCACTTTCCTTGCTAGGTATCCCTAGACAGACAGTGAGCAGGTATCTACACTACAAACTTAGGTTTAGTTTTAAACCAGTTTATCATTTATGGCTTCCCCCACAGAATGCTGGGAATTGCATTTTCAGGACATGACAAGTTCTGTCATGGAGCTCTATTACACAATTAAGTTCCCAGGGTTTCCAGGGAGAGGGGAAATACTTCTTCTTCTTCTTTTAAAAAAGAACAGAAGTCGGGGGGGGGGTTAGAACTGCCCTTAATCAATGTAAGGCCTTGCACTGCCGTATCTCTTTTTTGCTTCACACAAAATTTACAGTGCAGCGTTTATACCAAGGCTGGGAATCTGTGGCCTTCCAGATGTTGTGGGACTCCAACTCCCATCAGCCCCAGCCAACATTGGCCAATGGCCAGGGATGATCGGAGCTGGAACCCAACAAGGTTTGAAGGGTCGCAGGTTCCCCGTCCCCAATTAAAACAGCATGCCTCTTCTCCCCAAATCCCTACTCTTGCAGTTGAAAGGTTCCTTTGAAATAAACCAAAATTGAGTCTCGATGCCTAAAATAAATTAAGATAATGGCATCATTAATGGTGGCTTCCTTCCATTCCTGTAGCAGCAGGGTGCTTCACTGCCTTAAGAGGTATTTGAAGGCAACATGCAGCGGGAGCTGTAAGGGGCAGGGGCAGCCTGTCCCATTTTGCTGCCTGAGGTGAAACAGGAAGGTGCTGTCCTGCCCACGTGCTGTGTGCGGCTGGTCCTGCTTACCAGGGTCACACGATTGCGACTTCCTGGTTCCAGCATGATTGTGTGATAACAGCTCAAGATCACGTGAGAGCCCCATGAGATCGCGTGGAGGCCTCACATGGCTCTCATAAGATTTCTCCAGAACCCAGAAGTTGCCACAGCCACTTCTCCTTGGTGTCTCGTGGATGGGCTGACTATGGTAAGGGGGACTTACCGTTCCACATCTCTGGAGGTTTGAAAAGTGGACGTTTGGAATAAACAGGACGGGCTGGGTTTCCAAGTCAGCCTGTGGCTTGAGATACGTGATTTCGTTGCCTCGGAAGCCCGAAACCAAACAGCTTTTCAGACCTGGAAGGAAGAAGAGAAACTTAGTTTTCCACCATGTTTGTTGCTATAGAGACTCATCAAGGAGGGGAGTGGCGGAGACTCATCCAAGCCATGGGTGCTTTAGCTGAGATTCCTGCATTGCATGACTTGATGATCCTCAGGGTCCCTTCCAACTCTACAGTTCTATGATTCTAAGCAATGAATGTGTCAAGTTTGCAAGATTAGGACAAGACCAGCCTTCCCCAATCTTTTGCCTTCCAGATGCTTTGGAACACACACTCATCAGCCCCGGCCAAAATGTCTGGAAGGCACATGGTTGAGAAAGATTGGACAAGACAGAGGGGATGTATGAGCACCCTCCCAATGTCTTTCCCTTTGGTTAAAAGCAGCTAAGCAGCGAAGGAAATACTCAAAGTGCAGCATCCTCATCCTTCAAAATCTGCGCTTATCCGAATTTTGCAATGCAGTTCTCTATAGTCAACTAATGTGCACAGAAATGCATATAACTGGGGTGAAATTTGTATAAAAATGTGTAATATTAGTGAAGACAACATACAAGAAAGAATTATGGTAGGGAATGTTGCTTTGCAAAAAATCCACATATTCAGAGAAATTTTCCAGTGAATTTTCATGAGGCCTTGAAAAAAAATGATGTGGAAAGGTAGAGAACTGGAGTTAAGATTAGAAAAATGAGAAGCTGAAAGAAACCCAAACTGACTCACTGATCAGCCCTTACTCTCTGCCCAAAAAACATCCCACAAGGTGGCTGAGAATTGTTTTTTAAAAACCACTGAGGTTGGAGGGGGGAGAGAATTCAAATGGAAAAGACCAAATTCCATCAATAGAAACAGACAAAAAACAAAGCCAAAACAAAAACCCAAAGTAGAAGTCTCAGACTTCATGCAACACTAACACAATCTGATCAATCAGCACACACACACACAGTGAGCTTTCTGAAATAATAATAAAAAAAGCCTTTGGGGAACTATTTAACTGAGAGATGGCCTGGACACTGTTTCTGGAAAGCAAGTTTCTGTAATTTTCATGATCTAATTTTCATACAAGAATGATTAGATGTGTCTGAAGAACATAAAAAAGTACAGAATAGGGCATAAGAGTTTCTGTCTCACCTTATTATTAATAATAATAACCTCTAGAGCGCCTACAGTAATTAGGTGCCACACACAAATCAAAATGAAGACACCTGCCCTGCCTTCGAGCTTACAATCTCAGAGACTAGACTTATAAGAGAAAGGGAGTGGAGGGGGAGAGTAGAAGCCAGAGGATAGGGATCAGCTTGACAGTGCCAAAATGAAGAGATATCTCATTCAACTGAGATCTTCTTCTCATTGGTTCCCCATTTTTGGAAGCTGTCTTTGGCTCCATACACACAGCACATCTGAATAACATTCAAAATACCCCCCAAAAAAAAGAATCATGGGAATTGTAGTTTGCGAAGGGTGCTAGAAGTGTAGCTCTGTGAGCAGTAAACTGCAGCTCCCAAGATTCTTTGGAGGAAGCCAAGTATTTAAAATGCACATTAAATGTATGAATGCAGCCTCTGCCTGTGTCAGACCAATGGCTCATCAGTACTGAAGTAGTTGAGCCAGTGGATCAGACACAGTCCTAGGCTGCATACTATTGACACCTTCTGCCAGTGGCTATCCAGGTTTCAAGGGAGGGGTCTTCCCCAACCCTACTTTGGGATGACAGGGATCAAATCTGTGTCCTTTTACGTGCAATGCAGATGCTCTCCGACTGAGCCACAGCCTCTCTCCAGCGGTGCCCAAATTGCAAAACTCTCGACTTGAGGCATGTTCACCAGGCACGTTCGTTGCTAATTTTTAGGCGCCAGGCAAAGTCCGCCGGGAGCTTTTAGTAGTATTTTAAGGATCTCAATCACTGGTTTCAGCTGCTATTTTTATCTTGCCACACTCGTTTGCTCTTCTTCCACTTTTCTGTAGTTTTTATTGCTGTTTTTATTTGACATGCTGTTAATTCTGTTTTGAACGTGGAACTGTTTTGTAAGCTTCCCAGAGGGCACGTGTCAGGGCATATAGATCCCATGAGTAAATAAATAAATAAAAACGAAAGAGGTGCGTTTGTAAAAACAACCCTTGAAATCCAGTTAGGGCCAGGCTGAGCTGGCCCCGCCAGCTGCTCTTTGCTGGGATGAAGACAGAGCAATTTCCCTGCAGTGCTTGAGCCTTCTCCGGTCAGGGACTAAGGCTAGATTGCCCTTGCCTTCTTCCTCTTTACAACCCCCCAAGGCAAGGGACTGTTGCGGCAGAGGCTTCTCTGGCAAGCAGAGGGAAGCGGGTTATCTGCAGCTGAGGGTCCTAATCACCAGGCATCTCACTCCCCGGGCCATCCTGAGCACCATGCATTCGAAGCGCACTCTGCCGGCAGCACATGACCTCACACACCCTCCCCTGAAGGCAGCGTTTATATATACAGGGCCCACACCAGCTTTCTCACCCCCTTCCACTCACTCACCATTGTTATTGGCGTCCAGGCATTTTCCCTTCCTCCTGAACTGCTTGCGTTCATCGTCCCGCATTTTCCTCTCTGCTCCCTGCAAGGGAAGTTGAAAGAGATGAGAAGCCGAAAACTTACCAGCACAGGCAACTCCCAATTTACAACACGGCTTACATTCCAAGGTGCCACACGTTTAAGTGAAATCGCATCTATTTGAAACACCTCGAGAAAGCCTGCAAACGCCCCTTTCGGTGATGCTTTTGTGATGTTTTTGGGTCACGTCTGGGTTTGGTGCAACGCACGCACGGCCGCGCATGTATCTGATGCGTCTGAAACGATGGCTGCCTGTATGTTGCTGTGAAGCACGTGCCTCCTGAGCATTCGTGGTATTAATAATACTGTCACTTGGGAGGAGATTGCGCCATCTCAGGAGCAAGGCCGCAGCGAGGGGGTGGTGAGGTGGGCCCCCGCCAGGGGCGCAGGCAAGGCAAGGGGCACAAAACTGGCTGGAGGAGAGGCAGAAAGAAGAGCTAATTTGTCCGTGGCTAGCGGGCGCAATCTGGGCGGTTCTGCCAGGGGCGCAAGATCACCTAGCTATGGCTCTGCTCAGGAGTCTGTGCACCAGACACACTGCACCTCCAGGTGAGATCCTTGTTTGCAAAGGCAACGCTGCCTAGTTTCAGGGGGAGAGGCAGGTGTTGCTTCCAGTGAAAATGGCAGCTGAGGTGGCTCCGTTAGGGGAACCGAAGCATTGCCCCAACAAATGCAGTCTGCCTGCACCTGACCGCCTTCTTGCAACCAATCTAAGTGGTAGGACTGCTTCTTCCTCCTTAGTCTCAGGAAAAGCACAGGGACAAAACCAAAACTTGTTGGCTGTGGTTCTACCTGCTCCCTATCTTCTGCTCTACTGGTCTCAAAAGGGAGCACCCACTGTGGGTAAATGGGTACACTCATAAAGGTACACCTTCATCTCAGAGATTTACCTAGGATCAGGGTGGATAAAAATCAATGTGTTTTTTTTAAAAAATAATAATCAGATTTTTAAAAATTTAAATCAGATTTTTTAAAAATTTAAATCGGATTTTTAAAATAAAATGCTTTTGGAGGAAAAATCTTTCTGAATGTAGTTTTCTATTTAAGTTACACTATAGTCTAAAGGCTATTCATCAGGAAAGAAGGATTTGTTTTAAGTTTTTCATGTGTGCTAAAACTCAGTCTAAAGTTGTTGTTTTTAATTGTTTAACCACACCAGTTAACAAACATGGATACATGCGCTATAATGTTACTGTTTCAGCTAAATAAATTGTTTAAATTGTTATTAAGGAAATGATTATTTTTCTCCTTCCATTAAAGTACAGCAGAAAAGTTGTCCAAATATAAACAATTAACTTATTAAGCCTCACAATAAGTTCATAATTATCTCTCTATGCATTTCTAATAGTATAACCAAATCAGTAATTTTGATATAACTGTAAAAGCTACTCTGAAAATTTATTATTCCAAAAAATGAAACCTTCATCTGGTTGTGAATATTAAGATTATACCAGCAAGAATGAGTCTTTCTATAAAAAAAGATTTAAATCAAGTCTTACTGACTAGTGATTTAAATCGTGATTTAAATCAATTTGATTTAAATCAAATCCACCCTGCCTAGGATAGCCAGATGCAAAAAGAGGACAGCTTAAAGCAACTCTTTAAAAACCCAGGTGATTTCAGCAGATGTAGGTATTAAAGGTGCAGGGGCCCTGCCCTCTTTTGCATCTGTCCTCCCTAGATTATACCTGCCTGCCCCTAGTGATTTATGGCTAGGGAGAGAAGCCAGGTTTCTCCACCTTCCCCACCCCTGCTCCAAACATTGTGTTCCAAACTGCAGCCCATTGACTGTGTGCTGCAGAACACAACAGGATGCTTTCAGAGAACCAAAGAAACCCCTTCTCTGGGCTTCCTTGGTTCCATTTCTCAGTTACCCTGAGCTGTGGGGGGGTCGGGGGGAGAGCAATGCTGGAATATGTGTGCGCAATATATGTGCATGGCAGCCTGCATAAGCAAGAGCAGAGACAGAGCACTCTTTCCATTTAAAATAGAAGCTTGCCATTTAAATGCAAGCATTTATCTTAGGGGCAAACTAGATGTGGCATTAATTTTGTGATGGCAATTAACAGGCATTTTGGAGTTTGGAGAGAGACACCGTGAACCATTATCTCCAAAGAGAAAGAAGATCGTAATCCATGAAGCCGTTTCAAACAGGGGAAGCTAAAATTATAGGAGATGCTGTAATTCCACAGGCAGATATGTGTTCCCAGGGAGTCTTTGGGGTCGTAGTTCTCAAGCTGCAGTCCCTTCATCCCACATGGCAAGCCATTTTTTTAAATGAAAGGACTTTTGGAAGAAGGTCAGGGTTGTGTATGTCAAATTGCTGTTCAAAAAAATAAAAAACCCTTGAGAAACCCAAAGTAGTTGTTTGGGTCCCTGCCTATAACTGGGGCCAAAAATGCAGAATGCAGGCCTGCACATATTTCTCACCTCAAATTTGGAAAGTTCGACCAGTGAGGAAACAATCTAGCTGAACCGGTCTGACGGCCAGTCTAGATGTGATGTTAACGGTATGAACACGTGTGGCACATATGTGTGTGCCTGTAATTATCATGCACATTTTAAAAAATGTTCGCAGAATGGAGGCTTCCCTTGTGATGTAGCGGCTTCAGAAGAGTTATTATTGCCAGAATCACAGCAGCACAGTAAGTGTCAAGAGTCTCCCCACCTTCTGCAGTCCTGCTGCTTGGCCTCCCTGCAGGCGATATTAACTTCTTTTTTAAGCCTTTGTCCCAATTGCACCCACACGACTAACATCACATCTAGTTTGGCCCTCATTGAAAGGATCCAGAACGTGGAATGTCACCTCTGGGCTAATACTGAATCAGATTAAGCTCCTAGAACATTTTTATTATATGTTGCGCCTCCTAGCATTTAAAAACTGGAGGCTCACCAGTGAATTCCAGTCTTGACTGATTTACAGGTGAACTCTTGCACAGTTTAGGTTATTCACATTTAAAAGCTTTCACAGAGCCAAGTTCTTCAGCTAACGGTTCAGCTCTTGCAAAGCTGCTCTTAAAAGGCCATGTCTTTGTTTAAGAAGCTTATTTCTTTCTTTCTTACATTCAGTGCTTTTTTTTCTAAAAAGATGTTTAAGGGTACTCTCATTTTCCTGCTCTTATTGAAATACTGCCCCTCAATGAGGCGAAACTTAGATTCACAAAATGTTTAGGGGCACCCCTGCGTCCTTCCAGAAAAAAAGCACTGCTTACATTTATATCCTGCCTCAATCACAGGGAGTTCAAGATGACATACAAGGCTATCTCCTTCCTGTTTGAGCCTCACAAAAGCTCTGTGAGAGAAAGTGACTGGCCCAAGGCTATCCAGTGTGAGGGGATTTGAACCCGGGTCTCCCAAGCCCTAGTTCAGGCATCCCCAAACTCGGCCCTCCTAACAGGACCAGTGGTCAAGGATGATGGGAATTGTAGTCCCAAAACATCTGGAGGGCCAAGTTTGGGGATGCCTGCCCTAGTTTAATGCTCTTAATACCACACCGCATTGGCTCTCTAATCCCTTATTCTCATCACGTCTTTTGGAAGTCCTTCACATTGTAACTTCTTTCCCATAGGCTTCACTCTACCTTATCACAGAATATTTTGATCTGGCAGACAGCTCGGTGAATAAGCCGGTTCGTCCCAGTACTGTAGTCATAAGTGTCTATCTGGAGGTTCAAAGGGACTCCCTTGACGCCTTTCTGGGAGGAGAAATCTGTGCTCAAGCAGTTCACGCCGATAAACACCTGCAAGAAGAATGCATAGAGTCAGGATGCAGTGGCAGTCAAAGCACTGCTCTGAAAGATACAGCGAATTCCAAGAAGCTTGTAGCTCAATGGTCGGACATCTGCTTTGCATGCGGAAGGCACCTGATTCAACCCCTGCCCATCTCCAAGTAGGGATGGGAGGCTGCAACCCTGGGGTGCTGCTGCCGACAATCTTCTGGTCCAAAGTTAAGCACAGCTAAACCTTGCATATAGAAAATAATGAGCCTGGCTCCACTATTTAGAGGCTGGTAGATTCAGAGACAGGTGGCAGATGCAGGAAAAGGCCTTCAACAGCAACTCCCAGGTATTTTAAGTCTCTGAAGCCTCAGCCTTCAACAGCCCCCTGGGCAGAAAGGGGAACAAGGTTTCTGGTAAGTTACATCTAACCTAAGTGCCCCAGATGACTATCACATGCTTGGAATATTTCCATGGAGGGAGAGTGAAGAGGAAGAAGATGCTTTGAAGATGGCTTATAACCTCTCAGTTTTTAGGCTTTTGTTTTTGTTTTTTTTTAAGACCATGGCTACCTTTAGGCTAAAAAGAAAGGTGACCCAATGAAATTTCAGAGCAAAAAAACCTACCAACTGATCAGGTTTCAGAGTCACTAAACAGCAGGATTACTATGCATGTCTACTCAGAAGCCCTATTAAATTCAGGATATCCTATGACTGCAATTCTATGCCCACTTACTTGGGAGTAAGCCAAATTTAACTCAGTGGAACTTACTTTGGAGTAGAGTACACACTGCAAATTCATCTAGTGTTTTTCATTTACCCCTCTTGCACAATCTGTCCTGAGCAACATAACTCTGTTGCAAGCCAGCACTACCTGTAACCTACCAAGCTAAACAGAGTCCACCTCCTGGTTTTGCTTTTTTCCTGGGATTGCAAACCCAAGATTGCTTTGCACCAACAGACCACGGTTCATGTCTGTTGTGGGTATGTTGAGGCCTTATTCCCTATTGCAACATAAAGCTACCTTGAATATCTGGTCTGGGTTTATGGGAGAGTACAACTTGCAGAGCCTTATTAATCTGCAGGCTAATAAATGGCAGTTTATAGTCTCAGGGTTGTGGCAGGAAACTTTCCCCCTATAGCCCAGCTAACAGTTTGGAGTCAGCTGCTGGTGTAGTGCTTAAAAGAACTACGAACATAGCAGGACATGTGACTGGTTTAAATCTCAGTTCGGGCAGGAACTCTTATGAAAGCTTTAGACAAGCCAAATCCCTCCAGACATCCCTTTTATTGTGGGTTCATAATGGTTTGTGCTCATGTTGATATTGCGGTGGTTATATCCAATCGGGCTTTCAGTATTATTTGCACATGCAAAAGATTTGGGGCGGACATACTGCTTTGTTTCTGATTAGTGCACGTCCTGTAGCTTCTTGCTGAAATCCTGCAACTTTTCATACCATGAATGTTCTGGTTCATTTTTGTCTCACTTTTGTAGTGTTACAGCCCCTTGGGGAAGCAACACATAACAAAGCGAAGCTGGACAAATCCACCACTGAGGCACTACTGTTGTGTCAAGGCAGAACACACTGCAGAAGATACCAGCAATAAAACACTAGTCTGGAGGGGCCCCCAGTTTCACCTTTGAAGACAAATAGAGTGTCGTCCCCCCGCGAAAGAGAGCTGCAGGTAGCACAACAGAGGCACCCCTGCTTATTGTGTGCAGACCTGTCTCAACTCAGTGTCTGTTCACAGGTTTCCGTAGCACTTCAAACCCTGCAATGCCTGTTTGACTGGAGTTGATAGCAGAACAAACCATAAAAGACACAAGGGTACAAACTGAAGTCTCCATGTGTGCAGAGGAGTTAGCACACCTAGCTGAAAGGGTGCTGATGAAAAGTGACTGTGAGTTTGAAGCATGGTTTAATGTTGGAATGCTATAGCAGGAATGGGGAACATGTGGTCCTCCAGATGTGGCTGAACTACAGGTATGAAATGGAGGTAGGTTTGCGGTACAGGGGGGACCACATGTTTTGCACGGGCCTGATCATACCTTTGCTTCTTCAGCAATGTTCCAGACGAAGGACAAGGCGTTGTAAGCCACCTCCTCAATATGCTGCACAGTATTGAAATTCTCTTTACAGTCAGCTGGAAGGCATGAAACATGCAGTTACTCTTCAATTGCCCAATTATAACTTTTGAATTAAGTAACAACCATACTCTTAAAGAGGTGTGATATGCCCCACCCTTCAAGGCTACCGGAAACCACTCCTAAACTCCTTCTGGATTCTAAGGTGAAGATCCAGATCTATAGGCGGGGGCCGGGGCCAGGAAGATAATTGCTGGTTTTTCCTTCTGGTGGCAGACCCCTGTGTCTCATGCAACTTTCCAGAGCTTACAAGGGATGTAGAAGTCTGCTATTAAAACTGGGTAGCTGAAAGCTATTCTTCATGATTTTCTAAGTACACACACAAGGCCACCCCTTTATCCTAGGAATCTTTATGATGAAAACCCTGTAAACACTGGGCAGGGTATAAAAAATAAATTCTTATTCTTATTCTTTTAAATCAGAACAGCAACCAGTTCAATTTAATATCCTAAGTGCTAATAAGGACTGCATTCACTTGGAAATAAAAGAGGGAGGGTTTTTTTCACTGCATCTGTTTCCTTTCCCTCCTAGACAAGAAATCCGAAAGCATCTCTATTCCTTACCGACATCGATGACTCTCTGTTTAGCAGTAGGTTGACGTGAATGCCAGTGCTTCCAGAACTTGAGCTGCTCCACTGGAATTTTTTCATTGTCAAAAACCACCATCACAACACTCTGGGAGAAAGGGAAAAAGCCAATTAGATTACTGTTCAATACATAATACTGTAGTATATATAGTATTAACTTATGTATTCATTTGCAAAATCAAATCCAGCTTGGGGAAACACTTTAGTACAGGCGTTCCAGCCCATGGGCTGGTATGCATCCCCTCCCACACAGTGGGGAGCAGCTGAAAGGGAAAAGGGCTTTGCTGTTGTATAACGTATGCAACTGCCACTCCTTTCCTTTTCAGAACCTATAGCAGGAAAACCAAAGCAAAATGTCCAAGCAAAGAAAAAGCTTGGTGTACCTTGGAAATATGGAAACGGCACCCATACATTTTGCAACCGTATGACTGCAATTGTCAGGATGCAATTGCGTTTTGATGTTTGAGGTTTTGAATAACTGTCAGGAAAGGCTTGCAGTTCGTCTGTGCATCAATATTATTCGCATTCTTGTGTGGGGTTTAGTGAGTTCCACTTGGGTAATGCAGCCCTCAGCACTTCCCTGACCTCTACTTTAAAGCATATGCTATAATTTCTGAAACCTCCATGGCGATTGGCTGTAATATCTCTGGCTTCAGAAAACTGGGGGGGGGGGGGGGGAACCAACGCCAACACCATTGCTTCAGCTGTTCCACATGACATATTGCTGGGAACTTTCCTTGGCACATCACTTACCTTCACTTTATTAGAGGACAGGTGTAAACATTTCGCTTCTGCAGCTGTCCGCAGCGTGACTGGGTAGAACTGTCCTTTGTTGAGGTAGGCCATGGGTGAGTCACCCGATTTGATGTGAATAGCTTTAGGGGATCCCAACATATATTCAAAGTCACTTAAATGGAGCAATTAAAAAAGAGGGAGAGGGAGAAGGCAGAGATTAAATAAACCACTTATACTATTTTACTCTGCAAGACACACCAAAACACAGACAAGAAGCCAGTGGCGGCTGGGGAACATTGGAACTGGTAAGGGCAGAAGGCAGAGAGGCCAACAGGAAGTGGAGCCGGAGCCCATGGCAGGGTGAGCCAACTAATTCTCTTTTCCGCCCCATCTTCCTCCCTGGTGAGTTTTGCAAGGGCAACACTGAGACTGAGGAGGAGGAGGAAGACACAGGGGGTTGGACTAGATGACCCTCAGGAGTCCCTTCCAACTCTACAACTCTATGATTCTATGACTCCCTGGACTGGGTGCAAGTATAAAAAGGTAGGCAGGTGGGACAGTGCCTTATTCACCCAAATGGTGAATTGACAGAAGTATCTGAAGGCCAAACTAGGTGTCTGGCAGGATAGTCCTATGTATTTATTCATGTGTTTGTCCAGCAGATGACTGGATGGGGTCCATTTTAAAAATAAAATAAAATAAAATGGAACACACGGATTAAGCAAGCAAAGTTATTCTCCCTTCTCACCAGCGACAGTGGCCAACAGGTGTGTGTATGAGACAGAACAACCCTCTCATTAAACTTCCACCTCGATTTACTAGGAACATTTCTTCAGCGAAACACATTTCGATCATATTATTTGAGAAAGCCTTTGCTGTTACCTCTTGGCATCATTGGCGGAATAACTCTCTGAACATGGTGCATCTGTCTGGGACTTCAGGATATCATTGAAGATCAACGACTGCAGGGAGAGACAAAATCAGGACAGCTGTATATGGATTATTTTGTATTCCAGTTCACTCAAGGAAATAAAAACACCATCCAGGTCCATTTGGAATCAAGGCAAAACATTCGTTCTGAATTTTCTGAAAACTGGCGTATGCCTCGCCAACATTTTTATCCACATGTAATAATTTAGCAGGTGGGGGTTTTCTAAAAGTCCTAGGAAAAAGCTTCATCTGCTGCAGTGCTAGGCTGCTGTCAAAAAGCAGGGCTAATAATAATAATAATAATAATAATATATTAAAAAAAACAAGTTATCATGCCCAGCTGGAATCCATCCGCTACTCTTAATCCACTGAGCCTACTAAAGGCCATAGGATCAGGCCCTGAATAGGAGAGAGGGAATTCAAGAATCCAGCTCTTCAGTGGTATTTTTTTCAACTAGCCTTGCAAGGAAATTCTAGGGGTTTGATGGAAGTGGAGAAGGATCATTATATAAAGCAGAGCCTTCCCCAGCCTGGTGCCTTCCAGATATTTTGGACTACAGCTCCCATCGGTCCCAACCAGCAGAGCCAATAGTCAGGGGTTATAGGTACTGTACCTACAATGACCCATAGCCTTCTCGGATCCCTCATTTCCCACCTCGGGGAAGGCTGATGCCAAATGAATGCATTATGAACCACATCCCAAACCACTTCCTGATCAGGTAAGGCATTAACAGGAAGCTACAATGCACTTCCTCTTCCTATTTTAGATGTGAAGCAAAACATCTGAGCCATGGGAGCTGACGTGTGAAAGGGGACATAGCAAGTGGCTTCACACACACACACACACACCTCCCCAGAAGCCCAGGACCCTTGAAAGACACTCTGTCAACTCTACAACTTTGAATGGCAGACCCCTTTTCACCCACCCTTAGCCAACTTTTCAGCAGTATTGTCAATATATTTGTGGTACATTTAAAGCTCTCTTTTACCACTTTAGGAGTTTAGGCTTCCATGAAGAATCTGGAAACTGAAGCTTAAGGGTGCTGGGAATTATAGTTATGCGAGGAGTCTCCTCACAACTCTCAGCACCGTTTGACAAACTGTAGCTCCCAGGATTCTTTGAGGCGGGGAGTCATGACTATTAAAGTGGTATAATATTGCATTAAATGTATGGTGTAGTTGTGACTGTAGTGTTCATTAGTGGCAGATGGAGACAATGGGAGAGACAGTGGTTGTTGGGGATGGACATGGCATAAGTCTCCCTCTTCTCCTTTCATCTACCATTTGCTTTGCATATGTCCAGTGGATTGACCAGCCCTGATGTAGCAGCAGGGAGGGAGGTGGCAATTCGGCAATAAGCTACAGAGGACCGACAACATGGCCAGCCTGCGTACAGGCAGAGAAGATTATTTCAGGAAGCAGAAGGGCTGATGGAGGGAATGTTAAGAAGTGCTTCCAACAAAACAAGCCACTTCATCCTGTTGAATCTCAGTGACGGCTAACTTGGCACATAAGGGACACTCCCTCTGCTCGCTTAATTAGTGCAATTTGTGCTGCTCCCATTTATACCATACATGTCACATCCTGCCCAGAGATGGGCAAAACCACAGAGTTTTGTTCTAGAAATGTTTTGGCAAGCCCAGACATCTGGGCACAGTGCTGACCTCCTGAGGGTCTTCTTTGAATGTGCTGTCCGGTTGCCACCTCTGTTGCGGTGGAGCCACGTGGATCGCGTCAAAGAGGGAATTGAGCGAGCTGTTGTCATACACATCCCCCGAGGTTAGCATATAGTTCTCGGGACTGGCTTCCAGCTTGCTGGTGCCCGGGGGCAAGGCAGGCGGCTTGTGAGGAGAGGGGATGCCCTCCATCCCTAAGCCATTCTTCTTGGGCACATCAAGATACTCTTGGTTCATGGAAACATTTTCGGCCAGGAGCTTCATGATGTGAGTGGAGTTTTCAAAGGAGGAAATCTCGGGTTCGTACTCCATCCCGTGGCAGTGCCTAGAGGCGAAGGAGGAGCCAGACAAAAGAATACTTAGCAATGCAAGACCATTTGGTCACTCATCTGCACCTGAGGCACAAGGAAAGAACACGGGCAGCTCTTCAGGCAACGGAAGTTCATCATTCCCAAGCAAGGAAAAGAGTTAAATCTAACCGCTCCCCACCCAGCCCTTGTGGGACTGGGCAGAACCCACGCTTCACGATGACCCCGCTGCAACGGTTCAGAAACAGGCATGTAAAAACACATAGCTCAGGGGTACACAGAGTCCAGGAATTGAGGGACTAAACTGGAAGATGCCAACCGACTGTTAACTTATTTCGGGGAGGGTTATCTGAAAAGCACGGAAGCTAAGGAGGATGAAAGGGAGTACATTGCTCGATTTGGAAGCAGTTGAAACAAAAGCAGGCTTATCACCTTCACGTTCAGTGCAGAAAAAGGCCACGGAGAGCCTCTCTCTCCTAGTTCTCTCTGTCCTTTGCTACCTCAGCCATGGGGGACATGGGTGAAGTTCAATCCCCCCTCAGGCTAGAATAAAGGGGATTTGAGAGGAGGGAGGGGGTCCTGCTGAACCATATTCTGGAGCCCCACACTTCTTGAAACAGTGCTCCGGGGTCTGCGGCGCCAGCTCTGTTTAAAAGTGCTGCTGGCAGCCTGGGTCCAGAATACCCATGGCCACCTTCAACACTGACCTACCACAAACCTGTAAGATCAACCAGGAACAGTCTCTTGAATCACAACATCTATCCACCAAGATCAGATCTTTGAAGGCTGTCCAGAGAGGCATTCTTAGTTCCTGTCCCCCAGCTATGGAATTCACTCCCCCTTAAGACATGCCAAAGTCAGGGCCTTGATGTCTTCCAGAAGCAGTATACCATTTCAAAAACATTCAGAGTGACTTTGGGTGGGTAGCAGTGGCATGCGGAGGCTGAGTCTTTGGCCTCGTGCATGAAACCATACATTTTAAAGCACCCCAAAGAATTATGGGAACTATATTTGTTAAGATTGCTGGGAATTATAGCTTGGTGAGGGCAAACTACAGTTCCCAGGATTCTTGTAATGAGGGGATGTGCTTTAAAGGTATAGTAGCTTGGGCTCTGGCTCTCTTGCCCCTCCCCCCATTTTTAATGTTTTTAACCCTTTGCTGGGCCAGTATTTGAAAGCTAGTTAGTCACAAGCCAAGCTGACTCCCTGCACTTGCAAACTCTGGAAGTCTCCCAGGGCAGGATTCTCTCTCACCTCTTCCCAAGTTCGTTGCGCCCCGTTGTCCCAGATGGAAGGATCCTCTTCTCCTTTGGAACCTGTCAAGTTAACAAAAAACAGAAATGTTCCCTGAATAACAGGTAGGGAGAGAGACGCTTCTGGGTTAGCTACTGTCAAAATAGGTTGACTATGCTTTAATTTCCCCATTTCCTTAGTGTCAGTACGTCCCCTCTCCCATGGTCCAGGGTGACTGTTTTATATACATCTTTATATTGTGAAATTGCTCTGAGATGCTTCATAGAAAGCAGTTCTTAAACGAAGTAATATCATCATCATCATCATCATCATCATCTCCTGCCTCTCACATCCATGCCAGGAAAAGCATCCTTTCTCAATGAACAACAAATGTGTTGCCAATATGTGATTGTTAGCAATTCTGCTGCAGAGCAGAATCTCTGTGTGGACACAGAAGCGTGGAATGGGATTCCTTCCTTCTGTGAGACTCAGGCATCTGAGAGAGCATATCAACACTGTTTTAACAGTCATTCCCTCTTCTCAGGGAACCCTGGGAATTGCAATTTTGCATTTATTTATGCAACTTTTGCACTGCTTTTCACCACAAGTGTGGTCCTATGAGCTTTTCCTGTTGTCCTGGGGGCTTTTTGCCACAGAAGTGGTCCCATAGTTCTGCAAGGAAAAAGTTTACCCCTCACAGAATTAAAACTCTAAACACATTGCACCCTAAACACATTGCAGTTCCAAGATTTTTATAAACGTTTGGAAAAACTTTGACAGTAAGAGCTGTTTGGCAGTGGAACAGACTCCCACGAGAGGTTGTGGACTCTCCTTCCTTGGAGGTTTTTAAGCAGAGGTTGGGCAGCCATCTGTCGCAGATGCTTTAGCTGAGATTCCTGCATTGCAGAGGGTTGGACTAGATGGACTAAATTCTATGATTCTAAGCCATGTGCTTTACAGGTATAGTGTGGCTGTGACCCAAACAGAGTGATTATAGACAACTACCATCGCCACCTGATCTGTGGTGAAGTTCTTGTTACTGCTTGGTGGGGTGTGGTAAGGACCGCAAAGTTATCACAGGCCAAGAATACTCAACCTGAAGGAACCTGGTCATGTTTACAGGCCTTTTCCCTGTGAAGCACTTAAACCAGCCTTCCTCCAAACTGGTGCCTTTCAGATGTTTTGTACTACAACTGCTAATGGGGATAGCTCAGTAGGTTAGAGCGTGGTTCTGACAACGGCAATGTTGCAGGTTCAATCCCCATATGGGAAAGCGGCATATTTCTGCATTGCAAGGGGTTGGACTAGATGATCCTCAGGGTTCCCTTCCAGTTCTGCAATTCTATGATTCTATACCAGCCCCAGCCATCACATGGTTAGGTGTGGGTGGGGGAAGACGGCAGGAAATGTCATTTTCGGGGCCTTGAGTCACGCTGGCCGCTTTTCATACCATGTAATAGTCATATAGGAGACTCAGGGCAGCCACGCTGTCGTCATCTCCATTAACCCTCATCATAGCCTTGGTGGCTGCTGTCAGAGGGTTCTCCAGATAGCTCTTCCAAGCCTCGTCTTCATTCGCATAGGGGTATTTCTGGAAGCCCATCCCGTCATTCTTCAGAAAGCGCACAGACCTAAAACTGGGTGGGAAGACAAAGCAGATGGTTTATTTCTAGCATGTTTCCTGGGGAAGCTAAAAAAGGGTGCAATTTCATATTTTCCTCTCCTTTTGCAAAACATTTGCACATGCTGGGGGTGAGAGACAAAAACCTGATTGTATCAGTGAAAGGAGGAAACTTCTTATCCCTGTTTTTTGTCTTTCTTCCCAGCCAAAGATTATGGTAATTTGTTGTGTTGTCATCGTTTTATTTTATAATTCTGAGCTGCCCTAATTGAGTTTAAATTGGACGGAAGGGCGGGTTCCTTGTTTTTTTACTATAAACAGGTAAACCCATGATTACTCCTACTTCATATTTTTCATAGAGTCCAGCCCTAGCTCCGGAGCCAAGCCCTGAATCAATTAGCATGTTTCTACCCTATCTTTCACAACAACAACAAATGTAAGCAATTTGAAACAAAACAGAACAATAACAATAATTAAAAAAAGAGTAGGCCAACAATAAAACCATCTGTGACAGGAGGAGCAGGAACAAGACCAGCAATACTATATCTTTCACTACAAACCTGGGGAAATCAAGGAAGAAATCTGACAGCATGGAAGCTAATGAAGCAAAGGTTCTCTACAGAGAATATTTCACAGTTGGGGACTTCTTGATGGTAACACCCTTTCTCCAGTTGCTGTCCACTTAACTGCTAAAGACTAGGGTACCCAGAGGTTAATGGTGGACCATATGAGAGCAAGCTATCTTTCTGGCATCCTGGACATAATCTATATAGGGTTGGATAGGCTAAAACCAGAACCTTGAATTGTGCCCAGAAACAATTTGGAAGCCAGTCATGGCAACGTCCCAGTAGATTATGCCCTTTGAGGATTATTTTGTGAATTGAGAGTGTTTTTAAAAGAAAAGCGAAGAGCGTGGGATGGTACAGTGTAATAATTTTTTAAAATAGAAAATTATAAAAGTCAATGTTCCACTGGGTTTTCATCCCAGATCTGTCTCTCTGTGCGTCTACCCATTTAAAGCACCTGGCTCCCCCCACCCCACAAAGAATTGTGGCAACTCTAGTTTGTTAAGGGTGCTGGGAATTGTAGCTCAGTTCCCGGGATTTCTGGAAGGAAATAATGCGTTTTAAGTGTATGGTGTGGATGGGAGACAGCAGCCTACTGTACCAAGATCACATTTACATTTGTTGCTCCACCCACTTTGCCTCTGGCTCCACCCACCCGATATGTGGCCCTTGGGATGGTTGCTCAGAAAGGAATGTGGCCCTCAGGCTGAGAAAGGTTTCCCACGCCTGCTCCAATGCTTCCTGTTCAGGCTGAGATTTTACTTGGGCAATGGTAGGTTTTGGTTGATGCTTGGCTTGTCCTCTGGTCCTGTCCCCTAGTTTCTGGTTCCCACTCAATAACCTATGGCTCAGCTCTGACAATCTCTCTCCCTCTCAAGCTTATTTGCATCCTCTATATTTGCATTGGAGTTATGATTATATAGATTGCGCAGCATGACGTTTTCAGGATTAATCATATTAACTATGAACAAAACCCTGGAACAGCTCCTCGGGAATATTATGAAATACAGGGAAGGGGGAGAGGGATTCATGAGAACAGAGTAACCCAACACATCTGGGCTTGTTACCCTTTTGACTTTAGTTGCCTAAATGTTCTGCTGATATTTCGGTTTCTGGGATTTACATCCCACCCCAAAGGCATGGGATGGGACCAAGGCAACTCCAAAATCAGAAGGTATTAAGTAAACACACATCTCTGAACAACAATCATGTTTAGACTTTGAAATCTGTCCAAGAAGATGAAATGCGCTAGCTGTCTCTTTGCGAACAGAAAGACTGCACAGAAATGTTTTAACATACAAATGAAATTCAGTTCCATGTGGAACAGCTGATGAAGGGCTAACCAAGTGTGAGGAGAAGCCCAGCATCGAAGCTGTGAACACACATTTTATTCTGGAATCAATGGAAGCTTGAGTACTTGTTTCCCCCCCAACATAGTCCACACACAATCTAGATCTATTGCATATTTTTTGCCCCTAACAAACTGGTTTTATTCTGAAAATAAATGCTCAATCTATATTATTCTGCAGTGTGTCCATTTGAAAATAGAAGTCAGCAGTCCCAGCAATGGGGTGTACGCACACCTGCCCAATAATGTTGTAGCTAGATGTATAGTCAGGGGTTGCCCTCTCGCTTCCTGTGGCTGGTGCCATGGGGCCCATGAAGACTTTTACTGGTGCTTCCAGCAGGTTCTCTGGACTCTGAGCTGTCTTTCTTTCTTTCTTTTAAGCCTTTAGTGCTCCCCAAAAGTAAGTTATGGAATGTGTTTTTGGGAGGGCATAAGCAGCCCAAATGTAAAGGGGCTTGTAATATCTGTGTAGGAGAGAGGTGCAGTGCGTCAGGCAGCAATTACAGTAAATAGAGGTCTCCTAACAACTCTCAGCACCCTTAAAGGTAAAGGGTAAAGGGACCCCTGAGCATTAGGTCCAGTCGTGACCGACTCTGGGATTGGGGCGCTCATCTCGCTTTATTGGTCGAGGGAGCCGGCGTACAGCTTCCGGGTCATGTGGCCAGCATGACTAAGCCGCTTCTGGCGAACCAGAGCAGCGCACGGAAATGCCGTTTACCTTCCCGCCGGAGCGGTACCTATTTATCTACTTGCACTTTGACGTGCTTTCGAACTGCTAGGTTGGCAGGAGCAGGGACCGAGCAACGGGAGCTCACCCCATCGCGGGGATTCGAACCGCCGACCTTCTGATCGGCAAGTCCTAGGCTCTGTGGTTTACCCCACAGCGCCACCTGCGTCCCTGTGTTCTTTGGGGAAAGCCACTACTTTAAAGGGTCTAGTAGTGAATAGAGTGTTGGGTTTGGGAGACCCAGATTCAAACAGAGCCACAGATCTTGAGGCTCTCACATTTACCTCACCTCCCGCCCCTGATAAACATGGGGAAGAGAACCTCCTCCTTGGAGCTTTTCTTTTCAGAGGAGCTAATGGAGAAGAGGACAATCAGAACAAATAAAGAGCTCCGTTGCCAGAGGGGACAGAGCCAAATAAATCCTTCCTAAGCCCCACCCTTGGGCACTAGCGCACTTTTCAGAGGCACCATCGCCTCAGGGGCAGAAGTTTTTCTCAGATCATTGTTGACTCCACAGTCCCAGAATCAAACAGCAACTATTACTTACTGGCTAATAACAGTCTTGAACAGTGGACGGGCATTTTAAGTCAAGTCTAGTTTGATGCCACTGGCTGGGATGAGTCACCCACCAGCCCAGGAGCCACCTTTTTGTGAGAGCTTGCAAAACCCTAAAATCTGGGCTACGTCTGCAAAGGAAAGAGCTTCTATATGTGGGGAGGTTTATTTTCCCGCTAGTTCAAGGCATATTTCCCCTCCAAGGAGCTCATCCAGTTCCTTCCTTTTCTTTTCTATGAGTTGTCTCCAATATTAGCCCTACTTAGAGTAGAGCCATTGAAATTAATGGACATGACCAAGACCCCATTTGTGCTTTATATTTAAAGCAGTATCACGCCACTTTAAATAGTCAAGGTTCCACCAAAGAATACTGGGAACTGTAGTTTGTTAAGGGGACTGAGGGTTGTGAGGAAACCTTGTATACCCCTCAAAGAGCCACAATTGTCAGAGTGGCTTAACAATCAATCCCTCTTTCTAAAGAACTCTGAAAATTGTGGCTCTGTAAAGGGAATAGGAATCCCCTAACAACTCTCACAGACCCTCCAAGTGTCCCCATTTTCCAGGAATGTCCCTGATTTAGAGAAGCCATCCCAGTTTCTGATTTGATCCCAGAATGTCCTTAGGATGTCTCCTATTTTCACTGGAGAAATGTTGGAGGGTATGGCGTTATCTGACCCCCGAGCCGTCTGAAGACAATCCTATATAGGGAAGGTTTTTTTAAAAAATGTTTAATGTTTTATTATGTTTGTATATATGTTGGAAGCTGCCCAGAGTGGCTGGGGCAACCCAGTTAAATGTGTGGGGTATAAATAGTAAAATTATCAATATAGAATGGGGCGTCCCTATTTTCATTGGAGAAATGTTGGCGGTTATGCTCTCAGCACTGTTCACAAGCGACAACTCCCAGGATTCTTTGGGGGAAGCCATGACTTTTTAAAGTACTATTATGCTGCTTTAAGTGTATAAGTGCAGATGTGGTCCAATGTAGGTCCATAAATTTCAGCAGGTTTATTCTGAGTGGAACTTACTTGGATACAACACAATGAATTTACCTCATGGGGGGAAAGAGAGCCAGTTGGAATGCTTATAGCCACAGTGGCCCTTAGGAATCACTAAGGCCTAATGTGGCCTTCTTGGAATGGGGATACTCTCACTGCTTGCTTAGCTTATCAGTTCATCATCTTGCTGGGAAAGGCCCTATGGCCTTTCATAAAGCCTGACAGCCAACTTGCTAGGGTTGGGGGGTGGGTGGGAATACCAGTGGTTCAGCCAGAATCAGGAGTGGAGAAGCCCTGGCTTGCCAGACCTTGGATGGATTTAAGTTCCCCTCATCCCTGACTACCGCCCATGCTGTCTGGGACTGATGGGAATTGGTCCAGCAACATGTGGAGGGCCTGATCGTTAACACCATCCCTGCACAGGCAGAGATCTAGTGAGAAAACAGCTCGCCTGCCCCACCTACACTATGTATGATGGATATAGCCTGGCCATTAGAATCACCAAACAGCTGAAGAGAATGCAACGAGAGGAAATACTAGGAGGCACCAAGTTCGAAGAGCCCCAGGCCAAAGAAACCCAGGTGGCTCAAGCAACCAAGTCATCACAGGCAACAGAAAACCATCTCCGTGGTTATCAGCCAGCATCATCTAACTATTTCTGAGCATCTAATCAACAAGGACCACTAAGCACTGTCAAGTGACTGGGAAAAACAGCAGCAGCAGCAGTTGCAGCCTGGGATGATCCTGTGCCTTTCAGAGCAGCTCTGCCTGCAAAAAAAAATTATTTACAACTTGGAGGTGACAATGATCACTAGATTTTATCTGCAAGTGAAGCTGTTGTTTAAAAGCAGAAGAGCAGAGGCCTGTAAGAAAAGAAGAGAAGTTGGCAACTATAGGGCCACAGCAGGCATGTGGATGTGCATACTCAGCAATATGTTTTTTTTAAAAAAAATCTATTTGCTTTTATGCTTTCACTATGGCAGCAAAAATGTAACGTTGGACTAGATGGCCCTTGGGGTTCCCTTCTATTATTCTTTCCAGAATTTTGCTTCCCCTTTCCCTAAGTATGGCTATCAGAAGAAAGGAGGAGGGAAATCCAAGCCGAAGTGCCTAAGAGCAAAAGCTTACGTCCCCCCATTCTTGAGCAAACAAACCTGCCCCTTCCCCACCAGCCTCTCCCAACGGGACATGATGGCACTAATGCTCATCAGTTTCACCCACTGCATAAAAACACCAACAGGTGGTTTTTTTTCATGCTTTTTTTTTAGTGGAAGTTTCGTTGTCTTTAAATTTTCTCACGCAGCCCTCCCTCCCCTTCAGTGCCGCCCCACTGTCTCCAAGGAGCACACGTTAGGATGACTCAGGTTTCACCACCATCAACTCTGCTTAATCCTGTTCAGACAAGAACCTTCAGCCAGACTGAATCCAAAATATTCACATGAAAAGGAGTAAGGGGGAGGGCAGAGAATCAGCAGCAGGGCTATTCAGCCCAGGGATGGGCTCTCTCCAAGCTTTGCCTGGACTTCCCTTCTCCTTTATTTATTTTTTAATTAGGCTCCCCACGGTCTGCCGCTGTATCTTAAGCTGACAAAGCAATGCATGCATGCTCAGCATCTCCCCACAGTTACAGCATGAACTAATGTGCATAAGCAATTTGCTCCCAGCTACGACATTCTCAGGAGCGTAGAACCACTGAACTTTGTGGGGTAGGTGCGCACAAGGATCAGGACACACGCACAGGATGAGAGGAGACATGTGTAGGTTTGCAAGTGCCTTGCAGACGCAGTGATCTGGTTCAGCAATTTAAGCTGTGTACAGATTGCCATTTTTACTGCAGCTGTGGTGCGCCCTCACCACTGGTGTTGGAAGCAGAGAACACATGGCGTTGCCACAATCCACAGATACCCTGTGGTTTATTGGGGAAATACTGCCTTCCCTCAAACCAGCTTCCATCCAGTTTGAGAACAGCAGCTGCAGTTCAGCTTGAGGTGTGTACATTCCAGCCCATGCCCATGGCCCAGCGGGCAGCTTCATTGAACAGGAGTTCAGCGCAGGAAATCGAGCAATGTGCATTGGGTGGAGACATGCCCTTCTCTGGTGTGAGAAAGCGACTTGAAAGGCAGCGGGGCGAGGAACACTTCACTGTGCCAATCTGTACCAATAAGACTCGGGACTTAATGGTCTCACAGAGGGTAGAGCATTTTTTCCTCTCTTTCCCTATTTGCCCAGTCAGCTTCCTCCTGACATCCCTCCAGCCCTGCAAAGGCCACCACCATCATCCCTGGTGATGTGGCCTTATTGAACAGCTAGGCTCTACTCTGGATTGTTACATTCAGTGTGGGCTGGTCTGGTCCACTAGGGTGAGGGAGGTGCTGTCCCACCAGCCCCCGTCTGCTTGCCCCCGTACTTAACACCAGTCCAGTGGGGACTCTGGCTCTACCTCCCAGCCCAAACAATCCCAACAGGTACCAGCTTCCACTGGTTACATTATTCCTATTTATGTAGAATATTTATATACTGTACTACCTTTCAACAAAACGTTAATATAGAATAAGATGTGCAGGAGTCCGTCCCCCCCAACATACACACCTTAAAAAGTTCTTCCAAGAGGCCCAGAGTTGCAAACTCTCTGCATTAATTCCAAATGTGAATAACAAAACTCTCCACGTCTGTGTGTTGTGGGGCCGAATGATGTAAGTGGGAAGGTACTCTGTGACAGGTTGTGGTTCCCTGCTCCCCTGACCCCCAATATAGCACCTCACCCTTTTTTAAATGCCCCCAAATCCTCTCTAAGCAGCGATCCCACCCTCCTACCCCACCCACTCACTTTGCAATATTTGTCATGCTATCCTTGACTTCTCTGTCTGTGGGCAATTCTGCGTGGTTAAACAAACTTTCTTCTTCTTTCTTTTACAAGCTTGTTCTCTTTTGTGTAGCTGTCAGACTAAAAGGGGGAGATTGAAGCGGGTGGGGTCAGGGTGGGAAAACCCACAGTTTTGCAACACAGACAAGGTGGCCCTTTCTCCCTGCTTGGGAAGAAAGCACTGTGCCAACCAAGTTACGGTTAAAAACAAAGCCCACCTTCTCTTAAGAATATCTACCGGTATCTATCATCTATCTATCTATCTATGTGAGGGAAAGAGCATTAGCTCCCACTCAAACATGCATGGTTAGGAATGGCTGCATTCACACAGAACAGTAAGTCAAGGCTATAGGATTAATAAGGCATACTGTGTTTGCTGACACACTAAGAAGAGGATCACTCAGCTAGCATCATGTCCACTAAACTCAAGGTTGCGGTTCATTTCACCATAATGATTCACAAGCACCAGGTAGTCTGAAACCATGGTTTGTTGTTGGCTTACAGATCACATGGTCTGTGAGGGAGCAACAAACCATGGTTCCAGATTTGGCTTTAGCACTAGGTCATTTCCTTCCTGGTTTGCTTACCCACTCACACCCACTCACTTCCAGGAGTGATCAGGGCTGTGTGCACTCTGCTCACATGCCAGCATGTTTTATTAAGCCAAGAAATGGCCATGGTCCCCTGAGGCCCTTCAGAAGACAAGCAGGGGGTGGTGACCAGGGAAGGGCCTTTGCAGTGATGGGCACTCCATTTATGGACCGTACTCTTCTGCCCTTTGACACCATATGAAGATCTTTTACTTGGTTCAGACTTCTTAACTTTCCTAAAAGTGCAGATTTTTAGTCATGTTGGTTTTTTTTTATTAAAAAAAAGATTCTTCTATCATTACCTCACAATTATTATAAGCTTCCTTAAAGGTTTTGTAAAACAGAAGGGCAGGATATATAAATAAAATGAAAAAGGCTTTTCAGATGGCAACCAGAAGGAGAATGGAAGAGGGGGGGGTGTCCGTATTGCCCCCACCTGGTCATGTGATGAACCTGTGTTCGGGTGACTATAATACATTGCAAAAATAAGGAAAGAGGAAACAAGGAAAAAGGAGCAAGGAAGCATTTTCATAAAATTCGCATATACTAATTGTATCAATGCAAACGTATAAATAATTAGTATAATTTATATCAAAATACAGTCCATCTCATCATAGCAAGGAAGACTGTGCCCAGGTGACTCATGCTGTCCACCTTACTCTGCTCCCTAGGGCTAACTGTGGACGGGCAGCTTCCAAGCCCTGCTGCTCTCCCTTGGTTCAGTTCTTCCGTTTAGCCTATATCCAGACCAGACAGCCTTACAGGTAGAGGATGACTTCAAGTCGACTGTGTTTGTGCTTGCACGTAATGCTAAACCAAACTTTGGCTTGGTGTAAATGTGCTGGTTCCCAAGGAGGAGTTTGCACTTGCTTTGCTCCTTCCTGAGCTTTTAAGCTCAGTGACGTGTGATGGCTAAGCCAAGGCTTGGCAAAGCGAGCGGGTCGTCTGAACCCAGAATCAGGGTCAGTTGTTGCAGATTGTAATTTAGGAGTAGAGAACTTAAGTCATGATTCTGGATTCAGGCAGCACACTAAAGTTGAATGCACATCACACATCTAAAATACAGAAGGAAAGATTTGAAGAAGAATGACCTCCTCTTCCTTCCTTTTTTTTTGTGTTCGTGTACACTCTGTTTCCCCCCCAGTTCTGGGGGATAACAGCATATGAACACACTCACTGCCATTCCTGAGTTGACTCTAGGGTGACTAGTTCTCAAGGTCTGATGATCTCCAGATTTCGTCAGGCTTCTCAGGATTTCCAAAGGAAGGCACTCAGCTCCCCTCCATGCTACCATTTAAGGGGCACAGGGGCCACATTGTACGTGGAATCCAATAAGCTGCACTGCACCTATGCAAGCGGGCCATCTCAGCTGGAGCCACATCCATAGCGTGCATTTCAAGCACATGGCTTCCCCCAAAGAATCGTGTGAACTGTAGCTACAACTCCCAGCACCCTTAACAAATTACAGTTCCAAGGATTCTTTGGAGGAAACCGACTTACAGGTCTAGACTGAAATTAAGGCCCAGATCAAAACACTTCAAAACCAGAATCCATTTCTCCAACAGCAATTTCATACCTGGCAAATATAGGAACATCTGTGGAGGTGCAGGTTCCCCTTTAGTGTTTAGAGCCATAGCTTCTAACCTGTTCTAGACACATTACTGAGAAAGAAGCACCACTTCTCCCTGGTGCTCTTATTTATCACATGCAAGAAGGTCTATGCAGGGTGGGGCAGTCAAAAATAGAGCTTCCTCTCCCTGCAGCCTGCAGTAACACTGTCCAGAACCCTACCAGAGCCAGTGTGGTGTAATCTGGTGAACCAGGTTCGATTCCCTGCTCCTCCACATGCAGCTGCTGGGTGACCTTGGGCTAGTCACACTTCTCTGAAGTCTCTCAGCCTCACTCACCTCACAGAGTGTTTGTTGTGGGGGAGGAAGGGAAAGGAGAATGTTAGCCGCTTTGAGACTCCTTAGGGTAGCAATAAAGCGGGATATCAAATCCAAACTCCTCCTCCTCCTCCTCCTCCTTCTCCTTCTTCTCCTTCTTCTACTACTACTACTACTACCACCACCAAACTCTTTGCAAGTCAGTACAGCTTTTAGGCAAAAGTCCCAAACCTACTTATTGGACAGTAAGGCCCACTGAACACTTCTGAGAAAATCTTTATAAGATTGCACTAAGTGTACAATTTCCAAACTGTGACAACAAGAGAGTCACAGGTGGTTTACATTTATTAGGCGAGTGCCATGGGATGCAATAGCTTCTAAAACCAGATTGTGTGACATGATGGCATCACACTTCATGGAGCTCCGGAAAATATTTTTTCTTTTTAATAAAAGCGTTATTAAAAGCCAGCCTTGTACTTGCTTCTCATTGTCTTTTGTGGTTGTTTTATAGTTTACTGGTGGAACATCAAGGCAAACACAATTGTACACTAATTAACACACACATAGAGAGAGAAGATTAAACAAATGCCTTTAAGAATCTCAATCCGTTTTGAACTCCACACCTTTAGACCTAGAGATAAAACTCTGAATTACAAATCCCAGATGTTTAGGTCTGGGTTCTGGGGCACCATGCATACTCAAAGGCAACTCTTCCACATATTCCAGAACTAAGTTACAGGTAAGGCTGCATGACAGACCAAAATTTATTGTTACAGCTGAAATTAATTTTATGGGAGGAACAAATTCGTTTAGCATGCATTTGTTGAAGAAATTTTAATTTTTATCCTATTCTTCAAGGGTTCCCCTGCTTCAAAATTGGATGCTGATAGATTTAGGGATTAAAAAAAAAACAGAGAAAAGGAGGGGGAATTTACAAGTATATTTCAAAATGTCTGGAATTGAGAAGGTCAGTCCTTGATCCAAAAATGTAGCCAACGTTTTGAAGTTGTGGAAAAGTTCATTTCAGTTCTGTAAAACGTTTGCAAGCATTGAACTCTGAACTAGGAAAGCTACAGCTTCTGAATTTCAGCCTGAATACAGATGTTAAAAGCATGGGAACATTCTCAGGATTTAAAAAGGCCGCTCCAACCCTGGTACTGGGGGGAAGCTTTTTTCCAGGAGCCACACCTATGGCTTGGATGAAGTCTTGATCCTTGTAAAACATTGTAAAGCTTTTTATTAGATTTGGCTCTTGGCTTGCTTAAAATTAAGCTTTTAAGGGGCACAAGGTGCCTCACAAACACTGGTATCGGAAAAAGTATCTTGGTTACCCCAGTGCAAAAATTTGATTTAGAGATGGGGTGGGCTGGTATCGGTCTTCTGTGACCTACCCACTCACTCTCTTGTTTGAATCCCCATGGTGGGATTTAATTTTACAAAGCAAGGGGTGGTTGCTCCACACTTTGGCTGTGTTCACACCAAACATTTAAAGCACATTATTCCTCCCCAAAGAATCTTGGGAACTGCACTTTGCCCCTCCAAGAGCTACAATTCCCATCACCTTTAGCAAACTACAACTCCCAGGATTATGCGCTTTGAAATGTTATGGTGTGCAGTATCCAGGTTATCTGCCTTAAATTATGCAGAACATGCCTTATTTTATGAGAAAGTAAAAAGTGTGCTGCTGGAAGGTAAAAAGTGTGTCCATTTGCTGAGGTGGGTATTCTTTGCAGGAATTCCAACCCCAGCTGCTGCCCAAGTGACCCTATGGGAACTGGACATTGGCTATTGGGTTCACTGGCCTAGCACCATATGCACTGAGACCCCCCCCCCCAATTCAGAGAACACCCTGCCTTCAACTTAAATTGGCAAGGAAAATCATGGGATTAGGCACACAGTAACAGCGTAGGAAGAACCTAGGAATATAGGAAGCTCTCCCGGGTCCACCTAGCTGAGTATTGTGGACACTGGCTGGCAACAGCTCTCCAGGGTTTCAGACAGGAGTCTCTCCTGCCCCTACCTGCTTGCAAGGCAGATTATCTAGCACTAAGACATGACTCTTCTCCAATGCATACACCTAAGAAAAAACAGGAACTGGACTTACTTTTAAAAAACCAGGTCCAGCTGTAAGCCCCTACCTTTCTATCTTCTTCAAACAGAATTGTGTATAATTTTAATTTGAAATAAGAGAGAGAAAGGGAGAGAGAGGGAAAACAACACCCAGCCGCAGCAGCAGCAGCAGCGTGACTGTAAAACAGATCTCTCTCTCTCTCTCTCTCTCTCTCTCTCTCGGCAGGGACCAGCCCTTCTGTGCTTTAATGAAGGGCTTTAACCTTTTCATTCACCAAAAACATAACTCAACATTTTAATAGCACGCCTTGTTGCATGACAAAAATTTGCTCCTGGCAATCATGGTTTCGACCACAAAACCACAGGAGGGAGCAGCTCTTGGTTAACTCTTTCAGGGCTGCCCGCTGCCTCGACGCACTTCTGGCTTGCTGACAAGGCCCTGCTTGTTAAAAGCTTTGTCTGAGGCTATGTGCACACCACACGTTTAATGCACATGACTTTCCCCCATAGAATTGTGGGAACTGTAGTTTACCCCTCACAGAACTACAGTTCCCATGATTCTTTGTGGGAGGCTCTGCACTTTAAATGCAGCCCATGTTCGATCACATGCAAAGGTGCTCTTTTTCAACCTATTTTTTTTTCCTTCCAGTGAATGGAATGCAGCTTTAAAGAGCTTGGGGACGTCTCCTGCCACATTTTGCCATTGCTGTCACAATCTAGATTCTCATGAACTCTGCACACTATTCGCAACAGACAGCCAGAGCCAGCCATGGTTTTCCTAATAAGTATGGACACACGTGTGTACGTTACTGGATTTTTTTCAACACTGGATTACAGCGGAATGTGTAAACTTTCTTCATAGAAAAGTACTGCATCTGGGAGTGATGGGAAAGGGCCTCCTTGCCCATGTGGTGAGGTGGTTGCCTCAGGGGGCAGATCCACCTCCTCCCTCGCCCCCACCTCCTCCTGCTCCATGCCCAGGTCACCTCTGACTATTCACTGTGTGGGCTGGGGGTTATGGGAGTTGGGAGCCCAGAAACATCTGGAGGGCCACAGGTTATTCACAGCCTCCACACACCCTCTGGTGTAGGCTGCCATCACTTCACACAAGTCAACGTAGAGTGTCTTAATTGGGTGGATTTTTCCAAAAAATGGGCTCATCTAAATATGCACATAACAAAATCCATTCATTTAGTGAAAAGAAATCCAGGAAGAAAACATTTCTCCACATGTTTTCTTTCAGTTCTGTATTTCAGACATAAGAGCCACAAATTATGTCCCTTGTCTCAGAAGGACGCTGAACACTATTCCTCTTTCTTCTGCATGGTGCAGCGTCTAGATTAGGAAGTGCATGGAGGTCCTGGTTCAGATGCTAACACGCCCAGGAAGCTTAGCGTTGTGTCCATTGGGCCAGTCACCATCTCAGCCTAACCTCCTACCTCATAAGGATGTTGTGAGGAACAGGGAAAGCACGAATGCCTCCTACATTTCTTTAGAGCGGAAACAGGAAACCTGTGGCACCCCATATGTTTTGGCCATTGGCCAGGTTGATGGGAGCTGATAGGAATTGGAGTCCGGCCATATTTGAAAGGCCACAGGTTCCCCAACCCTGCTTCAGAGGAAGGGTGGGAAGGTAACAGCAATGAAAATTATTGCCTCAGCACAGGGGCTACCATGTCGAGCTATATTCTGGGTCTCTCCTACCCCCGAAATAATACTATCTTATTTAGTTGTTTAACAAGGTTTATAAGCGGCTGAATTTTAAAAGAACAACAACTTGCAAGTGGGTTACATAACACAAAATATTCCTAAGAAAATACAAATAAAAACAATTTGATATTTCTTTCCTTCAAAGTATGAGGCAGGGGTTCTTGCCACTTTCCTCCTCAAGGTCTGTATATTTACTTGTACCTCCCAGAAGCCCGGCGCCAAAGTTTTGAACAAGCAATTTACATGAACACTGTGGCTGAACTGCCATTTTGGTAAGGGAGTTCATTTCTCACTTTTGCTCATCCCTTCCTCAAAGCCCTCCTGGCTATTCTGGAAATGGTTATTGAACCGAGCCCATCCCCAAATGATTTTGACCTCGAGGGCATTGTCTCTTCTGCTCTTGTCAAAGAAGGTGCTCTTTGAAGGCACCTGCAGTTCTCCCAAAGTTCTGCTGCCCACGCCTTCAGGTCAAAACCAACCCATATAAAGTCTGGCCATTGATCATCCTCCTGATCAATCATTCGGAATAAGCTTGCCCATCACATGCCTGCATAAGCCACACAGTTCAAACAGAATAGAGGTGGCAGACAGGCTCACTTGTATCCATTTAGCTGAAAGCATCAAAGCAAATGAAGCCACAATTCTCAAGACAGGAGAGAAAGCAGAAAATACTTTAAACAGCACCTCCCCCCCAACCCCCCCCCAACCATTAGCATTCAGCATCACAAAAGAAATAGGTGAGTAACTTCCTTTGAAAGAGAAGGGAGGATGGAGTAATAAAGCCATTAATTTTGAGGGAGCGCTGAAACAGCTGGGACATTGACTCACACAATCTCTTTGGTCTGAATTGCCATTCAGTATATCTGTATATAAAAGCCAAGACCACAACTAAATGGTTGGCCACTGTGGGAACAGGATGCTGGACTAGGTGGGCCACTGGCCTGATCCAGCACTCTTCTTATGTCCCATTTTAGGAAAGGCTCTCAAACTTTTACCATTCAAAGACTTCACAAGGGAAAGTGTCCAAACACCTGCTCATTACATGGGCTTGATTGGCAGTTCTTCAGAACAGGATCCTCTTTTGGTTAGGCTGTTTTAGAAGAGGAATTGGGAACCTGTGGCCCTCCAGACTCCTGTTGGACTCCGCCTCCTCTCAGTCCCAGCCAACATGACTAGTAGTTCAGGGATGGTGGGAGTTGTAGTCCAGCAACATCTGGAGGGGCACAGAGCCCCCAGCCCTGCTTTATAAGGTGCCTTGTACACAGGCTATCCTGCAACAGCAGTGATGACAATTATGATACCACTGGAGTACACATGCACACATTTTACAGCTTGCACACAAGCTAGTATTTTACAGCCAGCAACTTGCATTTGGTCCGGGTGCCATAATTAAGGCAAGCTAAAGTTCCTTTGATCTATAAACTTCCCTCTAGCTACTGCTTAGAACCATAGAGGCAGATGCAACAGATGCCTCCAGCTATAGGAACTTAGCAGCAACAAAGCATCAGGATCAAATCAATTTCTAGCACAAACTAGAAACGCCTACTTCATGCCATGACCAGATGACCAGAGAAGGTGTGGAAAGCTTGCATGCACGGATGAGGAAAGTTATAGAATCACAGAATTGTAGAGTTGGAAGGGATCTTGAGGGTCATCTAGTCCAACCCACTGCAATGTAGGAATCTTGTTGCCCAATGTTGTAGTAACAAAGGCAAAATTGTAGATTTTCTGTAAGGCTGCTGAAATTACACATGCAAGACACTTAGAGCCATTTTAAAATGTATAGCATTATTTATGTACCACTTATCAAAAAATATCTAGGTAGTTCACATAAAATGGTATAAAATAGTCATTAAAATAGCAATAAGAGAGAGCACAGGAAGCCATCTTTTCCTGAGCCAAACCATTAGTCCATCTAACAATATTGTCTACACTGACTGGCAGCAGCTGCCCAGGATTTTAGATATAGAGTTTTCTCTCAATCCTAGCTGTAGGCCTACATGCCAGAGATTGAACCTGGGACCTTCCTCATAAAATACAATGCACTTCCAATGAAAGGTATGTGGGGAAGTCACTCCCATTAAAAAAGAGAGTAAGGCCTGTTTCTTAAAACAGAAGACACACAGGAGCCTTAAAATGGGGTTGCCAGCTTGTTCCATGGCCCTGCTTATGCCATAAATTGTAGTCTGTTCACAAAAAATTAAATGAACCAAGCTGTTCCCATGACTTCATCTCAATTGAAGCAAAAACTCCACTTGTTTAGAATGAGCTGCTATTAAAGACACAAGAGCAATTCTAGGAGAGAAAATTAGCAGCCCTAACCTAAGGGCAACTGTGTGTACAGACAGACAGGCAATCAGGTAAACCATTCATCTTTGAAAATACAAATGAATAAGCTAACTCAAGAAAATATGTGTACCAAGGAGGGAAAAGCAGTAGGATAAGTTTTTACTAGTGATCCGAGAGTCGGTGCAAGATATGGGCTGTGTGTACACATCTAGCACATACCAGCTCTTGGTTTGCAAGGCAATGTACACACATCAATCACAATCTGTATCTATCCTGTGGTTTATTGTGAAATATCCCATTTTGATTAATCCCTCCCCCCACCCCCAGCTTTGATCTAAACTGAGAAGACCTAGCTGTACAGTAAGCCTGAAACTTATGCACATTTAACTTTTGCACATTCAGCTTTGCACGCTTGCCAGAAATGTTTTTTTTAAAAGGGGGCGGAAAGAGGGGGAGGGGTGTCCAGGGAAAAGACTTTGGCAATTCCACCTGCCATTGAACCCAATGTGTTTTTGGCTAGGTGCGATTTTGGCTTTAGGTGCAATTCCTGGAACATTAACACCCCCCCCCAACTGTACTTCAAACCAGTAATGTGTACACGGGCATAGTAATCTGAAGGCATAGCCTCATTGTGCCCCACCCCCTGGTGGCCACAGGAGATTCTGTGTTTGAAAGGAGATGCGTTTGCATTGCGCATTTGGAACCCTGAAGGTGGCCACACTCTATCTGAAGCAATAATTACATTTTTGGGAGAGGAATCAGTTGTGATTTGCATATGGCCCATTGTCAGGCTGAATGGAAAGTAGCCAGCTTAGAGTCACTGCACAACCTGAAAGCTCTCACATTACTTCAACTAAACTTTAGTCCAATAGGAAAGCTTTTCATATTCTGTAGGTTTAACAGCTACCCATGCAAAGGAAAATATCCAGCTGTTCCTCATCTGAAAGAGCACAATACTGAATTCTGCTGAACATAATAGGTGTCCCCTGTTTCAGAGCACATCTTCCCACATCCTTTAATGATGAAATCATGAAATTCAGGTCTGGGAATTAAACGTGATACCAAATGTATGTGTACAGGAGGCAGATTTTCCAGGTTTCAACTTTCCAATGAAAAACGTCAATAATATCCCACATAATACTTTCCTGGGTCTGACTGTAACTAAAAAGTCTTAATTTTCATCACTCAGTTCTGCTAAGGAAGTAATTAGGGGTGAATCATATGCAAGCAAGCTTCAAGTCTGCTAGGACATCTCCCTTTGACTTCAGATGACATTATTGTGATTAATTTTAAATACCCACCCTTCACTAGAAGGTCACAAGGTGAGTTACATCAATATAAAATATAGCGTTAAGAACAAATCATAATTGCAACTAGAGTGGGTCCTAAAATGATCCTAGAGGAGTGGCCCTCCATACTGGACTTCTGGCAGTGCGATTTTCCATAAGCACTTGATGTAGTGCTCTTGCCTAATAAACGTGCTAGTCTTTAAGGTGCCACAAGATTCTCCCCAAAGGTGTGTTTTCATCAACATTTGGGAACGAACTACAGTCCTTGCGCGCACGAACACGCAGAGACACACTCAACTCAGAACCACTTTCCATATCCCACTGTGTCTATGAAATCAGTCTGTCGAAAATTACACACATCCAGGGGAAAACCTCATTGAAAGATCGCGGTAAAGGGAAACCGTATCCTAGAGCGGACACACACCAATAAGAACCCTCTTCGGAAAAATAACCGCACACTAAACATCCCGAGGAAGGAGGGAGACGAAGGAAACTGGCGACACTTCCTTCACTTGCGATTTCTCCCCCAGAATTTAGAATGTTAGGACACGATCCAGCCGAAGTTAAATACTTTTAATTTATTTCAGCGCGGAAGTCAAGCACACTCCCTTGGCTGCCACCCACCACCGCACAAGTTTCTTTAAAAAGGGTTCAGTTTCGGCTGGATTTTACCCAGAAAACACCGACTTTTCTTCTTTTTAGAAATAAAATAAACAGCGCATTAAAGCATCACACAGCCTAAAGGTTTGCTGTTATTAAGGAGGACATCAGAGAATGCTAGGCAAGAAGGCGGAAAGGCTGAATTTCCCAGCTCTTTCTTAAAGAACTTTCATTGGAGAAGTGGCTACCTTAAATCACAGCACAAGTGGGAAGCCTTAAAATCTGTCTCCGCTGAAAAACGCGATCGCTCAAAGTAATAAAAAGCAATTAACTTACTCGATCTCATTAGACATGTTCCCCCAACGTTTTCCACTCCCTCGCCAACAGTAAGATCTTCAGATATTTTCCCACCTCTTTTAACCTCTACTAATACCCTCTTCTAAACAGAGACATCACCTGGAAAGTGAAGAGTTGGATTCAAGTTAGAGGTTTATGTGTGGTGCAGGCATTCTGCTGACAGGTAAGGTCTCTCGAGGCTTGCTTCTGATTGGCCGGAGGAGACAGGTGCCAGAAGACAGGTACACCTCAGCAGGTGCAAGGGTTAACCCTTTGCAAACCGAGCAGCCAGTTGCCGAGACAAGGAGCTACCTTTTTATTGCTGGGGGGGGGGGGATGAGTGAGGAGGCAAAAGAATAAGGAAAATTCCTGGAGGGCAAAAAGATGGAAGACCAAAAAAAAAAAAAAAAGTGGCATGGATTCTCTTATGAAATCTTTTGGGTTTGTGTTCATTGTCAGGAATTTTGGATTTTTAGACAGTGCAAGGGTGAAGCTGTCCACCTGTTACTCTTGGAAGAGAGGGGAGTGGGGGAAGCCTTTTGTCTGCGAGGAACAAAAAATCAAGAAAATGTAGGACAATATGTGCGATGTTGTTTTGTTGTCTTCTTATAGTGATTCAGTGAAATGTTTTGCATCTGTCAATCTGTACCAACACTTCTTGATAACTTAATTTAAAAAGTTAATGGCTAAAAATAAATAAAACCTGGTCTATTTTTCATGCACATTGTCAACTAATCTGTACTGATGGACATGTCGTTGTTGTTGTTAAACTTGTTGGTTGCTTTTCAAACTGACATACAATATATAAACAAATGCATACATTTTTCAAATAAAGGTGATGCCAAAGGAGTCAAAGTCTGTTGCCTTTTGTCGTTTACTAAAGTCAAGTTTTCCCACCCTTAAAGTACTTCGTTCAGAGAAGCTGCACAGAATGAAATTCTCTCTTGTGTATGCAAGCTCAGTTTGCAGCTGGCTGGGGCTGAGGGAAGCCTTGGTCCAAAACATAGGGAAAGGCACCAGGTTGGGGGAGGCTGCCTTACAAAGTGATCAAGGCAGATCACTTTGAGATGTTATCATTGCCACCTTACAGGGGAGACATCAGAAGGTGCCACCAACTGAGCCAGACCATTGATCCATCTAGTTCCCTATGGTTTAAACTGCCCAACAGCAGCTCACCAGACCAGGAGTCTTTCCCAGACCACCTTAGGCAGGGGTCAGCAACCTTTTTCAGCCAGTGGTGTCCCTCAGACCTTGCGGGGGCCAGACTATATTCTGAAAAAAAATATGAATGAATTCCTGTGCCCCACAAATAACCCAGAGATGAGTTTTAAATAAAAGGACACAGTCTACTCATGTAAAAACACACTGATTCCCAGACCGTCTGTGGGCCAGACTGAGAAGACAATTGGGCCGCATCCGGCCCCCAGGCCTTAGGTTGCCTACCCCTGACCTTAGGCATGCCAGGAATTGAACTTGGACCTTCCTGCATACAATGCATGTGCCAATTCTTTCCTCCCCACAAAGTGTCTTTTAACTGCACTCCTCACCATGTCTACTCAGAAGTAAGTCCCACTGAATTAAATGGGGCTTACTCCTGGGAAAGTGGGGCTAGGATTGCAGCATATGTGCTGTTGTCCACCTCCTCCTCTTCCTTCCTCTTCCTAATGTAAACATGATGGTAGGTGACAAGTCCTGTGCCACGCTGCACGGCTTTCTTCAAAGCAGGTTCTTTGACCTGAGCATACATGATCACACCGCAGAGTTTATTAGCCCTGCCAGGCACTGTGCTGCGCTGATGCACTACCAAGTGAAATGGCTGAGGGCTGTTAAAAAAGACTCGGACATGTGCAACGCCACATCATTCATTTATCACGATTCTTTAGATCCCATCTTTTAGGACACAAGACAAGTTATCCTGGTCCGAGTTGCCATCATATGTACATTGAGTCTATATTTTGATGGCTTTCTTTCCCAGAGGTCAGCCATTCATTTCCCAGGAGTAGCCTGCTGCTCCAAGCTGTGGCGTTTAGGACAGTCTAGCCAAAGAGGCTAAAGCCACTTCCATTTCAGGCCCACAAATCAGCACAAGGTAGTGACAGGATTCTACAAGCAAAGAGAGTTTTCAGTGGGACAGCCTGAACACCCCTTAATAAAGAGAGACTTGACATCACTGCTCTTAAGTAACAGCACTTTCCAGTTATTGAACCCACATGTGGTTATTGGTGTCACCAGTTCAAAGGAAATGTTTAAGAAGATTTCCTTCCGGACATCATCCCTGTGCTTTTATCCTGTTTCCTGCCACACCCAATGGAAATGAATCTGCTGTTCTTTTTAGTGGGAAAGTCTATGCACTTCTGTTATATACAACTCAAAATAGTCCAGAATCCAGGGTACAGTGGTACCTCAGGTTAAGTGCTTAATTCGTTCCGGAGGTCCGTTCTTAACCTGAAACTGTTCTTAACCTGAAGCACTACTTTAGCTAATGGGGCCTCCCACTGCTGCCGTGCTGCCGACGCACGATTTCTGTTCTCATCCTGAAGCAAAGTTCTTAACCCGAGGTATTATTTCTGGGTTAGCGGAGTCTGTAACCTGAAGCGTCTGTAACCTGAAGCATATGTAATCCGAGGTACCACTGTATTTGAAGGACTGCCTTTTCTCATATAAATCTCCCTGTTCCTCAATATCATCATAGGGTGTCCTCCTCTAGGTCTCCTTGCTTGCAGAAATTAGGCCGGCGGCGACCAGGGATTGTGGCACACTCTGGTGGCACAGAAATTGCGGAACATTTATTTTGTGACTAATATTCCATCTGTGGGGCAAGAAGTCAAAACTGTTTTATTTCCCTGAGCATTTAGCAGATTATTATTATTAATATTATTATTTCCCTTACAGCTATCTGATTACATATTGTTTCTTGACATTCAAATTTATGTTTGGATTGGTTTTTTCAAGGTGGTTGTGGCTGCTGCTGCTGTCATTTCATTGTTTGTGGCTCTGTTTCAGCTTTCTTAGCTGCCTTGAAGGCTTGGTAGAGATGAGGTTGGGTACAACAAAAGTTTTAAACAAAACAAAATATAAATAGAGCTGTTCTCTGTGCAATGCAGTCCTTTATGGTGCACATACTTATTCAGCAGTAAGTCCCAATAAATTCAGTAAGCGAGTTAAGATTTGCAGCCTTAATCAGGTAGATTAAGGGCGGGGAACCTCAGATTTAAGACACAGAACTGAATTGTAGAGTTGGAAGGGATCCAGAGGGTCATCTAGTCCAACGCCCTACAATGCAGGGATCCTGCCCACACTCATCCCTGGGTGGGCTCAAACCACCAACCTTCCAGTTAACAGCCAGACTCACTGACCCATTGCACCACCTGAGGGCTCATAATTGCTGTTTAATTAAACAATCTCTTTTTTGCAAAAATTCAAATTGTTTTTACACTGCTTCTTAAATGCTCATCTTAGAAAAGCATCATCTTAGAAGAGGCATTCCCCCCTGTCACACACACATATTAAGCAGGAGGTGCCACATATGCAGAAATGTGCCACCTAAAAAATCAACTGTATGTTTCCCCTCCTCAAACTATTGTTTTTTATATGTGCAGATTGATTCACATTTAACCCATGAATTAATCAATTAAACACCTCGTTGGCTTATTTGGCTGCATAAACCGTACTCCTTCAATGCTTGTCTTTTGGGCTCCCTCTCCTTAACACAGCCACAGATTCAAACTCGGCTATTGTCGAGAAGTTAAGATTTATGCAACAGAAACAAAACTAATTGAGTATTCAAGCACTTCCCATCCTCCTGGAGAGTTTCTGTCACCCACGTTGCAACGAGAGTAGGCAAGTGGATGGGCTTGGCGTCTGACTCACTTCAGTTGGGGATGGAAGGCAATTCAGCGGAGGATTCCAAGCGACATGTCGGAACAAGCCGATTTGAAAGGAAGGAAAAAGTTCAGCATACCCTCCCTCTCTCTCCCCATCTCTCTTTCTGTCTCTTATCAACAAAAGTGTTTCCATCTTCTCCCTCTAGGGAAGACTTGCAGCTTAAACAGTGCCAGATTTACGCACAAGCTAAGTAAACGACAGTTTCGGCCCTCAGATTATGAGGGGCCTCTAAACACACACACACACACACACACACACACACACACACACACACAGATATAGTAATTTTCAAGGGTTACATAATTGGCTGAAAAATAATGAAATAATAGGGTTATGTCCAGCTGGAATTAGTGGCCATATGTCTGAGTAGACCTTGCATTGGATGCAGCCTGTATACTTTTTCTTGTAATGTTTTGGACCTCTTAAATTTTATATCGTATGGGGTCTCAGCTTTAAAAATGCTTATGAAAATACAAAGACACCCCCCCACCCCGCCGCCGAAGGATGTGACTCTGACCCTCCAAGTGTCCTTATTTTCCAGGGATGTCCCTGATTTAGAGAAGCCGTCCCGGTTTCTGATTGCATCCTGGAATGTCCCACTTTTCCTTAGGACGTCCCTATTTTCATTGGAGAAATGTTGGAGGGTATAGAGTTATCCGACCCCCAAGCCATCTGAAGGCAATCCTGTATAGAGAAGGTTTTTTAAAAAATGTTTAATGTTTTGTTATGTTTCTATATATGCTGGAAGCAGCCCAGAGCGGTTGGGGCAACCCAGTAAGATGTGTGGGGTATAAATAGTAAAATTATCATTATGGAATGGGACGTCCCTATTTCCACTGGAGAAATGTTGGAGGGTATGGTGAACGAGTAACCTTCGGGGGAGCAGAGAAAAATGGAGATGTTGCTGCAGGGCAGACTTTGGTAGCTGCGTCACCACACAACCAGGTAACCTGTGAACCCTTTTTTTGTGTGCACATCTCTTTTTGAGGGTATTTTTTTGGGGGGGGGTAAGTTTATATCCCAGAATGTAATGTGTGAATGAGACAAATGTAATTGCAGGCAAGGGCTGTATGCACACACCATCTCATCAAGAGGTGCATTCTTCTGTACAACATAGCTAGGAACCGGGCTTTTGGTGTGATAAAACTCCCACCTGTTACATATCAGACAGGTGCCATCTTGACTGTCTTTTTGGTGCACTCTAAAGATTGTTTATATTGCGCTCTGTGGATTGTTTAAATTGTTAATTGTTTCACGGGAAGCGAAACGAAACAGAGCAAAATAAGTAAATAAGCATGCGATGTCATCAGGGCCGGATTTAGGTTTGATGAGGCCCTAAGCTACTGAAGGTAATGGGGCCCTTTATATGTCCAGCTGTCCTTTGTCAACAACAAATTGTCACTGTTTTTTGTGTTGACTATACAGTAGTACCTCGGGTTACATATGCTTCAGGTTACATATGCTTCAGGTTACATACGCTTCAGGTTACAGACTCCGCTAACCCAGAAATATTACCTCGGGTTAAGAACTTTGCTTCAGGATGAGAACAGAAATTGTGCGATGGCGGCGCAGCAGCAGCAGCAGGAGGCCCCATTAGCTAAAGTGGTGCTTCAGGTTAAGTACAGTTTCAGGTTAAGAACGGACCTCCAGAACGAATTAAGTTCTTAGCCTGAGGTACCACTGTATGCTATATGGTAATTTATGGACCTAATTGGTATCTAAAGCCATTTGCACATGACAAAATATGTATTTTATCGAAGTACATCCAGTTTTTCCCCTTTTATTTCCCCCCCCCAAGAGACTGGGGCCCTAAGCTATAGCTTGTTTAGCTTATACAGTCATACAAAAGTGCAAAATGACATCACGTGCAAGCGCAGAAGCAGCAAATCGCAACCCGCGCGTGTGCAGATGTGCCGCTGAGGGTTGCATTCTTTTCATGTTGCGAATGGGCCTCTGGAATGGATCCCGTTCGCAACCAGAGGTACCACTGTATGTAAATCCGACACTGGATGTCATCAAAGGACCCTCATGAGGGAGCCAGAACTGGCTGCAGGAAGTCCATGTTTCATGCTGTTCAGCAGAGCACAGGAGCGACAGCTGGTGCCCAGTGATTCATTCATTATTATGTTTTTCAGATTTCCTACCCGCCCTTTACAACAGCAAACACACAAGTATAAAACAAATAAACCATATTTGTTTTTGTTTACCAACCATAAAGCAGGAATACTGCAAAAATCATTAGAAGCTGTTGCATATAACAATTTATTTGCTATTTATTTCAACAACTTATATATACCAATCACGGTCATCTCTAGGAGGTGTGCAAAACCTCAATACAATGATTTTTTTAAAAAAAATTATAAAATCTGACTTTAGTTGAAATATCTGCTGGAACAAAAAAAAAAAAAATCTTCAGTAGATTCTGGAAGTTCAACAGGAAGAGTTGACCTTAAGTGGAAGGCAGTTCTACAAAATTGGGGCCACAATACCTGAATGCAGCGCTCCTGGTAGACATCTGAGCCATGGGGAAATCACATACATAAAACAGCTTAAAACAAAACAGATCCCATATATAGAAGAAGAACTCTGCATATAAAAGCAGCTAAAAATAGGTGCAATATGACAGATGGGATAAAAATCTCCACTTAAAAGGCTTGTTGAAAGAGGAAAATCTTAAGCAGACCCTAGAAGGGCAACAGAGATGGTGCCTGTCTGATATGTAAAACAGGAGTTAGGTGCCACCACACTAAACAGAACAGATCTCCTCCCAAGATTGTATCTGTGGGAGGCCCTCTCACAGTGCTCAATTAAGTATACAAGGGGTGAGATGATCTTTCAGGTCTGATGCCGGCCAGCAAAGAGTTAAAGAACAGGGCACCTTTGAGCACATTTTGAGCCTAGGGATTTGTTCTCAGAAGCAGCGGTGGCTTCTAATCAGATGGGCCATGATTAATTAATAAACTGAATTAATGACTTTATGTATACTATGCACTGACAGTTAAGAAAATTCTTATGCCCTTATGCATGCCAGGCAGAAATCGGACAGGAGAAACTGCAGCCTGACACACATATATGGTGGGATGGGTGGGAAGATGGTCATGCTTGTTCAGTTTCACCCCACCCTGAAGGTGTGGGGGGGGGGGGAATGGAAGCCCAGCAGTGGGATTGCATTTGTGCAGTCATTACTAGCCAAGTGAATATCTCCGTAACACAGAGAGATGTATAAGAGACCCTGTTGTGTCCTGGACATGAATAGGAGCATGTTGAAATAATTTCTGTTACAAGCTGCCAAGATGCCTCCAGGCTTGGGCACCTAAATATTAGACACCCCCTCCCCCCCTCTCCTTCCTTTCCTCCCTCTGATTTTGGTATTTTGAATTTGTATCATCTGTCTTTTTTCAAAAACAACAACTGATACTCCACCTTCTCAGAGTGTTTGGGGGAATGGGTGGGAAGAGCCAGACATTCTCCCATGCACACGGGTGACCCACTCCCTTTCCACTCCCCTGCTAAATATACCTTGGAACAAAAGCCCTTTATGATATTCTAAAAATAAAAGCGAGACAGGCAGTTAAGATGAACGGCACCAGGACCGAGCTGGTATTTCAAGGGAAATCTTAAGAAGAAATGAAAGCACTGCAGTACGTATTGTAACAAATCTGAAAGCCTACAGAACAGAACATTTAACAGCGTATATAATTGTGGCAAGCTGATCAGGACCTATTGAGATGCCTTTCAGATGTGAGGGTGAGCAGGCATGAGCTGGGTACCACGTACTTTTGGAGTCACCTTTGGACTGTCAGTATTTTTGCGGAGGGATCCAAGTGCACACCGGGGTGTTTAGGTTTGCGCAGTGAAAGTGGATTCAAGTCACTTGTCACTGTAGCACAACAAATCTGTTTCAAAAAAGAGACAGACTCTTTGCTGTTAGGGAAGTGATGGGGAAATGTATTGGAAAGTACAGTGGTACCTCGGGTTACATACGCTTCAGGTTACATACGCTTCAGGTTTCAGACTCCGCTAACCCAGAAATAGTGCTTCAGGTTAAGAACTTTGCTTCAGGATGAGAACAGAAATTGTGCTCCAGCGGCGCGGCAGCTAAAGTGGTGCTTCAGGTTAAGAACAGTATGGACCTCTTGAATGAATTAAGTACTTAACCCGAGGAACCACTGTACAGAATGAACTGATGGTTAACAGGGAGACATGTAGACACCCTGCAAGCAAACCAGGATGAATGTTTACTGTCATATAACTGCCCCGCAAACAAATAAGAATGAATGTTCAATAATGACCAGATAGAACCTCTGAGTAAGCCGGGGTCGGGCGGTGAATGCTTAATAGATATCACCCAGAGTAACTGGTTAACTCTCGCTGCAGGAGCAGCTGCAAAGATCAGGCAGTGAGGGTGGCAGGGTTGTGATAAATCTTCCGCTTCAAAGGGTGGCAGGAGTGACTGGTGACAGGTGGAGCAGCTAATCATTTTAGAACCAACCAATGGTTGTAATAAGTGGCAATTTCACTGGCAATTGGAGGGTAACTCTAGTTGCAGGAGCAGGTAAAAGCTCAGGCACACATGCATGCAAATACATTGCATACAGTGGTACCTCGAGTTACAAACACTTCGGGTTACAGACTCCGCTAACCCAGAAGTAGTACCTCGGGTTAAGTACTTTACATTAGGATGAGAAGAGAAATCGTGTGGCGGTGGCGCAGCGACAGCAGGAGGTCCCATTAGCTAAAGTGGTACCTCAGGTTAAGAACGGACCTCCGGAACACATTAAGTTTGTGACCAGAGGTACCACTGTACAGTGAGCTAAACGGGACTGGAGATAACGGGTTCCACTAGCAAAGTGTTTTGTTTTGTACACAAGCATGCAGTCTGCGGTGTTAAAATCTGTGATTCAGGCAAGCAAGCCATCCCGTTTTTCATGGCAAGAGCTTACCAAGAACAAGGAAGACAACAGAATACCGTCTCAAACAGTGAGCAAAATCACGAGGATAAAAACACGGGCTCAACATTGGCTTGGAGTTGTTTACATTTGCTTGTGGATGTCAGTGGACACCAGATACAGGGCATTGGCTCTAAACTGAGGAGTAGTGCCATTCAGATGTCGCTGGACTCCAACTCCCATAATTCCTGGCCATGCTGGCTGGTACTGATGTGAGTTTTGAGCCAACCATAGCCGGAAAAAATCACCCTGGTTGCCCCTGCCCTAACATGCACAAGCAGAAGCAGAGTGACCCAGGGAAGTCATTGTTCTGTGAGTGTTTGGGACTTTTTAGTTTAGAGAAAAGTGAGTAAGAGATGATGGAAGCTTATAGAATTCTGCATGACACGGAGAAAATGAATAGATAAAAGCTTTTCTCTTTCTCATGGACATCCAATGAAGCTGCGGGTGGTAAGAGCTAATGAATACTTTTAAGAGAGGACTCCATATTCTATTTATTCTATTTGCATTTTCTGTAGTCGTTATTTTATTGCATTATGAAAAACTGTAATCTCACATTTTAAAAAGGGATGCTTTCATTAACATTTACATTTTGTTATATTTTGTAACTTGTGAATTATGTATTTTTCTCCTTGTAGACTGCCTTGTGAGTGTAGTTTTCTATGGAAAGCTGTCCTATAAATAAGTGACGGCGTTGATGATGACAAGAAGCCAGGAGATGGAAAAAACAAGGTGATTCCTCCCCATCTGCATTCTCTTTCCCCTGCTCAAAGGGATATGTACCAGTCGTGTTGCCATCCTCTGCAAAAGATAGGCGGTAGGAAAATTCCTAGTGTTTTCTTCCCTTTCCTTTCCATCTCGTTCTACCAGTTTTCTTATAGAAAAAAAAAAGAGTTTAGATTGTAAACAGCGTAAACGTCTTAGAGGCAACTGCTTTCAGTTTAAATATGTCAACAAATAACATGTCCCACACAGGGCACTTTTCAGTTTAAGGTTACTTTCAGATGCACCCTTCACCTAGTTTAGGAAGAGGCGTTTGTTGTCACTTTTTGGAAAATCAGAGATCTGACATGGTTAACAGCAGGGTAGCCGCTGTATGAAGCAGGCTTTGTCATCCTGGTGCGCTCCACATGGTTGAGGGCTGATGGGAGTTGTAGTTCAAAACATCTGGAGTGTCCCAGAGAGCACAGAGGAAAAGAGAGAAAAGAAGAAGGCCGTTTGGGGCCTACGCACAAGATTGCAGCCATTTATTCCAGAAGAAATATTTGACATTAGGCAGACGCCCTCGCTGCATAGTTTGAGACGCCTGCTGAAAACTGCTTTTACTTCAGCAAGCCTGCCCAGACATATAATTTCGTCACTTATATTCATTTTAAAAGCACTGATGTTATCTGTGCTTTAATGATAATTATCTAATGTACACTTGCTTGTAATAGCTTTGTGGATTTCAGCTGTGGGTTGTTTTCAATTCTGTTATGCGCAGAAAGCTCTTTGATTAAGCTGTTCATTTTCCTATATAAATAAATAAGAACGCAGTTGGAGCCGTACAGGGGTTTCATTCGCAAACAGGTTGTTGAGCTATCACAAATGGTTATATCACTAGTTTTGTCCTTTAAAGCTTTATGAGGCTCAGAATGCCAATACCTCAAGGTCTGCCTCTCCTGACATGAACCACCCCAGAACCTGAGTTTATCATTGGGGCGCTTCTTTGTGTACCCATTCCACAAGAGGTTCAGAGGGTGGCAACATGAGAATGGGCCTTTTCTGTAGTGGCTCCCTCATTATGGAATGCTTTCCCCAGGGAAGCATGCCTGGCACCATCACTGTCTGTTTTTAGGCACCAGGCAAAAACATTCTTATTTCTCCAGGCTTATGTTTTGTTTTTTTTATTGGGTGGGTACTTAGATATGCTAGTAGCCTTGGTTGTGCAGAAGGAAAACAGAAGCAGAAAACAAGACGGCAGGTGTACTGTAGCCGTAAGCTGTGTGGAATATGGAGATGCAAATATTAAATAGCATCTACAGTATTGGCTAGAGCCTACAACACCCTCAATAAAGGCTGTCTTTCAGAGTTTTTATGTTCTTACAGTGAGACATCCCTTCCAAACTATATCCAATTTTGTAAGTTCCCTGAATCAAGGACCTGTCAGTTGTAGCCAAAGCTAGTCCTGCTCAGAGTAGACCCATTTGAATGAATGAACATGACTCTCTTAAGTCTACCAATTTCAGCGGGTCTACTTTAAGTAATACTTAGGCCTGCATACACACCGTGGATGGGATTCAGCTAAGCTGTTGTGTGTGAGATGAAGTCTACTCAGGCAACGGGACTTCCCTCCCTCTCCCCACCATGGGCTGCCCCACACCTGTTAAATCTACTCGAGGGCTGGAGGAACCCCCAGGACAAGTTTACAACAGGGAGGAAACTCCCACTGTATGAGTGGACCTTGTTCCCCATGGGCATATTCCGCTTAGCGCCATGGTGAATTCCACCCCACTTGAAGCATATTTCTCCCTCACCCCCAAGAATCCTGGAAACTATAATTCCCAGCACCCTGAACATACTACAATTCCCAGGATTCTTTGGAGGGGGTGCTTTAGATGTACTTGAACTGTATGGTGTGCATTCAGCCATAGTTGAATACAGGCCCCCCCCCCGTGTTTTCACTTATGTTATTCTGCAAAGGACCATGACAACACTAAATGCATGCAAGCAGAGAGGCTGACTTCTCTAGGGCAGGGGGACTCTGACGAGGAGTTGTGTGCAAACAGCTGCCAAGCACTTAGTGATCCATGCGATGCAAACGCCCTTTCCACAGAGCTTCCCTCTTTCACTTTTTAAGGGCTGTCATTCAGATTGTGGGAAGGAGGCCAGCCATACTGGGGTGTTGGCCAAGGAGTGCATGGAGGAGCTGGTCATAAATAGGAGAGTGCCTGGCCATTGTCATCAGGAGTAAGTTACACAGCCTGTCCTGTTCTTGATTCACACAGGATATGATTGTATCACATTCTCAGAGCACACTGGACGGTTCACCCGACGGCCATCGCCTCTCTGACCCCAGAATGGCAGACACCAGGCTGATGGCGCCTGCCGCAACCTGGTGCCCTCCAGAGGGGAAAAGGAGGGGGAGGGGAAAACGGAATGGAGTACAGTGGTGCCTTGCAAGACGAAATTAATCCGTTCCTTGAGTGTCTTCGTCTAGCGGTTTTTTCGTCTTGCGAAGCAACCCTATTAGCGGCTTAGCGGCTTAGCGCTATTAGCGGTTTAGCGGCTATTAAAGGCTTATCGGCTTAGCGGCTTAGCTGCTAAAAGGCTATTAGTGGCTTAGCGGCTTAGAAAAAGGGGGGGGGGAGCAAAAAAAAAATCTCAAGACTCGCAAGACATTTTCGTCTTGCAAAGCAAGCCCATAGGGAAATTCGTCCTGCGAAGCAACTCAAAAACGGAAAACCCTTTCGTCTAGCGGGTTTTCCGTCTTGCGAGGCATTCGTCTTGCGGGGCACCACTGTACTCGGGAAAGGGGCGAGGCAGGTTGGAATCTGGAACCAGAGCTCTGCGCGCAGCAACATTTCCTTGCAGGTCCCGTTCGTAATAATAAAAACTCCAGTGATTGGCACTTAGTCACCTGCACAGTACAATTCGGTTAGGAAAAAGAAAGGAGGGAAAGAAAGAAAGATAGACTGCTTCTAGTCACGCTCAGAATTCTTTTGTTACCCGGCCCTGATTCATCTCGTTCCGCCTCTCTCAGATGGAAAAGGCAATTGGGGAAACCCTGGAAAAGATTCCCGGTGACTCAGCGATACTTATCAGCTGCATGGACCAATTTGGATTGATCAGGATATACAAAGCAGGCTGCTGAAAACCCCCAAGTCGCTCCTGAGAAGAAGCCTCTTTCAAAATCGTTCTCAAGATGCAAATCTGGATCGCTTGTTCTTCCACACCTTTTGTTTCGTCTTCCCTTTGTCCGTCCCCCCCCCAACCATCCACCTTTCAAAAGGGAGGGAGGATTTCTCTCTGACATACGTGTCTGGGTCTTTCTTCGCCTTTGAAAACAAAATGGGCTGTCTGACCTTAAAAGCGTTCCTCCTGATTTCCCATTTCAAATAGTTTGCGTCTGGACAGCCCAGGTGGCTGCTTTCATCCGCTAGGAAATCCATTCAAGGCTCATTTCAGGCTAGATTAGGTTGTCTGATTTTTGGCTGGTCGTCTTGGACCAAATTCACGGGCGCCAATCTCAGTGATGTCCCCCCCCCCTTTTTGTATTTTTATTTATTTCAAAATGTGCAACCCACATTTGTAGCCCACGGGTTCTTCAAAGTGGAAAACGCACCAAGGTAAAACACTGTAAAATCAAATCTACGTGAATTAAGAAACAACAAAACAAGACGGGGAGAGAACCATCAGTAGCAAGAGTAGCAGCCAAGAAACCACAACAAAAGATCGGAGGCTGACTTTCCCCAAAGCTCAAGGGTATAAAATGGTTTTTTTAATGGGCATCTATATGATAGGCAGGTAGGCAGGTGTGGAGGAAGCAGAGAGGGGGAATTTGTCTTCCCTCTCTCATAAAGCTACAACCAGGGAATATCTGAATGCTGGAACACAGGAAGCTGCCTCATACTGAGTCAGACCATTGGTCCATCTAGCTCAGTATGATCTACACTGACTGGCAGCAGCACTCCAGGGTTTTAGGCAGAAGTCTTTCCTCCTCCTACCCAGATATGCTGGGAATTGAATTTGGAACCTTCTTTCCTCAGAGAGAAGATACCTTCTTGATTCTATGCAGACAAAATATTTTCCCCTCCCCCACAACACAGTTAAACTATGGAATTGAACTACGCCAGCTGGTCAATATAGGAACAACTGGTGCCTGAGTCTGGAGCTTTATTTTTCTCTTCCCTCCTGGTCCCTTGTTCCTTGTGTGTTGTTATTGTTAAATTTTATTTTTCAGAATGTAAGCCTGCAGGTATGAAGTGTCTTGTTTTGATTTCAGACAAGCCACTCTGGGAGCCTTTTTGGCTGAAGAGCAGGGTATAAAGCCACTTCCGGCCTGCCCAGGAGGTGGGGTTGCGGGCTTCACGCCCACCCCCACGTGAGCAGGGGCTGGTTCAGCCCCCGCGAGAACAGGGGAATCCCGGCGCGTCTTCCCCTCAGCCAGCCAATCGGCTGGCTGGGGGGGCGTGGCCTGCCCTATTTAGGGCTGGCGCAGAGGGGGCTCGCCCTCTTTTTGCCGGCTAGCCACCACGTTTCCCACCCTCCCTACCTTTAGGTAGGCTTTAGGTAGGTCTCTGACTTTGCTATGGACTTCGGTCTGTCGCCGCAAGGGGCATGGTAGGAATTTTTCCCAATTGACAATTTACAGCCATTTGGTTTTTCGCCTACCTCATAGCAACTCGTCACGACTCCTTGGCATTGGCGGTTAGGCATTGGTAAGAAGGGGTTAAGAGGATGTGTGTGTGGGAGGAACGCCATCACCTCCCCCCAGTGAAGGAAGGGTGGTCCGATAAAGGACTCCGGGGGGCGTGGCCCTGTCCGAAGCCTATGGAGGTGTGGGCCAAAGGCACGCCCCAAAGCGGTGACCCGGGGGAGCTCCTAGTTGACCTGCCTCAGCAGGAGACTCCCCCTCTATGGTGTTAACCCTTCCCGTGTCTCCAGCAAATGGGCTGGAGCCGGATAGTCGATAGGACCAATGCCTAAGCCAATGCCTCTCATTCCTGAATTCAATAAAGTTGCGGCCTAATTCGCTCATTTAACCTTAAATTATGGTGTCTCGTGTCTTTATTTATCCTGGTGGGGGGCGGGAACTCGCCACGCAAATGTTCTAGACAGATAGATAGGGGACTCCTACAAATCCAGTGGTGGCCACTGACTTGGGTGGCTTTAAAAGTGGGTTAGACATGGGAGCAGAAACCCTGTTGGGGGTGGGGTTGAGGGAATCTAGGAACACAGGACTCTGCTTTATAACTGAGTCAGACCAAAGGGAGTCCCTCTGCCCCCTTGATCATTTTGCCTGCCCTTTTCTGAATCTTCCCCATCTCTACCAAATATGTTGTTCCTCAATAGGATGGGATGCTTTCAGGGGGCAGAGGGAGAGTGGAGTGGCATGAATAACACATTGCCTTCTTTTCAATGCTATAGCAGCGGCATATTTGTTTTGTAACGACAATGTTGTGGTGCCGCATTCGGCATTTTCCACCAGGAGGGAAAATCCCCACACCCTTAGGGGCCAGCAGTAACATTTACTAACTGCCATCTCTGATGTTTTTAGTGCCCCATTCTTCAGCCAAATGTTGCAAAAGGAATGCTTTCTTTTCTTCTCCTTTTTTAATTTGTAGGACAAACAGGTATTTTGGTGTGGACTTAGCCCAGGGATGCTTCCGATGCCTCTTTCTTTCTTTCTTTCTTTCTTTCTTTCGTTGTCCCCTCCCCTTTTAGGAGCCAAAGCTATACTTTTCATAAGCATGTGGCTGTCACTAAAGTCAACAGTCCTCTCTTCCTGAGTCTACCCTCCCCCTGTGCCATATCTAATACAAAAAGAAGAAGAAGAGTTTGGATTTGATATCCCGCCTTTCACTCCCTTTAAGGAGTCTCAAAGCGGCTAACATTCTCCTTTCCCTTCCTCCCCCACAACAAACACTCTGTGAGGTGAGTGGGGCTGAGAGACTTCAGAGAAGTGTGACTGGCCCAAGGTCACCCAGCAGCTGCATATGGAGGAGCGGAGATGCTCAGTGGCAGAGTACCGGCTCTGCATGCACAAGGTCCTAGGTTCAATCCCCACCATCTCCTGGTAGGCCTAGGAATGTCCCCAGTCTGAAACCCTCAACAACAGCTGCCAGTCAGGGCTCATCCATACCGTTGTTTAATGTACCTCCATTAATTCTATATGACTTCCCCTCCAGATCATTGCTTTCTCATAGTCTCTCCTCTCTCAGTCCAGATTTTCTCATATCATGGAATATTTTGAGTTGTTGTTGTTGTTGTTGTTGTTGTTATCATTTATATATCCCAGCCAATCTGGGCGGCTTCCAACAGATTAAAAAAGCATACTAAAACACCAAACATTAGAAACTTCCTGATACAGGGCTGCCTTCAGATATCTTCTAAAGGTTGCGTAGTTATTTATCTCCTTGACATCTGATGGGAGGGCGTTCCACAGGGAGGGTGCCACTGCTGTGAAGGCCCTCTGCCTTGTTCCTGTAACTTCACTTCTCGCAGTGAGGGAACTGCCAGAAGGCCCTTGGAGCTGGACCTCAGTGTTCAGGCTGAATTATGAGGGTGGAGATTTCCTTTTCCTGTTTTCATCTCCACCCTGAAAAAAATCCAGACTGAAGGGGCAGAAAGTTGCAATTCCCAGAGTAGTTTAACAACCAATCCCCTCTTCATAGGGAACTCTGGGAATTGTAGTTCTGCAGGGGGAATAAGGGTTGCCTAAGAAACTACATTTCCAAGGATTCTTTGGGGAGAAGCTATAACTGTCTAAACTGGCATGATACTGCTTTAAATGTTTAGTGCAGATGGGGCCTTAGTCATGATGTCCAGTGATACATGTACAGCAGGGATGGCAAACTGTGAAGCTCTCCAAAGGATGTTGGACTACGGATCCTATAGTCTCTGGCTATTTACCATTTCAGGTGGGGCTAATGGGTGATCCAGTTTAACATTCTGAAGGGCCATAGGGTCGCCATCTCTGATTTAGAATCTTGAACTGCACAGCTGATATCTGATACTTGATATTTGTAATATCTTACACTTTAACCTGCTTTAACTGTTGTTGTTGTTTTAAGAAACCCACGTATGTTTATTAAAATATTATCAATGATGCAGAATTTAAAAATGGCAACAAACCAAAATAAAAGATTATTAAGTGCAAAGAATACATTGCTTCTAGCCCATTCTCACACTCATAATCTTTGTGCATTTATTCTATTACAGTGGTACCTCGGGTTACAGACGCTTCGGGTCACAAACGCTTCAGGTTACAGACTCCGCTAACCCGGAAGTAGTACCTCAGGTTAAGAACTTTGCTTCAGGATGAGAACAGAAATTGTGCTCCGGCGGCGTGGCAGCAGCAGGAGGCCCCATTAGCTAAAGTGGTGCTTCAAGTTAAGAACAGTTTCAGGTTAAGAACGAACCTCTAGAACGAATTAAATTCTTAACCAGAGGTACCACTGTATTCTTGAGTGCCAGCTCGGAACAGCAGCAGGTGTTGAGGCAGCCTAGGAACACAGGTATTAGCATTCACATGGAAGGAATCTTTGGGAAATTTGAGTCCACCAGGCTAGTGCTGAGGTGGGGATATGTAGAGAGCATCTTACCCAATGCCCCTTCGAACCACAAGGAACACCTGTGCTCATATACAAAAGCTCTTGGCTTTTCTGCAACTAGGGGGAGGTCCTTCTCTGTTTTTCCAACCAGTTTATGGAACCAAACCTGGCTGAGTTTTCAGCACACCTGAAATCACATTTATTCACCCAGGCATTTTT